GCACTGGAAAAAAATGATATTAATCCCATAGTGACTGCCTTAAATAATTGAGGATGTTAGGAAAAACAAATGATGACAACAAAAATCCTACTGTTAATTAATTTCTGTTGTTACAGTTCCTTTACTGCTTGCAGTAGAAATACTGGACTTGGTATGATACCTACTTTTGATTAAAATCATAGCAATATAATCTGTGTACCTCAGGGCACCTGGACTGATGGAGCTGCTGTGAGCAAGTCATGATAATGGAATTCCCTTAGGATTACTGTGTTCACTGTGAGCCACAAACCATAAGACTAGCTTAGGAAATTGTGCCACTGGAAGAAAATGTTGCTAGTACTTTATATGGGATTCACAGTGCTATTTACTTTAAAATCACATTTTTCTGTAGTAATTTTACTCTCATCTTCTGTCACATTTCTTACCAGGTGACCAGAGTTCACCTAGGAGAAATAAACTCACTGTCTTGTTCAAGCTTTTCTACATCAGCAGTTTTATCAGCTCCTGGTGACTCAGCATAACCTTTAGTATCCAGAGACACTAGTGGTAAATAAACGAATGTAATCCATCAGAATGTATAAAAGATTCTGCTACCTTGGAAAAGAATTGAGAAATATTTTGTAATATTCTTTCTATTCTAAACTTCTTTTTCTAAGACACTTGAGCAGAGGCTACCATTGTATACATTTATTTGTATAATGAAAGATCCAGTATCCAGTGATGCCTAAAATGACGTTTAGAAAGAGTGCAGCAGAGAGCACTGTTACCGTCTTCAATAACTAATACTTAACTACTGCTCACACTTTTCTATCTCTATTTTCATTCTTGCCGTAGAATACTGTTCCGTGCTGTAAAATCAGTTCTGAACATGATGTGATTAACCTTAGGGCCTCCCCATCCCTTCATTGCAAAGCCCACCTTGTACATGGCCTATGCTTTCTATTCATGTTCGCCATCTGATTTCCATATAATCCTGCTCACCCTCATGAGCCGCTATTAGCATAACAGAGCTTTAGTGTGACATTGATTGAAGCAAGCACTTGCTGAATGCAGTATCAGAGCATAATTTGCCAGAAATCAAATCTAATTTCCTATGTACTTTTAAAATTTATTTTAAAAAAAATTAAAATGGAAGTGCACTCAATCTGTAGTCTTAATTGTTCTTTTTTTTTCATATTTTTGCCCAGTGCCCTGGAATCCAACTAGTACATTTCCTTTTAGAGCCAATGTCTTTGACTTTCAAATGTCAATTAAACAAGTTTTTCCACTGTTTATTCCAATCCAGCTAATGTTACATCTGAAACAATGAAGGGTAATAATTTGATAAGCACAACACTTGGTTTCCTGCTTCCTAACAGTTTTTTTCAACAGATTCTTCTAATCACTTTAATGCTTGGATTGAATTAAGCATTAAAGTAGCTCATAATTCTTTAACAGCTGAAATATATCAAGCCTGCTGTTATTAATCTAACTGTACCTTTTCAGACTTCTAAAATGTTCCTCCTTTGAGAGGAGCAATAATGGCGTGAATAAGGTTTTTGCTAGTGTTCTACTGATGTTGAACTTTGAGGGAGTCATGTTTTTAGTTAACCTTTCTGCAAAATATGAGTAATAATATTTATCTACCTTAAAAACAGCATCTGTGTATGTAGGTAATGAATTCTCTTTTTAGGAAAACTGAAGTGCTTATTCTGTAATCAAAGCCTTGCTGTCCCTGAATGGGACTACATTGCATTCTCTGGGGATAATGGTAGTCTTACTGATTCGGTAGTTGTACTTAACCAAAATTTATCCTGCAAGCATTAACTGTTGCTTTTGGTTGTCAATTTTCATTATTCGGCTGGAATTTGATAGATAAAATTGATATGGTGATAGCGTGCTGTAGCATCATTTTTATCTGTGTGCAAACAGAACTATAGCTGAAAATGATGGCAAGTTGAAGCAAATGGGGATTTCTTTCATTACAAAGCTTCTTTGAATAAATTAAAAAAAAAAAAAAAAAAAAGTTTTAGTTTTCCAAAAATGTTTTTTTTCATACCCCTTAATATTATACTATTAAATAGTTTGACTGGAGGGACTGGTTTTGTGTTTTTTTCAAAGACCAATAGAAGCAAGTTTTTCTGGAGATTAGGAGATTATATTTAGTTTAACTGGTTCATTTATTTGTTTTGTAGTAAATTTCTAGTAATTTCTTCTTCAGAGAAAAGCCAGAGAACAGATCTGTACATAATCATATACCATTGTTTACTGGAGCCTTCTTAAATTTAGAAAATCTAAACCTGTTGCTCTGAGGCAGCATCTCATATTCACCTAGAATGGTAAATGCTAGAGGGGATTTGGTGTGTGACAGGGAGAGAGCAGAGCAATAAGGTCAACCTACACAAATTGGATTATCCAGACTGAGACACCACCTTAATTCCTGCTTCTTTTCAGTGTCTCTTTTTGCAAAAGAAAGGATTATTTTTCTGCTCTTAAGAAAATGAGGAATGTTCAGAATTAGGAGTAGGTCCAACTGTAGATTGGACTAGTAAGTTTGTCTCTTGTTGTGCTTTCACTAAATTACCTGAGTTTGGTCCTTGAAAAGTCTACTACAACAAAAAATCCTGTTAAGTACAGAGCTTTGAATTATAGACTTACTGTACAGCCTTATGTGTGACCATGTTTCAGATAAACATTTAAACCTATCTACCTGCATTTATTTGGTTATATGATTTGAAAGATAAGCTCATGGAAGGGCCGTGCCCTTCTTCCTTCTGTTGTGATGTCTCAGAGCACTGTCTGTAACACTTAGCACCAGTAGACCAAGGCTGCCTGTGAAGTGATCTTACATACCTTATCATGCTTATCATGATCTGTGGAGATGAATTCCTGACACTCTGTTTTTAGCCTCAATAGGAAGATTATGATCTTGAGTCCATCTATAATGTTGCACTGACTCATGCATAGTTCCTGTTCAGTGAAGAAGTTAGAAGTTTTCTGCTCTCCACTCTGAGTTTGCTATTGATTTTATGTTAATATCCTGGGAAATGAACTTCTGTGGCTGAGCAGCAAACACTGAAACAATTCAGTGACCTTCGTTAACTGGTTGATCAGAACTATACCTTAGTGTAAGGTATGCATTCAGGAATGGAGTTTTCTAATTCATAACCAAAAAATCTTTCTCTCCCTTGCCATATGATTGAATGAACAAACACACATACTGCTTACTATATTACTGCTTTCCAACATCTGAAAGGATTGCATACAGATACGCTAGATAAAACAATGTGAGGGAAAAAACGGGACGCATGCTATAGTCCAGGGCTGGACTGGAGTAGAACAAGCTGATTCTGGATTGAGTATTCAGAGCAACACATATGCCCTTATAGCAGCCTCCGAGCATAAGAGTATAAATGGACAGCAGCAGGGTACCTAACCCTTCAGAAGACTGATGCTTTCTGAGGCCCCAGGAAGGGGCAGACACTTCTCTCTCCAGAAAGTCCAAAACTTGTGCTCAGGTGTGTGAGGTGGAAGAAAGACTCCTTTTATAGTTCTCTACTTCTGCCTTCTAAATTAACAGTGGTGCATGTTTATTAAGTGCTTTACAGTTCTTGTTTTAAGAGTGCATTATACCAGTGCTATCGACTGCATCACATAAGTACAAAGTGTATTAAAAAAAAATAAATCAGATCTGCATACATTTCTGTGCATTTAGCAGATCTGCATCTGTGCTGTCAGCAGGTGTAATCGGAAGCTGAGTCTTGATTGCTCTTCGTGCCTAATTAAATAGTTTGTAATTATAATGGTGAAAAGATGGTTTTCTAAAACACTGAAATTCTGTTTACTTAAAGCTTAGTAGTTCCTTAAACCACCTCTCTCCACAGCCAGCAGAGCAATAGTGGAATGGAAAAAATTCACCTCTTTAATTATTTTTCCCCTTTCTTCAGCCTATTGGAAAAATCAGCAAGTTTTTTGGTAAGAGCATATGGAGATGCTGATTATGTTTTTAATATATCTTACATATCCAATTCCATTGAGCTACAGTGTTGAACCAAGGCTGAGAAATTTGCATCAGAAAGTTACTTTGTCACATGAGAGTAGTCACTGATGTTGTTTTTCACTCTGATCTTCCATCATTGCTTCTTCCCCACTTTTCTTCTGCACATTAAAATCTTTTTTCACCCTTCATGCTCCTACCAGGCATCGATTTACTGTTCTCCATTAGCATTCCCAGAGAAGTCAAAACACATCTCCTTTTCAAAATTGTTCACTTTGGAATGCTATTAATGCTATCTACTTGAACACAAAGCCAGTCCTGATTCTTCTTTCACATTTTAACTTCAACTTATTCTTCTTTTCCTTTCTATCTTCCTGTGCTCCTGAAATACATTTCTTCTTACTCACTTCTCTCCAGCCACTAACTCTGCAACTCTTGCTCTTTTCTTGACTTTTCACAAGCTAAAATCTCCTAAGTCTTTGATGCTTTAGCAAACTTCCTTTTCACAGCAAGTCCTTCTTCCCACTCCCTTCTTAACCACACTGTCCCTAATAGAAGCTCAGGGAGTGCTTAAACTTCTATTTTTCTGCTATCATCCAGATACCATCCTTTCTCTCCTTTCTCAATCATTTTTGAAAAGCTAGAGGATCAGAATGAAAAAAGTAGTCTATATATCCTGATTTATCCTGTGCAACATGTGATAGCTTCAGCAGAATGATAAGCTATGTGTAGTGTATATTGTACTGATGATACTTGCTCAGATGGAAGATAGAATATATCCAGACCAGCATCATAAACACTGTTGAGCCTTAGCATTTATTGTTGTTCGTTGTAGAGTTTATGCTAATGTTGATGGTTCTAATGTTGCTTTTTTATTATTAATGTATTTAGCAAATAGACATATTAATTCTGTCTAATTAGTATATCTGGTGTTCCATATTGTTTTCTTTTTCCTTATATCTACTTCATTTTCCCTTTGCAGAATATCCTGAATTTGCAGTATGTTTTTTCTCTTACATTGTAGCTCCCCCACAGTTTGTGGTGAGACCACGAGATCAGATTGTAGCCCAAGGTCGAACGGTGACTTTTCCTTGTGAAACTAAAGGAAATCCCCAGCCAGCTGTTTTTTGGCAAAAAGAAGGAAGCCAGGTAAGATATAAGTACCCTATAAAATTTTTCAAGCCTTTCAGAAAAGTTATACATAGATTATTTTTTAATAAAGATAGCTTTCAAAGGAATTTGTCTTTAAAACAGCTACTATCTTCTACCAACATTTTGTTGCTTTTTTGTTTTAATATTAGCATTGTGAAAAGCACAAAGTCCATTTAAGTGGGTAAAATTTGCAGTATCGTGCAACGATATAAAAAGCAATAGTAGGTATCTTAAATACTTCATTCTGAGACACCCAACAAACAGGTGGGTGAGACAAACATAGCAAATAAAGAGGTATGACTCAACTTTTAAGTAATCAGTGTCAGTAATTACAATTCAAAGCTTGTCTAGACATGAGCAAGTAGATACATAGCTAGCAAACAGATTTGCATTGGCAAATTCTCACAGTACATCCAGATATGGTTTCAAACATTCAACTTCTCTCTTCTGTAGAATTATCTCAGGACATTTCTCAATGTTTTTTTGGAAATATTTTCCTGAATCCTTACTTTCATTGTGTGAAAGCAAAATTTCTGATGTTGCTGATGGGGTTGCAATCAGCCAGTTCTACCTTGCTTAGCTTGATGTTTGAATGCAACATATTTTTTGCTGCCTTTGCTGCACAGGCAGGACAAAAGTAAAGCATTCTCACTTTTAACGTGTGGTTAGTATGTTAACTTTCAACATTGTAAACTATGTGCCAGATTGCCCTTTTTTACCTTAGGAAAGATTGGAAGGGATAGATGAACATCCAAGGACAGTGCCTTCTGCAATTTTGTGATGGAGCCTGTTGTGACTTCATCTGTTTATGTAGCTTTTCTATTTGATCTATAAGTTTTTCCAAAGCCCCGTGCTCCTTTTTCCCATACAGCGAGATGTGGATTAACTAAGTATCTACCTTGCGCTGTGCAGTGCAGCTGTGCCTCTAACCCAGAGGCACTGTATAACAACTCAAAGTGTGAGTTATGAGCCCAACCACCTATTTCCAACTTTGAAACATCTGCTTGTTTCATCTTTTCACCAGGTCAGATAACTGGCCAGAATGACAAGACTAAAACTAACAGCATTTGGTGCCCTGTTGCATTTAAATCTGACAAAGGTGCAGTGCTTTTACCTTACGAGTGTAATCTCGTATGAGTGTAAGCTTAGTCTTCAGTGTGTTTCTTTCAGCTCATTATTTACAAAACTTTAGATCTAACCTCTGTGGATCACATTCTGGAAAAGCATGATATTGTGTGTTTCAATCATGTGAACATTTTTCAAGGGGAAAGTAAAATATCATCTTGAAATTATGGTGGGAAGTACTGATGTGCTAGAAAACATTTCAAAACACTGTCTTGTAGAGAATTTTAATAACATGGTAATGTTTATGTCAAGTGAGCTTATAGTGTTGCACTTGAATCTAATAGAGTGGACATCCATCATGCTGTAATAAAGAGAAGAACTTCTAATTAAAATAGAACATCATTTGCAGGATTAAAGTCATTTAGTGTAATTGAAAAGTGTTAATACTCTATTTTATCCTCTTCCATTGGTATCACTTCAAGGGTAAAAACATTTTAAGGTTAAAATGCATCTTGTGTCTTTAATTGAATGTTATTACCTCCTGATTGTACCATGTTGAAGCTGTTTAATTGCAAACCTGGAAAATTAATTACCATATTGAGAACAAGATCCCAAGGGTTAGAAAGTCCTTTTTTGACAAATAAATGCAACATAAAAATTGATACCTACGTGGTTTGTAGTCAAACCTTGAAACATAACTCAAAGTGATTCATTATAACCATTATGTTAATCTTAATTGAGTATCATTTAAGTGTTAGCATCAGGTTAGCATTACCATCTCAATATAGAACTTGGCAGATTTTGCCATGAGACGTCAAAGAATAGGTGCGTTTCCATTTCTTCATTAAAATCTGGACGATGGATTTTTGGCTGAATTAAAGCATTGTCCACTGAAAATGCTTGACTTTTCACCTTTATGTACTTGTTAATAAGTTGTTGCCTGGATTTTCAATGCTTAATTCTGCTTTTACTCAAGCACTATAGTTTGCAGCACCGCTCTTAACACTTAGAGTAATGTTATGTAGTCACGTTAGCCCACTTACCACTAATGGCAGGGCATTTTTAATTCTGAATCTATTTCTTCACACTATGTTTTTGAGCATAAGCATCTTGAAAGGAGGGGAATTCCTGTGTAATTTCTTCTGCTGTCTTGTGACTAAACAGCTGGTCCTTTTTGTTTGGTAGCATGTTCCCCACAGTCTAACAGTCCTTCAGCAATAGAATGTGCCAGGACAGGCCATCTGTACACTTTAAACTCTCTGGATTAAATTGAGATAAATCCAGAGAAACATCTGGATTTACACCTAAGGTGACTCTTGTTTTGCTGTATTCAACCCAGCATGCTCAGATGAGTAAACCTGCAGCTAGTTAAATCCAGTGAGGTTGTAAAAGCATTAAAATAGTGGACTGGTGCTGTAACAGGACAAACTGCAACCCGTAAGTTACCTGATTCTTGAAAGGAAGATTCATGAGACTAATCAGCTCCTACTAAAGTGTAGAATATTCTCTGGAGTATGATACTCATGTCTCAGAAGAAAATATTCTTAATAAACGAGTCCTTGCTGAAAATAAAAAGAAGGCTAGTCTTACGTTTTTAATGAAGGAGATTTGGGGTTTTTTTCTTCTTGAGTGTTAGGAGCTTGGCCCTACACTATCTTTCATTTTGTTTCCTTTTACTACTTGTGTAATGATATAGGTATTTATGCCAGGAACAGATCATTATGCAAGTTTCAAGACAGTTTAGAAAACCGGGCAACTTTTTGAGACCCCTTTAGCCCTACAGCCTAAAATTGTTTCAGAATGTTCACACTTTTTTTTTTTTTTTTTTTTTTTTTCCCTAGTTGAATCTGACATTTACTGAGTGGTTGTTGTATTTTGAGGAAAAATTTTGTGTGAAAAATTTCTCAGAACATTGAAATGGAAAGGGGGCAAAGGGTGAGACTCATCATATGGTAACAAGTAGTCTGTTAAGTTAATACAATTATAAAGATACTTAGAGTGTGAGATCTATCTCTAATGTTAAAATCAGAGAGAAGTATGTGAGTTTTACTTTAAAGCAGAATTTGTTGAAATTCAAGTTTTTTGCTCGCCAGTTCCTAATAATTTTGTTGTAAAACATTGAGGTCAACTACAGAAGTAGCAGATTTGCAGAAAATTCATTTAGTATCTTACTCTATACTTTGAGGTTTCCTTTTTAGTTCATATAGATAAACTTAAAAGTTAGTAGAGAGTCATAACATAGCAGAGGAACAGAGTCACAGTAGTGACTAAAAGCTTATCATAGCATGGTAACAATGTTTTGAGATATTCCTGACACAACAATTGCAAATTTTATATGGCAGGCTTGTTGAGTTGATATTAAATTCAGAGCCTTTTTTTGTTTGGAATTTGTGAATTCGTTATTATTGTTTAATTTTTCTCCTCTGTTTTTGTCATATCAGGCAATGCTACCAACATTTCTACATACATTGCCTCTCTTTTCCCATCCTCTATTTACATAAAGAGCTGCTGTAGACAATTTAACTTTTTCCTTGTGAACACAACCCTCACCACTAAAACCTTTTCAGTCTTTTTCTGTATTATTGATTCATTCAATCCTTCATCATATTCAGTGACTGTAACGTCCATTTTAGTTATTCTTATTGACAGTTCTCTTTTTCCCAGTCCAACCCAAAGGCAACAAAGGCAAAATCTAATCTCCCTCTTCCGTGCTAACTGGTGTCTTATCCTATATATATATATAGAAAAAATATATATATATATATATACATAGAAAAAAAAATATATATATATATATATATTTATTTATTTTTTCTTGACAATTTCTACATCAGATTTATGCCCTTCTTCTTCACCCTCAAGGCTCCATGCAGTTTTCCTGCTTTGGTATATCTCAGTTTGAATTTCCTTTTGCATCTTCTTTAAGCTCTGTCATCCTCTGATCATACAGCTTCTCCTACTTTATGATCTGTTTTTTATCTTCCCAGCTTTACTTCTGTGCCATGCTCTTACTTTCTACTTTGCCCAGAACATATTCACTGCCAAACACTACCCCTTAGTTCCCTTTGCTCAATTATTTTTGCCAGTTCTATAATATTTACTGCAGTATTATATCCCCCTGGTATGATAGCCAGCTAAGTGTATTATTAAAATTATTAATTCAGAATGATGATAAATGTATAACAAGTACAGATCACTCAAGTGTGATTTTGCCTAAATTGCCAGCTAGAAAACACCATTGTGTATTATGAAAGGGCTGTTTATGATTTGAACTGCAAAGCAGGAAGAGCTAGCCCTGTATATTCATTTCAAAATCACCCACACTTAATTTTTCTTTTGATTGATATAAAGAGATTTATATCCCTGGCCAGCAGGTCGAGGGAGGTGATCCTCCCCCTCTACTCTGCCGTGGTAAGGCCTCATCTGGAGTACTGCGTCCAGTTCTGGGCTCCCCAGTACAAAAAAGACAGGGATCTCTTGGAAAGAGTCCAGCGGAGGGCCACAGAGATGGTGAAGGGCCTGGAGCATCTCCCCTATGAGGAAGGGCTGAGTGAACTGGGTCTGTTCAGCCTTGAGAAAAGAAGACTGAGAGGGGATCTGATCCAGGTCTATGAATATCTAAGGTGTGGGGGGCAGAATGGCGAGGCCAGACTGTTTTCAGCTGAATGTGGAGACAGGACAAGGGGAAACGGCCAGAAACTGCAGCACAGGAAGCTCTGCTCAAATGTACACAAGAACTTCTTTACAGTGAGGTGACGGAGCACTGGAACAGGCTGCCCAGGGAGGTGGTGGAGTCTCCTTCTCTGGAGATGTTCAAGACCTGCCTGGATGCCTACCTGTGTGACCTGCTGTAGGGAACCTGCTTTGGCAGGGGGTTTGGACTCGATGATCTCTGGAGGTCCCTTCCAACCCCTACAATTCTGTGATTCTGTGATTTTAAGGAAAAAATCAACATGTCTTTAATTGATAAAAAAAAAAGCGATGCTGTTGTATTTTGAACTGATATAAGATGAATTGTCTTTGCAGAATCTGCTCTTTCCAAACCAGCCTCTCCAACCCAACAGTAGATACTCAGTATCACCAACTGGAGACCTCACTATTACCAACATTCAGCGGTCTGATGCAGGCTACTACATTTGTCAAGCACTGACAGTTGCTGGAAGCATTTTAGCAAAGGCTCAGCTGGAGGTTACTGATGGTAAGCTATAGAAATTCCATTTTTTTCTTCTGTCAGAAGTACTATAAAAGTTGTGTAAAAAAAAAAAAAAAAAGCAGAGAGGTCACTTAATTCATAAAAATTAACAGGTGAATTTCTACAAAACATTTCTACAAAACTGCAAGAATCTCTGCACAGTTCTCTACAGCATCAATAAGAGACTGACATGCTGACATGTAGTTTGCATTTTGCACACAATTCTTAATAGTCCAAACAAAGGACAAAGCAACTTAGAATAGGGTTGGGAAGAAGGGAGGCTGCTCAGTTCTTTAGAGCTAAAGTAGGACTGCAAAAAGATTATGAAGAATTAATAGTTTTATGACTAAAATAATGGGCTGGGGTGCAGAAATAAACAAGTCTAAGTACTTGTCTTGGTCCCAGCCTTCAGTATTATGTTAGGCAACTTTTTTGGAAATATTCTTAGCTCAATTTAAATGAACACAGTTGCCTTGAATTTACTGGAGCACTGTTAAAATATAACAGCTATGTACTGTAGCCTTTTAGTTTACATCTGAAAAAGGCACAAAGGTACTTTACTTCCTCAGTGCTGTGTTCTAACAATTTTTCAGTACAGTTAGATGTGTAAAGAGTTATTTAAATACACTGGCAGAGTAGAGTTGGCAAGAAAGGAAAAGTGCTGCATGATCTGATGATGCTTTCACTTTCAGAATTTTGGGCTTGAATCTTATCATGCCTTGAAGTTTACCTTGGTCTGTGTACAAACATCAACCCTTTACATGCGTCAGAAATCCTATTGATACCCCTCTTCATCTTATTGTGGCTAGAAGGCAGTTTACATCCTTTAATGTTAACAGCAAGAGAATTCCTCTAACGCTAGGAGACCATGGCATTCCCTTGCATCATTATTCCTTATCTTAACGGAATCATTAAATTTCTCCTGACAGACTTTGATGAATTTTTGCCATTAAAACTGTTGTTATATGCAGAGGTCTACTTTTATGGTTCCCTTAGAGACCTGCCTGCACCATGAAAGTTTGAAAAGATGTCTAATTCTGAATAATCTGACTTTTCATAAGAGCGTATTCATCACAAATGACAGGTAGAGAGGCTCAGGCACATGTTATAGAGGTCTGAGCATTAATTTGATGCCTTTTCTTAGTTTTCCAAAAGCTGTCTATATTTTTATGACAAGGGGAGATAATTTCTGCCTTATCCTTGCATCTTTACAAGCATATTGCTTTTTGCTAAAGCAGTTTCTGGAGACTAAAGGCTAACCTTCGCTCTGCAATCTCTTTAAGTCCTTTCTGTCATGATCTATGACAAAATGATGCATTTTCATTCAATTCGAATTTAAATGTAGATTAAAAGGTCATTTAAAATTAATGGAAAGGCAGTATTTTTTAATATCTGTCCATAGCACTGCCTGATTCAGTGCCGTGAGTGTGATTGGAATAAATAGAACACGCAAACATTGGCTAGAAGGGCACTGAGCTGTTAATGGTTGCACCTGCTGATGCTGTACAGATTTACTGCAACATGGGCCGAGAGGATCAAATCAGGTTCAAGGATATCAGTGATGAAAATTCTTCCTTTTGACAGCCAAAACCTGTGGTCCATCTTTATCTATTTCTTGTATGAGATAAAAAAAAGAAATCCTGCCTGATCTGTTTGGAATTTTTAGTAGTTTACTTAAAAAGTTAACAGAAAGCTCATAATGATGTCCATGCTAAAATGCAAGCTTAATCATAATTAGTTCTGATTTAATGTGACATGCTTTCTCCTTTGCTGAGCTCTGCTGCTGAAGGAATACAAGGCCTGTGTTCTTGAAATGCTTCCCAGAACTTAGTGTCAGTGTGATCATTACAAAATAATGGAGGGTTGCTTTATAGAAATACCATTTCATCCTTGAGTCAAAGGGCAGGTAAGGTCAGGAGAAAAGTGCCAACAAAATATTGTGAAACTGAGATTATATACATGAACATACCATTAGATCACAGATATTTTTTAATTGCTTTCAGCTAGGATGTTAACCATAAATGTCTAACTAATCTGTTTTAGTTGATGTTGAGCAGAAGTTATGGAAGCTAGAGATCTTTATCAGAAGGGAAATCTATTGATTTTAAAAATATGATAAAAGATAAATGCTGTACATGCTAGCTATACACTTAAGCATTAATGTCCCAGTTTTTGGCTGGGGATTCCAGTTTTACTTCATAGCCCAGAATTTTTCTGTTTGGTTAATGATTTAATAATAGTGGCGAGCCATCTTTTTCATTTTGAACACATTTTTGTTTGATCCAGGGTAATTTAGATCCAATTGAAGTTCCAATACAGAATGAAAACATATGTCATGTGCAGAAAAACAAGTGCTTAATTATACCATATATAGCAGTGTTTCAGTTGTTACATTTTTGCACTTACAAGTCTTTACTGGAAATATTTTTAACTCAAGTGTTCACATGAGAAGAGATTACTAGCTGTGATGAAATATGCTGAGTTGAGTGATAATTCTGCTGATTATGGACGATGCTAAGAGCCCATAGTGTATTTGAAATTCAAATCTTATATTGTCTTGAAAGGCTATAATACGATCTACTGTCTAATGCACATCTGGAAAAGCAATATCAAATCTTAGCACTCCTTTCAAACTCAAGAAGCGAATATGCAGATTGGAATCTTGAAATGACATATCATGCAAATAAAGCAAGCGCTTCTCTCGAACTGTGTGTGTATTCATGATAAGAATGAAGTGTATTTTTAATTTATTCCATAGATTTATCAGCCATGCACAGAATATTTTGAAGAAAGTTCCAGTATCTGCTTACCTATCTTTATTTAAATTTCATTATTTATATATATTAATAGAAAATTTGACAACTGTTTGCTCAGCTGTAGGGTGGGCCTACAGTTTACCCAACAGCTGCTGTTTGGGATGAGGACTGGATAGAGGATCAAGCTTAACATCCTGCAGTAGATTTCTCTGACAACATAAGAATGAAATGTTTTAGGATGCTCAACAATGATTTAGAAAAGAAATTTAAGCCATTTTTCCCAGCCTGCAATGCAATTTTTTAACTGTGGATCTATTGAATATGCTGGGGTATGTCTCTTAAAAGAAAATAGGAATAAGTAATTGATATCACTCACAGTTCAGCCACCTGCAAATCTGGCCACCTTCATTCCTATCTCTGATTAAATGTATATTAAGTAGTTTATAGCAACTGTGACACTTCCAAATGTCCCCTTGTGAAGCTTCTGGGAAAAAAAAAAAAAAAAAAAAAAAAAAAAAGGTAGAGGAAGGAATGGTAGGAATGGTCTCTGTTTTCCCTTTTCGCTTTTTGATGCGTGAAAAGCTTAATGTGAGCCAGCAGTGTGCTCTTACAGATTGGAAAGCAAATAGTATCCTGGGCTCCATCAGAAGAGGGATGGCCAGCAGAGACAGGGAGGTGATTGTCCCTCTCTACTCTGCCCTTGTGAGACCCCATCTGGAGTACTGCATCCAGGTCTGGAGTCCCCAAGTACAAGAAAGGCAGAAAGCTGTTGGAGAGGGTCCAGAGGAGGACCACAAAGATCATCAGACAGCTGGATCACCTTCCCTACGAAGACAGGCTGAGGGAGCTGGGCTTGTTCAGCTTGTAGAAAAGAAGGCTGTGGGGTGACCTCATTGCAGCCTTCCAGTACCTAAAGGGAGCCTACAAACAGGAGGGGAGTCAACTCTTTAAAAGGGTAGATAACAGCTGGACAAGGGAAGATGGTTTTAAGTTGAGGGAGGGAAGATTTAGGTTGTATGTCAGGGGGAAGTTCTTTACTATGAGAGTGGTGAAGTGCTGGAACAGGCTGCCCAGAGAGGTTATGGATGCCCCGTTCCTGGAGGTGTTCAAGGCCAGGTCAGATGGGACCCTGGGTAGCCTGGTCTAGTATCAAATGGGGAGGTTGGTGGCCGTGCATGCAGCAGGGGGATTGGAACTTGATGATCCTGGAGGTCCTTTCCAACCCAAGCCATTCTATGATTCTATAATTCCCACCTGTCAGGAGAGCACTCTGCTCTAACGTAGTAGTGTTCATCATAAGAATTCTGTGAGTTGTGTCTCATTTTCCTTTGTCATTCTCTGTTTTTAATTTCATTTTGTAATTTGACCAAATTCCACCTAAATTTGCACATAATTTTAGTTGATCCAAATTGCATTTATAGGGAATACACTGTTTATTAGCAAGTAACATTTGCTTTCGTACTCCGCTCAAAATTTAAGCTCCATTTTATCAAAAAAGCAATCTGGTATTTTTTAAACTGCCAGAACTTGTGAATATATGGCTGCTGGAAGATAGTTTCAAAATGTTTTTTTGTTGTTGTTCTTTGTTGTTGTTTTTGAATGAAATTAATTTTGAGGTTACTTCGAGTTTTGTTTTGCAAATATGATTTTGTCATACGAAATGTTTTGTGAAATGGATACAAATGTTTCATAGCAGGAGAAAAAAAAAAGTAAAATAAAAAAATCAATAGTGTTAAAGAAACTAAAAAAAATCCTACCCTTTTGTGAAGATTTTTCGTTATTTTTTTGTTCTTAAGGATGCTTATTACAATATCTTTCTAAACCTCTGAGTTCTCTGTCCTTACTTTGGGTGACACCTATGTAGTAGGAATGCAAGCACATATACACACATTTTAGAGAAGATTTACAAGTCAGACTTGTGAAGACAATATAGTCATTCACAGATCAGTGGAAACCCTAAGTGTTCATTTAACCTTTAGCCTTAGTGTCATGGAAACCTGTAGTGGTCTTTCACCCATAACACCCTTGAAAATGAAGATTCCTTCTGGCCAGGAGACTTTCAATTACATTATTGATCAAAGCTATTTAAAAGATTATGAGCTCCTCATTTGAGCTGTAAAAAAAAAAAATAATAATAATAATAATTGCATGCCAAAGAACAATATCTGAAATGCTGTAGGTTTTGAAAATACTTACGTTGCTACATAGATGAAAGGCAATTAGATGCAGGAAGTAACAATTGAAAAGTTAGCAAAATAAGGTGTTTTTTTCCTTAATTTTTTTACTAGCTAGAAAAGTGAGAGTTGCTGTACATTGAATTTAAATTTTAGTTTGAATTCGCTGCCAGCATACCTAGAGCTTGAGTGCATATAAACTGAGATGGACTTTTGTTTCACTAAGTAACTGAACTGTGTGATCATAAGGAACCTTAATGAGATTAAACTTGGATATCAAGATGAAAATGCATTGCATTCTATCTTTTCATTTCCTATCTCTAATGTCAGCAGGTAATATTTTAGAATTTTCAAAATAGCTTCCAAGTTCTTGGGCTAATAAAAATCTGAATTGACATTGGATTTTTTTGTTTAAATTCCAACAAATGTGATAAACTCACACTCCAAGTCTTGCTAATTTCTATAATTCAATCCATTGTATCTTTTGTTTTATAACCAATTATTACAATTACAAAATGTGCCACCAACATAATCTTAACATTTCCTGTTTATTAAACAGTATAACAAAAATACTTTGAATCTACTGAAGGTTCTAGAGGTTTGCATCTCGAACAGCTTGAATACAATAGAAAGCATATTTCTTCAAATAGGTTATTTTCACTTCATTGTTAGAGTAGGACATTGTGTGTGGAATGTAATGATCCGGATTCTCAGAATAAAAGATTAAAACTCAATTGACACTAGTGGAAGCAGTCTGATTTTTATGCCATCTAGGAGCTAATCCTGTCTATTACGATATTTAATGTCATACTTAGTACTGTGAGATTGTTCAAAGATTACAAAAGTAGCAATGTAGCAAGTAAATGTATAAAAATTGTTTGCTGGATTCTCTTGTACAGATTTTATAACATTTTTTACTTCTACAATTCAAACATTTCACATTCATTTTGTGTAAATACATTATTTATTAACACGGAGTTATACTTTGTTTATCAGTTGACTGTGAGAATACAACATAATTGTACATAAACAGCATAATAATTTATGAAAAATTATTCTTTCAAGAAAAGCGAACGTGAGCATTTTACCTCGTCTTTAAGATATCCCACTGACCATGGAATGAGGCTTGTATGCAGTCATGCACTAATTCACTAGTTACAGAATTCCTTATGGAGCATTTCAAGCATGCAAATGTAAATTATTAGGAAAAAAATAACAGAGTTCATTGCTTTAAAAGGTGACGAGATGAACTGGTAAGCACTCTGTTAAATGGCTTGATTAAGTCTGAAATATTTTCCACTGGAAAGAGTTATCATTTAAGTAGCACTAAATGTTTCTAATGCTCTTAGGTATTTTTGCTATGGACTACTCACAAGTTGTGAATGAATGAGGAATATGGTTGGTACCTGTGCTAAAATTCATACAGTGTTTCACTTTGAACTTGGACAGATTTTCTCTTGTAGACCTTAAATGTGATAAGTCATTAAAAACATTTTGATCTGAGATTTAATCCTGTGCTTTTTCAAACATGTAATGTAAGTGCTTTCCTAAATTGAATGAAATAAGAAATGCAGCATAGTTCTTTTCTAAGTCTTTCTTGTCACTGTGTCTTAATAAATGGATCTGAGGATCTTTGCTAGCAGACTTTTATATATGTAAGTGTTGTCTTACAGTAGCAAAATGAGCCCATACAAAAACTGTTTTCAAATATACCGAACAAATATCAAAATGCATCTGTGAGTCTTGCAAAAATAATGTTCATAGCCCTGTTGAGGCTAACATAGACCAATCTGTTGAAAGTGGTACAAGATCAAGCAAAGGATCTAAATGTAGCACAGCACTGTCAAAGTCACGAATGCCAATATATGTGTCGTTGCTCAGTCTTGACAGATAGACCTCCACCCATCATCCTCCAGGGGCCTGTCAATCAGACACTGGCAGTGGATGGGACAGCTCTGCTGAAGTGCAAGGCTACTGGTGACCCGCTTCCTGTTATCAGCTGGTTAAAAGAAGGCTTCACTTTTCTGGGCAGAGACCCTCGAACTTCCATACAGGATCAGGGAACCCTTCAGATTAAAACTCTGCGGGTGAGTAACAATAACAAAGCAAATGCTACAAGTAGTATGTGGCTAATATGAAGCTGGTAGTGCGCCTTAGGCAGCTCTACTATCTTGCTGTCTTCTGACTTCAAAGTTAACTTAGTTGTCTCCTTTACCATGCAGCATTTACCAAGGACAAATCTTATTATTTTGTACTTTGTCATTGTGGTAGTAAAGGGAAAAAAGAAGAGCCAACTTAACAACAGATACTACTACTAGAAATCCTTTGAAAATATAATTATTTATGTTGCAATAAAGCATGAGTGGCAGGTGGGTAGACATGTAAGATGACAGGATCTGGTTATCTTTCAGATAGTCTTACCCTGAAGCCATTGGTCTTTCGATTCTATTAAAAGTTAGGCATTCATTTTCAACACCTGAACATTATTTCCAGGGAGCCAGTGTGCTAGCAAGGGAGTCCATCAAGACTTTTGCCATGCTCTTTCTCCATCATTGAGTCTTGGCAGTCTTGAGTTGCGCTGATGAATTCTGATGTTATGCTAGCTGCAGATATTTCATAAGGCTATGGATGGGAGATGACAATTCATGCTGTAACATACATGCAGTCATATGCAGAAGAATTTCTGTTCAAAATGAAGAGCCTATCAAAATATTTACATTTTGATATATATGATAATATTATACTTTGAAGGTACAGCAAAGAAATCTTGCAGTATTCAGGATAGCATAACACCAGACTTTGTTGACAAACACTGTATCACTAATCTTTCTTTGGGTTTTTATTTTTTTACCAGTTTAAATAGGTGTTGCACTTTTCTGTGTGTATGTGAAGAAGCGTATGTCTAGAAAAATACTAAGATAATGTCCTTACTTGTTAAGAACTTACAGACAATTTCAGCAGCCTTTTAATTTAATCAGCATAAATTTCTGAACATGGATTTGTCATCCAAAAAAATTTCCATAAATGTAGCTGTTAGGGACAAGGTAACCAGCAGTTTTGTTTTCTGGTGCCATCTCATCAGTGATTGTAGATGAATTGTTAACCTCCTTGGAACAAAATGGAATTTATTAAAAAATTTATACTAGCTTTCCTTGAGTAAACAATTTATCCTTCCTCCCTGGGCTGAAGGCAGGTTTAGGCCATGAAGGTTAATGCATTTTTCCTGTAGAGATGGATTAAAGAGTGCGCTTGAATTCTCCAGATTCCCCAGTAGTGTTAGAAAACAGCAATTAAAGGTGGAAGCTTAGTGATTTCAAACAAATTTTCAGGCATCGATGATGGGCTGCTGTGGAGTGTCCATGAGGCAGAAGCTCCTGGGATACCTGTCTGCATGCAGCTACACAAATAACAAAATAGGGTCTGAATCGTGCCAGTGCATTTATTTTGCTGATAGATGCACAGTGTCTGTAAACGAAATGAAAAAAATTGCTTGCAAGGATAAAAGGAAACAATATTAACAGTGAGTGTGGTTTTGAAAGACATGAAGCTTTTATTGATCCGTAAGTGGCTCATTCACTAGTAACTGATTTTCCTTAAAGGCTCAGAAGGACACTTCTTGTAAACCCCTTGATAACAGTAATGTACACTGCTCAAGCCAAACTTACCATCCAAAACTACACAATTCTATTAAAAAAAAAAAAAAAATTCTCCTGTAGGTTGCAATTTTTGTGAATTAAATATAGATATAAATCAGGAGTGTTTAACTTTTCTTTCAGATGTACTACAGCAAGAACTGTCAACACTTCCTAAGGACAAAAAAATCCCCCAAATATGCCCAAGAATAGCTCAAGTACATTTACATGCCTATGTTCAGAATAACATTTATCACCTTCATCCTCAAGCCTAAGTTCTCACTTATCTCCTCCCCTCACAATTATTAATCATTATCAATTGATAATCAATGTGAAAGAAATAGAGATATGGGTAAAGATGAGCCTCTACTATTTAAGCCTCTGAGACTATCCTCTTCTGCTATGTAACTAATCTCTTTATGTATGTAAATCAAATTATTCAATAGTCTGCAGAAATCATAGTGAACCAAGAGCAACAATCATTAATGTAAACCCAGAGATTTTTATAATGAGTCAATCATCCAGTTACCCTGGAGGATAACTAGAAACCTGCATACGTCGTTCACTCAGTACCATTTTAGACAGGTCAAGGTCAAGACTGGTGAAAATCTTCCTTCTGATATGTAAAAATGTACTATGCCATATTTAAATGTCTGCTTTAACTAAGGAAGAAAACTATTATACTGAATAACAACACTTTTCCATTGACCTTCCCTGTTGTTTTTTTTTTCTCCACTAAAGCACCAAAAAAAAGTATAAATCATTGAATTATCAATAGAATATGTCTGTATCTAATCTGTCTGCAGACTGGAAGTTAGGTAATTCACCATACTTCCAGCTTGCTTTGTATGTTGAATTAGCCTTCTGCAAGTTAGTCTGTTGTGTATACCACATACTTCATTGAATATGCCATACACCATCTGTCATGGTGGGACACAAATGAAGTTGAGAACCACAGCATCCTCAATTATCACATAATGAAGAATCGTAGATTTCACAAAAACTCAGAAGCAAAACAGAATACAGTACTTCAGAATGCTGTAAGGCTCCCTCCTCCAGAAATCTGTCTCTTTTCAAGAATCTTTCTCATTTAGTTAGCAGGTCCAGAGGAGGGCCAGAAAGGTGATCAGAGGGCTAGAACACTCATCAATGAGGACATGCTGAGAGAGTTGAGGCTCTTCAGCCTGGAAAAGGAAAGGCTCCTTGAGGATCTTATGACGGCCTTCCAATACCAGAAGGGGGCCTGCAGGAAAGCTGGGGAGGGCCTTTTTATAAGGGCACATAGTGATAGGATGAGGGGAAATGTCTTTAAACTGGAAGAGCATAGATTTAGACTAGATATTAGGAACATTCTTTACTGTGAGGGTTTTGAGATGCTGAAACAGATTGCCCAGTGAGGTTGTGGGTGCCCCCTCCCTGGAAGCATTCAAGGCTAGGCTGAATGGGGCTGTTAGCAACCTGGTCTAATGGGAGATGTCCCTTCCTATAGCAGGGAGGTTGGAACTAGATTGACCTTAAAGGAGCTTTCTAACCCAAACCATACTATTATTCTATGATCTCTGTATTTTGAATCTCCGAGACACTGACAGAGGAGTTTAAGTATTCCTTATATTTCATGGCAGAATTCAAGTTATGCTTTTTTTGATAAACTGTCATTAACTGGTTGCTTTCTTCCCCTAAGAATGGCATAGTCCCAGTCTATTGGAAGAAAATGCCAACAAAATTCTAACAGTACATAATTAAAAATCAATTAAATTATGTGTAAACAATAATCTAAGGAACATCTCACTAATTTGTTTTTACACTCTTTTCAAAGAGTTGTGTATGACCATTTGTTATAGTTCCAACCTGTGTTTTCCAGATCACAAATTATAATCCCTTAAAGTCCCATAAACCTTCTTGAATGTGGCCCTACTTTCATTAAATCAACTGATGGTGAATGTAATTCTTCTCCTTTATCACTAGACTCAGCATTTTCCCTCTTCTTCAATCTCCAGATTACCATTCTTTATACATAGTGGTAGGACAACTCTTCTGGATGTTCTGTACTTTGCAAAGTCACAGTTTTCCATCCACTTCTGTTGTCTTCTCTAATTCTTGTCACATAAATCTTTACTTTAAATCAAAGTAAGGAATAGTAAAATACATGGCAAATTTTCCAGTAAAACAACAATTCATAAGAACAATAATGAGATTAATATTGATGGGATAATTTAAAAATCTTTCCAAAAATAAATTTGGACTATATGAACTGACATAGGAATCACAATTTAGAGTGTTTAGCTACCAAACTGCTTTGCAAGACTGAAATAAAATTTCATGTGATACAGAAGAAAGGTAAGCATGGTGTATGATCTGGTTTAACAGTACGGTTTTAAAATTGCTTGGAGGACTGTGTGTAGAGATAACCCTTGTTAAGATCTTTTGTGTTGATGACCTGTATAAATATGTCTTCATCTGTCATAAAACCATAAGATGATGGAATAGCCTTCCTGAGACTATTCCACTTCCTGAGAGTATCTCTCTGTCATCGTGGAATAATGAACTGTGAGCTTTCATCCTCTAAGGAAAAATTGTTGTTGTATTGTTTGCTGATTTCAGCTGGATTTTTTAACAATAAAAAGATTGACACTGTCTGAAACGTTTTTTCTGTAGCATTTACATACTTCACTGATACAATTAAGAATATGAAAATTAAAATTAGAAAAGTATTAAAAACAATCTTATTTTAGTCCTCTAAAAGTAAGCCACCATTAAATTATTATTTTCAAATATCTGGTGCCTTCTAGGCTGTTGTAAAGTGTAAAATAAGTCTTTCTTTTCAATAAATATATAGGGAAAAAAATTAGAATAAATTCTGTCATATGATTCCGAAAGGTAAAACTTGTTTTACATGTTCTTAATGTCTAGCTGTCTGATACTGGAACTTACACTTGCGTTGCAACAAGTTCAAGTGGGGAAACATCGTGGAGTGCTGTTCTGGATGTGACAGGTAAGCAATATGCAGAGGCCATTTTCAGATAGCACAAAATGAAAGTATAGTGTAAAATAGAGCCTTATGAGTCAAATAGTGTCTTCTAGAAATGCTAGGTGTGAAATAGAGAAGGTTTTAAGTGGGAAGGATTTGTTTCTTCACATCTCAGACTTCATTGCTACCACTGGAATTGATCTGCATATAGGAATTTTCTCAGAGTTCTAGTAGCTGATGCTCTGACATTTTATGTAAATACGAACAAAACATGTTTTTTCTGTTACTTCTTTTTTCTTTTTTTTATATAAACTTTTGAGTTTTGTGGGTTTTTTTTCCTAGAATGTGTATGTAGGGAATGATAGTTCTTTCTAAAAAAATATACCTGATAATACAATAGTTGACTTAATTCTTAACAAATTAAAAGCACTGATTTAGCTGATTATGCAGATATTTGGCATGCTTTTCCTTTTAACCTTCTACTTTGGTCAAACTATCTAATTGACAACAAAAAGTAATTATTTTACATTTGCTCCTTGCAGAGTTGGGTGGAGCAACAGTCAGTAAAAGTTATGACATAAATGACCTTCCTGGGCCACCATCCAAACCTCAGGTCACTGATGTAACTAAGAACAGTGTCACCCTGTCCTGGCAACCAGGGACCCCCGGAAGCCTACCAGCTAGTGCATATATCATTGAAGCTTTTAGGTATGTGAATTATTCTACTTTAATTTCCTTCCTGTCTAATTTTGCTTAAATCCTAGTACCAGCTGTTCTGGTATTGTGGTGTTCTTCTGGTTTCTACATTTATCGCTAAAAGTTCAGTAAAAGATTTAGCTCCAATGGCAGGCATTGATTCTTACTTTTTAAGTGTTTTGTTTTGTTTTTTTATATGTCATCACATTTTCTTAAGTCGTGAAGTAGTGAAGCATTTAACTTTTTCTTCAGGTCAGTAGAAACATAAATGGACAATGTACTCACTATTTGTTACTATTTTCTTAGTTCTAATGATCACCCTGGGAATGTTGTATTTCAAAAAATTTGGGCTTGAGTTACTTAGTCTGTTGTAATGCAAACAAACTGAAAACTAATGGGCAACCTTTAAATCAGTCTGTGTTTTTCTTCTCCTGTTCTTGTTAAAACAGCACCATTAAATAGTTAAAGAACTTTAAAATTCTGCATTTAACTGTTTTAGATGGAATAAAACTTTTAACTGAAAAGGCTGGTGTTCATAATTCAGGATTTCATCATGCAGCCTGAAGTTGAAGAGGATCCAGCTATTCTATTCCACACAGCAGCACTTAATGCGTTGTAGGAAAGAACTCCTGGGCCCCAATTCAGCAAGTTTGTTTAAGCATGAGTTGTATCCCTCATGTGTATTACAAGAGTAGTATTCTGCATGAGTGTGCACTTTCTTACATGCTTTTCTGCATCAACATATTCAAAAAATGACCAATAATAATAGTTTATCTTTTAATTAATCTTCTAGCAGGAATTTATCAAATTATATGCTTACAAATTTAAAACATTATGGTGATAATGTTTTATCTGCATACATTAATATACAAAATCCAATTATTGTGGATTGCTGATTGCTGATTTTGTTCTGGGACTTGTACTTTTCTTAATGCATTAAATGAATGAAACAATAGAAACAAAATGGAAATAGCAGTTTCTTTTTTTTTTTTTTCAAGATGTTACATTTTTTGGTCAATTCTGTACAAAAAAGCAGAATAAAGTCAAATTTTGTCTATAAACTTTTGTGATATTTCACCTTGTATAAGCTTTTATGGCATGCCATCAAGAAGTTTTACAGGAGCCAAGGATTTTTATTAAAAGCAATTCTAACAATTACAGCTGAAATGTCTTCATATGGTGGATTGTAATCTAACTATATTACCATTCAAATGAAAATGTAGTGACATAAAGAATATTCATATAGTTTTCTTAATTTACAAGCTTTTTTTCAGAAGATTCTTTGTTAACTTTGAGTAAGAATGTAGTGCAAGCATTTTTTTTTCTAATGACAGCTGTTGACATAATTTACTTAACAACATAGAAATTTATTCTTTTAACATCTTTTTCTTTTCTAAGGTTTATGTTTAAGATTGGCCTATTTATCATTCAAATTTCCTTTGCTGCTTTCCACACTTTCCTTTTGCAGGTGTTTGCTAGAGTGATAGAAAAAGCTTTTGCTTTTAGTGAAAGGAGAAATACTTTGAAAGCTCTGTCATTTTTTTATAAGTTTTTTGTTAACTAAAACTATAAAATCTTATTTTTGTCTTTTTCTTACTATTTTTTTTCCCTGCAGATTCCCTTTTATTTCCTTGTTTTCTTATGTGTTAGTCTATAATCTTCAACATTTTCTTATTGCAGTCAATCTGTGAGCAATAGTTGGCAAACAGTGGCTAACCACGTGAAGACCACTCTCTACACTGTGAGAGGACTGCGTCCCAATACAATCTACCTGTTTATGGTGAGAGCTATCAATTCACAAGGTCTGAGTGATCCCAGCCCTATGTCAGACCCTGTCCGAACACAAGGTAAGAGTAATTACTATGGCTTACATGCTTGAGCTAAAATTAAAAAAAAAAAAAAAAAAGAAACTGAAAATTGACCATTAGGTTTGTCCATTTTATGTTATCACTCTGACTGAAGGAATCTTGAATACAACTTAACTAATAAAGACAGTCCAATGTCTCCAAATTGCTTTATTAATCTGGAATTTAGGAGAAAGCTAAGGATAGTTGAGCTCTCCAGTGCCTTGGCATATTTTTAATTTGCAGGTTGTAGATTGTAGGTATGCTTCTTGATGGCACTCAAACTTTTCTGAACATGCCCTCTTCTGTTGTATCCTTACTTTCTATTTTCAATTCTTAATTCATCTCCATTATCTAGCAGAGATACACTGTCATAATAAGGACAAAAGCCAGACAGGCAAAACACCTTGTTTTGCATTAGTATTAATACTAATTAATACATAAAGAAATGCAAAAAATGTCCATAGCATATTGGTAAATCTACTCCAACATTTGTGCAGGTTATTCATATAAATTAAGGCATCTGTATGATGGAGAGTATTTCAAAGCTATTCTGAGCAATGTATAGACTTTCAATTTATATCAGCATTTCTGAATTTTTGCATTCATAATTCACTGTATAATAAACCCGGAGGGAAGACTGAAAGGAAATCCCTTATTTGTAGGCTACTGATACAATTGATAGCTGTGATCCTCCATCTCTTGTTTCAGGACTGTTTGATGACTATAAAATCTGCTCATGTTATACTCTGCTCTAAATGTGTACAGCTGCCATAAACAAATTTCACTTCACAGCATGTTTTTTTTTTGGCTTTAAGAACATATTGCTTCAGTACTTCATTCAAGAATGTACTTTTGCATTAAGCATATTGAGGTACAGGAATTAATCATCTTTTTTAAATCACGATTTCTTCATTTTCAAAGTAATAGCTCCTCTCACGGTTAATTTACATTGAGATTATCTATCCCTGTTTACGGAAGTTAGAAAACTGTGTGGGAGTGCCTGTGCATCCTGGGTCAGTCTCCAGCATGTGTAATTGGAACTATGTTCTTTGTAGGTCTTGAATGGAAAAAAGGAAATGAATGGGGTGGTATTGCTTTATCACATAGCCACTAGATCCAGCCTCTCATTCCAGTCTATTCCTGAATAAATCTGTCCTTAATATATTATTATATATCCTATATATATATATAATATTATATATATATATTATATCTTATAATATAATATATCCTCCTCAAAATATTAATAGCAATAATAAATACAAATCATTATTGTAAAAGGAGAAAGAGACGTTTTTTGAAAAGCTGAAGGAATAAGTTGAGGAGGGATTTCATGGCTTCACTGTCCATTGAGTATTGCAACTTTTCTTCTTTCTTACTCTCCTGTTGTGATAAGAAGACTTATGTTTTTCTTTGCACCAGCCTTTAGTCTGAATAACTTATCACTTAGTTAAAAATACAACTTTATTTGGCATTTGAATGTCAAGTGAAGACTTTTTATCTGACATACTGACAAGCAATTTGATTTCAGTAAAAACATGTCTTTTAATTAGCTACAGCATGTGTTGCATCTTCCATTTCCAGAAGCTGTTTAGCAGTCAAGCACACTGAAACATGTACAGGATTTATAGCTTCTTTGGTAACCTCCAGTTTAATGAAATTAAATCATAAAATCAATTGAAAATTAGCATAATGTTTTGATGTGATTTCTAATTATGCCTGAATTCAATTCGGGCTGACAGAGGAAGCTGACACATGCAGGAAAGCCTGTTCACAGCGACCACTGAAGAAGAGAGAAGCAGCTATAACCATACTATATAATACTAATTTGCAACAGGTGTCTTTTGCAGCTTTAATATCTGGCGTTTTATTTCCTGGTAATAAGCATAGCAAAAGGCAAGTAGTATAATTTTATGCATATTTTCATCAGTGAACTACAAGTAGACAATAAGGGGCTTTCAAAAGGCTTACCTTGAATGACTTCTGTCAAATCAGGACAGAGAAATCAGTAATTGCTGTAGGAAAAGATTTGACTTACTGGTTGGATTATTAGCAGACCAGATCATGTATTAAAAAGCACTTCAAGGAAACTATCTAAAATCATGTATGAAACTATGTATAATCATATCCTTGCAATTTAAATTACTATCTACTAGTAGAAAGTTCACTGGAAGCTGTAAAATAAACTTAGAGAAAATACACCACCAATTTAAATTTAGAGATCTCTTAATTTTAATTAGGATATCTTTTTTGAGCTGCTTTTCCATGAGTCATGATTTTATTATGCCAACATTTGCTTATGGGTAGGTCAACTGCTTTCCCACTAGGAGTCTCTAGTAATGTGAATATTTCATTGTGTGACGTTGCACGTGACCGTCATGTATAAATGTGTTTCCAAATGAATTATGAATAAACAGAATTCCACATGTACATCTTACATTAATTTCTTACTGATATTAATCCATGTTATTTCCTTGAGTTTTACGTACTTCTTTCTATGATAAAATATATTTCATAAAGAAACACTATATAGAAATGACTTATTCACTAAGGGAATGTAAGTATTTGGCCAGTTGTATACTACAGCATAATTTAACTTCAAATATAGGCACTGATAGATATATGTAAATTTTTATCAAGGATCACAGATTCTATGAATAGTAGTGTAAATGAATGCTCTGCAAACCAGTCTGAGTTGCTGTCTTAGAACTATTTTATTGAATCTCTCTATTTGTTAGTCACTTTGAATAGACATGATTTGCTAGATAAGCTCCTTCACTCTTGTTGACAACTGTTTTTTGTTTATATTCCTTTTGGAGACCCATGGAGCGATCTGCATTTGAGTATCAGTAGAAGCATGTGTTTCTATCGTTTATTGGTAGCAATGAACCCATAAAATCCAGGATTATGAAGTTGAGGTATTGATTACCAGAATCAAGCTTATTTCAAAATCTGAAGGCCTGCGATTCAGATATTGTTGTCATATTTAAGTGCTTCATTTCTAAAAGCATTATTGTTTCTTCTCAATAATATTTAGGTTAAAAAGAAAGACAAAGTCAAATACAACATACTCACATACCCTAAGAACATCAAAGGGGAAAAAGAGGGCTTTTAAGTGTGTTTTTTCTTCTCTGAGTACATTTGATTTATCCAAAAAGACGGAAAGTGGTTTTGGCTAATGAGTCCCATGAGAAAACCAAGCAGAATTCAAAAATGTGTAGGCAGGCCTGGCTATAATGTATCAGACTTTTTAGAATAAAATCTGTGCTTGTATCTTTCTGGACAAATTAACAACAAATTGAAACAGAAATAATCAATACATGTATATCTGCTTAGGAATATCTATTTACAGATAGACAACTAGTATGAACAATGACAGGAGTGGCATTGTAAGATCTTTGAAGGAGCCACTGAATGTGTCCAAACTTCATTGTCTCCTAGAAATTACCTTTATCTCTGTCTGGAGTAAAGGGAAGGGAGATGCAGGGAAGTATTGGCTAATGAACAGTTTTAGACCAACATTCTTTTTTTGATGCAGTGTAACAAAAAATGGCAATATCTAAGAATTATCACTAAAAAGGCATACTGAAGATATTCACATTGTACATCTCCTTCATTTTCTGATACATACTTTATATTTGCTGTTTATGGATGGTAATACAGCTTCCTTTGGTTTATCCAAAATGAGTAGCCAAAATGCAGTAACCTAAATGAGATCTTTAAGAACTAGGTACAAGGACCACATGTGGTGCTTGGAGGTAGAATCGTAGTTTTCTATAGACCTTTATACTAAGTGATCAAACTCCTTATTTTTACTAGAAGAAATAGTTTTTCCCTTCTCTTTGAAGGAGTGTTTAGCATACTCTTGAAAAGAAAATTTCCATGGTAAAGTGTTTTTATTTTTATTGATCTTTCATGAAATCACAATCGTTTTGATTTAATAAATTTTTACTTTTCGTATTTGTGCTAGATTTCATTATCTTATCTGTAAAGGGAAAAGTCACTTTGAAAAAAAAATTGCTATTTGTTGCATTTGGTTTCTCGTGTGCATGGTATATATAAGGAGGGAAAGTTTAGTGACAATTTGGAAACATATAATAACTAAGTGTCATGTATGCTCCAGGAAAGTTAAAAACCTGTTCATTTTCTTAAATTATGCTAGGCAGTTTGGTTCCAGATATCTGGCTGACATTATTATTATCTGAACATTGCAGAACTAGTGAATAATTGAATCTCTCTCATCACTTGCGAGATTTGAGAAAGCATTACTATCAACTCTGAATAATCATTTTAATGTATTTTTCTTTCCCGATTTCTTAAGCGGCCAAAGGTGGATGATTAGTTTGTTACTTGCCATGTTTGGTAGTTCACATTTGAAGCTTAGCACTCTATTGTTTTAAAAACACTGCTGTAAGAGGGTGCTTAAGTCAAGTCATTAAGCTATTCAGTAATTCCAATTGTCATGCATATTTTCTCGTTAAAATAATGCTTTCATGTGTTTGTTTTGTCTGGCAGATATCAGTCCACCAGCACAAGGTGTGGATCACAGGCAAGTCCAGAAGGAACTGGGAGACGTCATTGTACGCCTGCATAACCCCGTTGTGCTGACACCCACAACAGTTCAAGTTACCTGGACAGTAAGGCTTTCAATATAATTGCCTTGCTTTACCTAATTTTGCCTATTTGTCCCTACATTTCTTTTTCTATACTGAAAAGCTCTGGTCTTGACCTGCATAATTGCTCTACTGAACTAATGTCATACAGGAATATGTGTAGATGAAACGATCTTTTCATTTTCTCCTTTAGGTCAGGCAGATTGAAGGTTTTCTCCATTCAGCTTAAAGGGAGATAGATGTCTAATTATGAAAATGAATTATGTTTAACACCATAATCTAAGGGTAATTGATCTGTGGATTCATAACTGTGGATAGCAAAAATAACTATCATCATTAAAATGTTGTATGAAAAAAACACTTTCCACTTAAAAGCATGAGAACCCCTTGAGAATACTCTATTGTTTGGTGATGCTAAAATGCAGAAATAGATTTCTATAGTGCGCTTGTTGAAAAGTAGGCAATGTTATGCTGATGCCTGATCCATGGGTAGCATCTGGTATTCTGGCATACGCCTTACCCTCAGTGAGTGGACTTCCTTTCATTACAGAAGACCAGAATGTTTCTGGCAGTACTTAGCTAACCTATTTGAGGGACCAAACTACTGGGTAGAATTTCAGAGAAGATATAGCATATGGCTTTTAAAATTCCATGTTTCTCTTACAATCTCTTAGAAAGAGATTGTTCCTAGGGCACTCCACACCACAAATAAGGGCTTTGCTTTTGGAGTATGTGTCCCAGAGGAAGGAGAGTCATGGTTAGAATAGTGAGATGAACACAATGCATTGCAACATTGCAATGCCCATCACTGCAACAGTTACATTATATAGAATGAATTCTGCTAAAGAGATATTCACAATACTCAGAAGTTTTCTTCTACAGGTAATATTGTTAAGAGTTTCATGTGTACAGAGGTCTATATAATAGAATAGAAATATGGATAGATCGTGTATTATAGAAATACTGCAGTTTTTACACATCTCCGATGTATTTATGGGGGCTTATATGTCATCTTTGTTTCAACAGATTTCAATGGTAAGGGCCAGATTAAAAATGAATGGAGAAGTGCACAAATTAGTCTTTCTTAGAAGATTATTTTAAAAATGTGTCATTGCATTTTGTTGTTGATGTTAACACTCAGCTTGTCCTTCTAAAAATACTGTCTGTTACAGCTAAATAAATCCAGGACAGACTGACTTTCTGGTCCAAGTGCCTTTGCAGAAAGACTTTTTGCCCAAGCAGATGGTTCAGTAGGTTAGAGACTTTGAATGTTAGCAGCCAGTAATTGTAAACTTGAATGACATCTATGTGGTGCTTCTTCAAGTCCTTTACTGTGTGTTAGAGATAGCAGAAACAAAATTACATAGGTTTTTTCCCTATTTGTAAATGGAATTCAATTTTATGCAGTGTAATAGCGTTCATTGTATTATAATGAAATATTATGGTTGGAGAGTCTCTTGGTGCCTCTACTGAACTACTAATGAGCAAAAAAAAATATGGCAAGTTAAGGTATATCATTAAAGATATCAGGGGTATCAGCTCATTGGAAAGATCCCTCAAAGCAGTGACAGTATGCCATCTGACAAGTGAATAGACCTGTGTAGAGATGTTTTAGAATTGCCTGAGGGAAGAAAAGCACGCACAAAAAAAGTATCTGGAACAGCTAATTAGAAACTTAACAGCAACCAGAACAAAAACAACTAATTAACCATAGTAGCAGGAAAGCAGCCGCTCCATCCAGAGAATAAAGTTCTGTTCTTATGAAGTGGTTAGATAGCGTAGGTAGGATACAGAAGGACAGAAGTGCAGAGAGAATCGTAAGACTTCCAGTATTCAAACAATAAATGACAAGAAACTTCCTCTATTCCAGAGTTTCTGGTGTCTTGACTCCCAACAAATTTACCAATTTCTCTCTTCTTTCTGAGATGTTTTTGTTTTTTTCTTTCTTTCCATACATATTTTTAAAATTTCAGTTTAAAATTTCACAAATAATTTTGTTCCTGTTTTGCAATTTTAAAATGTTTAGAAATAAAATGTCTAAGTATGTGCCCATATATTTCATCTGTTTGAAAAGATTAGGCTTACAAAGCCAATGTTAAAAAGGAGTAAAAAGCTAGGTTGTCACTGTAACATAAATTTATCCCTCGTGTGCCTAAGTACTAAAGTACAACTGTAACTATCTGGTTACATAGAGTATCTGTTCTTAATAAAGCTATTCAGCATTTCTTTTATCTTCTTTATTCAGTGTGTGCTACCAGATCTTAGGAAATTCATACAACTGAAGCCCAGCATTGAATAAAAAAAATATTAGTTTGTCTCATGTGCTTATCTGTCATGCTCTCAACTGTAACATTTGAGTGTTTCACAAATAATACTGAATTTATCATCAGAAGGATAAAACTGTGTAATAATCCCAACCGTACATAAAGGTAGACAAGGTGCCAGAGATATTTATAGTCACTGACTGTTGCCTAACTTTAAACCTCTGGCCTGATTTATTTTTATTTCTGTCAAATATATTTGCATTGTTACAGCATAATATGTACTCAAAGAACTTTTGTAGCTAACCTCAAGTATAGCTCAGCACTTTCCAGCCTCAATTTTCTCACTTTGAGCATTAAACTGGAAGTTTAATTAGTGGCCAAATGTAAGAAGTTTCCTAGCATTATGTAGGAGCCCTGTGGCATAATCAGGAAAAAATTCACTTCTTCAGAGTGGCGAAATAATTGCTGCTTTGAAATCCCAGCTGCCTTACAGGAATTTTGAGGCTACAGTGCAGAAGAGTAATTTATTTGCCTCTGTCTTTTAATTTGACATTGATTTTAAATGATTGTGCTTCACTGGAAGTTTGAGTTGAGCCTACTGGACAGTCTTGCAGTGTATCATCACCTTTTGTCTTGTTCCTATCGGTAGATAAATACTAGTGCTGTTTGAATTTTTGGAGAACACTGTGAGCCTGTGGAGTGATTTAACCCCAATATGTAGCTCCACTCCACCATGCTGCTTTCCAACTTCCCCTCATCAACAGAACAACAGAAAAATATGATGGAAAAAAGCTCATCGGTTAACATAAAAGCAGGCAGATCACTAACTGATTACCACCAGGGGCAGAACAGCCTCAGCATAGGGAGATTAATGTAATTTGTTGCTTGTTGGTAACAGACTAGAGCAGTGAGAACTAAAAGCAAATTAAAACCATCTCCCTCCGACATCCAGCCTCTTCTATCTCATCCCCTTGAGCAGCACAGAGGAAAAGGAAACTGACTGCCAGTCAGTCAGATTGCTTCATCTCTGCCATTCCTCCATGGTCATTCTGTGTTCCTGATCCATGTGGGGTTTCCTTCCATGGGATACCATCCTTCCTGAACTAGTCCCACATGGTCTTCCCACAGGCTGCAGCCATGTAAGCCCAATGTAGTCCATGGTATTGAGCTCAGCACAGTTTGAAAGATATCTTGCCCAGATGGAGAATTACTGTGTGTACTGGTTTAGGAGCAGAGTTCTTAGGATATTTTGGAGTTGAGGCTTACATACCCAAGAGCATATTGAAAATGTCTTGAGAGTGTGGATTAGCTGGATTGCCTGAATGCATCCTGTATTTGCAGCATAATCTACATTATGAGGGTGTTTTGCTTTGTTTGTTTGTTTGTTTGTTTGTTTTGCCCTTTATTTCTTTTAACAAGCAAATAGCCTACAGAGTGATCATAGTCACTGAACCTGTCTTATATTCAGTTGTGGTATGTGCAGGAAAAAAAAGAACTTTGTATTCTGCAGAAATGGAGAGCTACTGTCAGCTTTATAGATACCTCTTGCACTATACATTCATCAAAAAGAGAGAGAGCATGCAAGACCAATTATGCTTGTAGGTTGCCTTAAAGCATAGAGTCACTGCTGAACAGAACCCATCCAGTAATTGCTGTCTTCTGCCTTTTAAAGGAGCATCTGCATTTTCTGCCATCCATCTTCTGAGGTAGAAAATGTCTTTAGACCAGCACCTGTTACAGCCCTCCTTTGATGAGGGGATTCCACAGCTGCTCCTACATTTTCTAAAGCAGCTTAGAGCATCACAGATATTGTGTTCTGTGATCCCAGTACTCAGCAGAGAAAATTATTGCAATCTCTGTAATAATGCTAAGTGCTTTGTAAGAGGAAGTACATTTAAAAAAAAAAAAAAAAAAAAAAAAAAAAAGAGTGAGAGAGAAATGAAAATAACTAGAAATTATTAAATTCCTTCATCACATCACAGTGCACATTTCTGCAACTCTACCTACATGCAAATGTGTACTAATCCTATAGTTACTTTATGCTTAGCACAAGTGAATGCTATTCTTTAACACTAAGCATGTTTTTAGTGGCCTGCTGTTGAAGTGACATGTAATTACCACGTAAGAATAGAAAAGGATGAAGTTACAAGCTTTGTAATATATATATAAGATTATTTGTATATATAGACATAAATGCATATGTATGTGTATGTATCTATGTATTTATGTGAAATACACTTGATTTTCCTCACGTATACTTTGAGCTATGTATATATGTCTCACATCTCTCTGGTTAATCTGTGTAATTATCCTGAAGTATTTTTGTACTATTCAGAAAATTTTTTAAAAAAAAAAAAAAGTAAAATCCACTTGCTCAGTAAGTGAAGTGACCCCTGAGCAGCTTCCCAAACACCTGACCAAAGGAAAAGTGCCTCTTGTTTAGACTAATTGCAGGTGGGAATTAGGGACAGCTTAGTATCTTCCTTGATATTGAATACAACTAGGTGTTTATAGAAAGCATTAAAATGCGTCGTATTGTCATTTTCATTCACAAGTACCCTCCTAGACCATCAACAACAGAATCACTCAATAATCTGAAATCCTAGCAGATCATTTGGCTCTGTTGTAATCAAACTTTCAACTGAAAGAACCTGTGTAAATGGCATGATTTCCGGGTTAAGCTGGTTTACTGCAACTGCAAATGACAGCCTTGTTCAACTACCACACATGTTTTCATATTGCTTATGTTGTTTAGTCTTTCTAGTAAAAAAAATTAATAGCTAGGGAAAAGAGAGGTGCATGAATAATTTGAATATCATATGTAAACTGATATGAAAGTATGATGGACTGAGAATTGCTTAGTGAAATCCAAGTTTTTTGTGAGTTAGTAGGTGCATTTCTCTTTGTATGATGTCATAGAAAACGCTTTTTATACCATTTCTTGGCAACAAACAGTTACTGTTCAGTTTAGTCCTAAATTTTCAGATCTTCTGCACTGCACAGGAGTCAATAGAGCTTAAAAGGATCTGCAGCAAAAACAAAATTGAAAGTTCTAAAGTAGTTATGGTGTCTTTCAGCATAACTTCTAATACAAAAGCTGGGCAAGAACCAAACTTAGTATTTAATTATTAAACATCATAGTCTCATATTGTAAGGTAGGTTGAGAAATTATATGAAGTTGCTGTTCTTACTAAATTTTGTAGTAAACATGAGGTTCACAAAGTCTTTATGTCTGTAAAACATTTAATTAATGAAAGTCAAACATGGATAAAAACAATTTACTCTGATTTACAGACTCCCTTCATCTGGAAACAGCTGCTTAATGTTCTTCTTAAAAACACAGCTTGATTCTTTCAGTATTAACAAGCTATTATTGTGAGTTATATCCCTCTTTCAGTGCATAAATTCACTTAAAGTGAATGTAGAGAAGTTTATAAAATGCAAGCTTAATGTTGTTGTAACATATGTTGCAAGATTTTTAACAGTGACAGTTTTGATGAAAGACATTTCTGCTTTGCTCTCACAAATAGAGCTTTCTTCTTGCTTGCCCTGCTTTTTAATGTCTTAAGAATCTGCATCCCTTCTGAATGACTCGATAAACTATAACAAGATTATAGCAAAAGTGTAATAGACTCTGGTTTGTGTTTTCAGCTTGAAATTCATTTCTTCTGAAGATAAATCAAACAAATGTATCTTTAATTCTGAAGTACCTTTGAGTTAGCAGAATGTCAAGAAGAGAAAGGAAACCCTGTTTGTTGAATCTTGGATGTAACACAGAAATTTATCAAACTGCTAGTCATATAGTCTTTGTTACTTAATTGCATTTTCTTTGAGTATTTGACAATGCAGAAGCAGCTAGACTTGGTTTGATTTTACCTGATGGGTAAAACTTGATGGGTTGTTTGGTTTGTGTTTACTTGCAAACATTATAATAACTCAAATCATTATTTCAAATTGTTTTTGCTTTCAAGAGAAAATATGAATGCAACATCTTCCAGATAGAACACACTTTAGGTTTTTCCTTCAAATAAAAAATTCTACTCATAGCTATGAAACAATTGTTAAATTTTTGTGTCTGCCTAGCAACAATTAGAATATAAAACAAAAATAACATTCCAACTCCATCTGATGGATTGAGTACATCACAACCCCAGGATGTAAAGAGACTGTTTAGACTATGAACGCAAGAAACAGCACATGTTCTTAGATGTTGTTTTCTCTGCATCTGTCTAATGTTTATTTTACTTTCCCAAGCATCTCATGAAAAGATCAACTGTAAGCCAAGTAATGGACTAACTGAAAGCATACAGTGCTTCTTCAAAGACTTGTCCTCTTCAGAAAAGAATTTGTTTTTCTTTTCTTCTCATATTTCAGCACATCAGTAGCCAAGATGTTCATAAGTTTACATGCAGTAAGCATTATGCCAAAGTTCTCTTTTTTTCATTTGTTGCAGGGGTGAGAGCTTGTTTTATGATTTAAGATGGCATTTGTCATGATATATATATAACTGCAGAAAGTAAAATAGAAACGTTCTCTAACAAGTAATGTGAGAAGAATATTCCTTTAGAGACAATTAATAATGGTACAATGGTACAAGAAGGCATTTTGATTTTTAAATTTCAGCAGCATAAGTGGTTGTTAATTTTTTTCTTTTTCACAAGGGTGAAAGTATTCTGGGCAAAAGTTTTGCTTTCATTTCAAAATGTTTTGTTACTTTAGTATGTTCACTGATGTATTATTTAATGCCATTTCTAGGTTGACCGCCAATCGCAGTTTATTCAGGGCTACCGAGTAATGTACCGCCAAACATCTGGCCTACTGTCTCCAGCTGTATGGCAGAATTTGGAGGTCAAAGTCCCAACAGAGCGCAGTGCTGTTCTGGTCAATTTGAAAAAAGGAGTCACTTACGAAATTAAAGTTCGCCCGTACTTCAATGAGTTTCAAGGAATGGACAGTGAATCAAAGTCTGCTCGTACCACAGAGGAAGGTTAGTAAAATAGTCAAATATCATTTTGGTTATTTTATGCATGCCTTCATTCAGCTCCACATGATTTCTGTTTGTTAAATGTAAGGTAATCATTAAAATTCAACATCATAATCAGTTTTCTACTGTAAGTATTCCCGGAGAAAGCATTTGGCCAGTTCTGTATTCTTCTAACTTCCACCTGCTCCGTATGTGCAAGTGGCTTTGAGTCTTCTAACAAGTGTATGCAGCAGGCATTCTTTTACAAACAGTGTTGATGCAAAAGAAGACTTCGATCTGCACTTCGAAAATAAAATTCAGTTTGAAAGGCACGCCACTCTATTGGTTCTGCCAGCAAAGTTCATGAAACTGCCCTACTTAGTTGTTTGCAGAGTTTTCTTAAGTACCGTTTAGATGTAAGTGAAACAGTGTGCAGACATATTGAACATTTTACATCACTGAAATGCAGAAACATTTATTCCTATGGCATGTAGTACAGTATACTCATACTTAAATATTTATGCATTTGAAGACCATTTTTTATAAAATTTAAAGAGATTGAGTTGAGATATGTAATTTTTATCCTTTTCTCTTGGTGTATAAGAAGTCTATCTATCTAGAATAACCTGTGCCTGGAGAACCTGAGCAGTCATCATCAACTCTGCTCTATAAAAGAAAAGTGATCACAAAAGTGAGGGTTCATCTTCTCACTTTGTATCATTGATTTCTTTCAAAACATAGGAAAGAAATACCAGTGATGTTTCTAAATGCTCACGTGGTCTTCATGGGTTTTGAGTGCACTCTTTCAGTCCTACTGAAGATGCATCTTAATCACTTACAGTAGTCTCCTGAGGTTTAATTTAGTACTGATTGTCAAACGCATTTTACATTTCAGAAGGACTCACGTTTTCTCTTTAATTTGTTATGATTATTGACCAGCAAGTAAGCAGTCCTGAGGGTAACTTGGTTTCTGCCTTTCTTTATAGATGAGGAAATTCAGTATCCTGCAACATGTAGGAAGGCATTCCTTAAGTAACATTTAGCATTTGCTACTCTCTGTTTCCAATTTCTTTGTTCAGACCATAAAGCCTAAACGAATCAATTAAGACTACCTTTGCAGCAGTCTAAACCAAGCTTTAAAAGCAATAATTTTTTTAAAAATCTACTAAAAAGAGATTTCTATTTCTATAAAATCAATGAGAAATTAAATTTTCATTCTTAAACCTCATCTCTCCATACTGCCAGTCAGGTAACATTGTACTTTAAAGGCCACTTTCTTTGTGTGCAATTTTCTACATTGTGAAGATTTTTAGAACTTTTCTTATGGGTAGTTATGTATAGCTAACAAACGAGGATCTGCTTTGTAGATGTATAGCCTTCAAGTAGTCTGTTTACAAGTATCTCTTTCAAAAAAGCAGCTTGTAACACGTTTTTATCACAAGTCAAGTGACAGCCCCTTTATAAAATTCTTCCTTTTTTTGGGTGATAAAACGATGTACTATGAGAAAGTTAAGAAATTTGCTAGATCCTGTTCCAGAGATATTTTCCTTTAACTCCTCATATTAACTTTGTAATCATATTGGTGTTCGTGTATTTCAAAAATAGCACTAACTTAATGTTTAATAATTGTGGTTTGCTCCTCATCCAATAAAGAGAAATGGCAGTCTATTTAAAGGTGTCACACTTTCTATGTAGCCTGTGATTTCATTTCAAAAGTGAGCTTTTTTAGACTTGACTTTTTTAAAATGTCAGTTGTACTATTTATAGAAAGTAATTTGGAAGAGTGATATGCATGTTTGAAGTTTTTTGCAAGATGAACAACCCAGGTAAAGTACAATCAGGAGGCAGTGGCAGCTTTCTGCTGGACTGAATTTTACATGCAGTGTTACTTCTGAGTCCTAGCTCCAAAAATCAATTTTGCTACAGTTAGACTTTTCCTCTGGATCAGGCATTTTTCACAGTTCAGTATCCATTCATCTCCTACCTCTTTGGCCTTGTGGAGGTAATAAATGGAATTCTGTTTGGCTGCCTCTGGAAGAGATGAGCAGCGATTTGGGTTCTTTCATATCTGTAAGAAGAAGCTGAGCACTGGAATAATTGACCTGTCAAGAAGCAGGCAAGGTGTTCTCCACAAGGCAGCAGCAAGGGAAATGAAAAAACAGGTTTAAAAATGTTATTTTTCAATGTAGTCTATTTAATAACTGCAGAGTGTCAGACAAGTGCCTTAATTTATATCATGGTGCCAGCTTACAAAGTGATATTATCATAGGAGGAGGAAGCAGAACTGTTATATACGTATGTGTGCCTACACACATAAGAGCTAAATAGAACACTTTCGTTTGTTAATTTTCACTTCTTTTTTTCACCCTTGCTATGAAGACAGATGATAATCCTTTTAGGTACATACACTACGTTAAATCTCTTCTGGAATAACTTTATGGAGTAGTATTTGTTCTGCATATTGTTTGTCACCACAAAAATATGACAATAGTGGAGGTCTCCTAAGTTTTATCAGTTGCTGTTTTGTAACAGCAATCAATTCTTGCTTGCCTTACCGCAGCTCTTAAAGTTATACTTCCAGCTACATTCATCAGTTGTGATTTAATTTTGCTTACAACTTACTATCTATCCTTCAAAACCAAAAAGAGTCCACACACAGAAAATTAACTGGAATATTCCTGCAGTTTAAATGCAAATGCAAATCATTGCATTGTTTTTTTCTTTTTCAATGATAAAGGTATTTATTTTATATATTCTTTAGTGTTTACCTCTCTCTTCTCCCTTCCCCCATGTTCCCCAGTACTTGCACATAAAACATTATATACCTGAATGTCCTAATGATGAAAGTATATACATTTCAGCACAATGTTCCATTTTACTTAAAAAAAGAAAAAAATATATAATGTTGTTTTGCCATTTTTATTACTACTGTTTGTTATTATTATTTAGTATTGTTAATATTGTACACAGTTATTCTTGGTTTTGTTGTTACACAATATCTTTAAGGTTTTTAAAACACTTTTTTTCTTTTGTTCTCTGTGGTTCATTTGCCATAAAATACACTAAGCAACCTTACTGTTCAACAGTTAGAGTTCTCTCTGAGCAGGAATGCTCTTGATGATCAGACTGCAGTCAGGGAGTCAGAAAACCAGAGGGCAAATATATTTGAAGCGGAGATGGAGGAGAATTTTTTGGGTTCTGATCTAATCTATTATTCTTCAACATTTCATTTAAGATATTTTACTATCATATTAAAAGTGAAAAATACTGTTTTTTTTAATTTTGGAAGAAAATTTTAGTAGAGTTATTAAAAAAAAAAAAAGTCACCCTGGAACAGGATCTGCTGGGAGCTGAAAAATTGTCCTGGGAAGTTATCATTATACACTTGCTATATTAGTCCACACTTCTCTAGACTCTATTAGTTTTTTGTTTGTTTGTTTGTTTGAAGACTGAGTAAATGGACTGGGACAGATAGACTAGATGGATCATAGGACCAATTTGGTGCAGATGATATTAGATTCCTTGCCCTCTCCCCTCCCCAGGGACATACCTTAATATGACACACTCAACATTGGTGATTTAGCTTGCCACTGTGGTAGCTACAAGAAGTTTTAATGTCACATAGTGGCCAAGGAAGGACATATGCCTTTGTGGTGACAGCTGTAGCTGTGCAGGGTGAAGATGCTCACAGAGGGGACTTTGGCCTCTCTATGGAACTTGCTGCAGTACTTCCTAAACAATAAGTTCTACACCAACAAAAGCACCCTGCTGTTGATGTCACTGCAGAAAGGGCTTTGCCAGCATAGTTCTGATAACTAACAGCAATGTTTTTTTATTTTTATTTTTTTCTTCAAACCAGAGTTGGGGGGGCTGACAAACATAGGGCCTTGATATGCAGTGGCCAGCCAAACAGCTGTGAGAGGTTGAATTGAACAGAGTACTCTAAAGAGAAAGATTAGCTTGAATAAAGAAGAGCATAAATATATATATCTGACCTAAACTATCATCTCCCCCATTCACTGTCATTTGGTATAAAGTCTTAAAAACTTTCTGTCTAAGAGGTACAAAGTTTTCTGCTTAAACAAGTTGAGTTATTGACTTCTCAGAGAACCAAAAAGGAAAGCAAACAAAACTTCCTGAACTCCCATTTCTCACAATAGTATCAGACCATGTGGGGGAAAAAGAATGAAAAGACTTTTCTGGGCAGGGGATACAATCTCACATTATGACTTGGTTGACTTAGTTGACATATGCATAGCTAACCATGTGTTATGGAAAACAAATGCAAGCATGAGAATAATTTAAATGCAAGTCTTAAGAAATGCAATATCTAAATACATGAGAAGTGATTTGTATTGATTCTCCATTACCAAAGATTCCACATTTTCATTCAGTACAATGTTTCTCTTCAGAAAGGCATTTTTTCAAAGTTGTCAGTCCCTAACAAAATGTGCATACGTAGGCCTGCAGGGGCTATGAACTTTGTATGTTCTCTGCTTGCACTTACACTTTTTAGCAAAATTTGTGCTCTAGCAAATGGATTAATGTCTTACTCCTGTTTGTTCCCTCTGTTTGGTGCAGCTCCAAGTGCCCCTCCTCAGTCTGTTACTGTCCTGACAGTTGGAAACCACAACAGCACAAGCATCAGCATCTCCTGGGATCCTCCCCCTCCAGATCACCAAAATGGAATCATCCAGGAATACAAGGTAGAAAGGATCTGTAATGGAAGGGTTGTGTGTTTTAGGAAATAGCCTGCATGAATTACAGAACAATAGCACTGTTTACAGATTTAGATTCTGACAGCATTTACTGCCACCAATATAATTATATGGAGAAAAAGGATTGAGTGCCTAGTGGATTTTTATTTTTTTTCCCCATATAAGCAGTGCTACTGTTATTGTTAAAACCAAAAATAGCATGAGCTAGACCTGGAAGAGACTTGTAGTTGCCAACTAGTTTAAAGGTTTTATTTCTTTCTTATCTATCCTTGGAAGAAAGAGAAGGGTTTTTTTGTTTTTTTGTTTTTTTTTTTTTTCCTAGGGGGTTCTTTACTCCCAGAACAAGTGGTGGAGCTCCTGTCTCAAAATATCTTCAGCCTGGTAGAAAAGCTGGCAGGAAAGATGCTACTCTCCCCTGCAAAAATGCTAATCTTATCACTTCAAGGTCAAAGTCAAGAACTATAGCTTTGGGAGAATACAGGTCTTCCTTCAAGGACTATGTGTGTCAAGATTCACAACATAAAGTGCTAGCTAGATCAGGCTAGATATGCAGAGTTTGTTACTTGACTGCTTGCTGCACTTGTTGCCTTTTCTCTGCTTTTTTTTTTTTTTTTTTTTCTGTGATGGCTGAAGTTATCCTTCCCTTATTTATCACCTTATATTTTGTAATAGTCTATTCCCCACTAAGCTTGTTTTTGCACAAGCATATTTCCCCAAATTGGAAATTTTGCAGTGTGTTATTGGTGTGCGTGGAGGGAAGCCTGGAGAAAATGATCATGCTGTATTCAGCATTATCACAGGCTTATAACTATGAAACATATACAACAAATTTTCATTGTGGCTAGCTTCTATATTGAATGTGAAATTTATAATTGAAATAGAGCAGGGCAGCTTGCTTGAAAATCCCACTAAGGGCAGAAATGATAATCTTTTTGAGATGCAGACGATTATTTCATGCAGGAATATGTAATTTATTCTTCCTGATGTGTTGTAAGGGAAAACAGAATCTAGAAGGAAGAAAGTGCTTGGCTTATAACCAATTCATGTTTTAACCTCTTATGGATTATCATTTGATCAGAGGGATGCAGTAAATGTACACAGTACTTATTTTTAGCATAGCACTTGTTATATTTTGCTTTTATTTAATATTAAGATTTATTAATGCCAATATGGTATTGATCTCACTTTCATATAAATAATTGTATCTTTTGCTTTAATTCATCTTGATGCTGAGTGTTCTATGAGGCAACATTAACTTTCAGGCAAATAAGTAAAACACAGTCTTAAACCACAAAATATATAGATATGAAAGTCAGCTGATGGTTAATCAAAGCCACATTCCAGGTGAGTACTCAGACCTCTAGATTGTTTAGAAAAACAGCTGGAGTCACCACCTATTACATCCCTTATTGTTAGATTAGATGGCCGCCTGATTTGTGTGCTGGCTGTGGTGAATCTAATGCAAAGAGTCTTTAGTATAAAACAACTGCTAAGGTTTCACTGGGTATGTTCTAATGAATGTAGATCTGTTGTTTCCAGCATAAGAATGAATGGAGATTCATTTATGAATTCAGTGCCTATAATTAGGAGTATTTTGTAGTTGCTGCGACTTAAGACCAGGAGAGACAAGGTCTGAAAGAATGAATTGCAATAATCTCTCGCCCTAATGCATTCTGCCCTGCATGTAGCCTCTGCATGAGCTCAGAAGAACGAAAGTTTATTTTGTTCTCAAAATCTTTCTCAGTGCTTTGCAGAAAAAAAAAAGGTGTGATAGAACACTGAGAAGGGTCAAAAGTAAGGGTAAAGAGAGTATAAATATTGTTTATACACATCTATTGGTCACTGAAAGTGGTTCCACTGGTAGTGCTTTCTTCTGCTGTTGTAATTATGTATTGTACATATGATACCTTTAAGCATTGATTTTCTTAAGTATAGTGGCAGCAAATTCTTTCTTTGATCATAGAAAAGCAGTATGTGCCAAAAACAATAACTGAAAAAGAATCCCTAAGAAGTCTTAGTTTTGAAACTTCTCAGGAGAAGCCAATGGATAAATGCAGGAGAGAGAAACAACTCTGTGAAATTATGTACCATTCTCATAAAATATGAATTCAGATTTTAGAATATTTTGTTGCTTCTGTTTAGTTGGAAAATAATTGTGTCAGGAACTGATATCTGGATTTCTGAACAATGTATGTAATCACAATAAAGAGCAGTTTTGAGCTTACTCTGCTTTGGAAATGTCGCATGTCCCTGCTGTGTAGCAAAAAGAAATAGAGGAGGATTTTGAAAGATTTTATCCCTTAATACTTTAAGAAACATTTCACTAGTTGTCCTTTTACTGTCCAGTGGGAAAATAAGAATGAAAAAATGGATTTTTTTATGAAAAGGTTTGGCAGTAATCACATTACTGAATAAGATTTCAATGAAAACATAACACATCTTTTTCACTTGGATGATTCTATGTGTTTCAAAGCACGCCATAGAATTGTGCTCCATGGAGAGCCAGAGTCCAAGATGGTGTTTGCAAACAGACTTTGCAACTTGCCTGATTTTACAATAATCTGGGATAATTTGCTGAGCTCCAACTGTTCCTAGATAGTAACATTGTTAACAAGTCCAAAATACCAAAACAGATGATTGTCGTGCAAAACCTTGAAATGTCATATCCATCAGCTATTGTTTATGAATACCAAGAATTTCCTATTTTTTAACACATCAACTTTTGTCCCAGATCTGGTGTCTAGGTAATGAGACTCGATTTCATATCAACAAAACAGTAGATGCAGCCATTCGATCTGTAGTAATAGGTGGCCTGTATCCAGGTATTCAGTACCGTGTAGAAGTTGCTGCAAGCACCAGTGCAGGTGTGGGAGTGAAAAGTGAGCCACAACCGATAATAATTGGTAAGTGATTGTGTATTCTGTTGTTTTGTTTTGCTTGATTTTACTTTCAGAAATGCTTTCATTAGTCACTTCTGAGAGCATGAAAGTCTGTGAGCAAAAGACAAGTTTTGAATTGAGCTTGACAGTTAGCTTTTAACGTCCCAATGCCTGCTGGCATGGTGCCTTTTGTACAGAGTTCTCACAGCTAGCAGAGTGAGCTAGTTCTTTCTTTGCTGAGACATTATAGAAAATACAAATTATCTAGTGAAACTGATTTTTTAAAGTGTATTCACCACTTTTGCAGGTTGATGGATTTATGGAACTAACAGCTAGGACTTCTTTTTCTCCTATTCAGTTGACTGTAATATTGCTTTACCTGTACCACTGATGCATAAGGCACAGTTTACAGTTCTTTTTTGAACGTGGTGTGCCAGTGTTTCTCGGGTATCCCAAGCAGATGAGTTTGCTCTGTCAAAAAATAAGTAGCCTGTAAGCCAAATAGAGAGCAAAGGTGGTAGTAGCATCTCTGCTTTTTAAATTATCATCTTATTATTATCTTCTTATTAGTTTCCATGAACGATTAATTTCTTTTACAAAAGGAAGTATAGATACTTTTTCTTTTGAGCTTCTTCTGAAGTATGAAATACAAATGCAGAAACAAAATGAGAAGGATGAGAATAGGAAAACTATTTTTGCAAAACTGAATTGGACTGTGCACAGCAGTACCTCTTCAGAGTGCTGAATACGGGGATTTTGTTACTTTCATCCGAATGTTCTAATTTAGTTATTACAAAAATGAGCTTTTTCTTGCTTGTATGTGAGTCTGTTGGTATTACACATTTTCTTTCTAGAATGTTCTGTCAGAACAGTGTCCCAAGTATGAATATTTCTATTATGTGTAGACATTTAGAAAATGTCAATTCCTATGTGTTGCTTAAATGTTTAATTTATATTCAGGTTCCCATATTTAAAGACAAAAGTAGAGGTATTCCAGATTTGGATATGTTGTCAGTAGAGAAGGGAATAAAAGTTACTATGGTTTTAGAAAGAGGAAGTCACAAAAATTCCAAAGCAGGTTAATGAGTGTTCTAGAACTGAAAGCAAGAATTTGATGTTTTGAAAATGCAAGAAATCTGACCTCTCATAAGCATGAGTTTTGGATCTCTGTGTAAAGAGCTTTTGTTGTGAGACTGGTTTGTCATTGCATTTGCTTTCAGCAGGCCTTTGCTTTTATCCTTACTGAAAGGGTTCCGTCCAGCTACACGCTGGTCTTATTCCAGCAAAATACTTAAGCATGTTTTAGTTTGAGCATATGAGTAGTCTTGTGCCACTTAACCTGTTGTGAGTTAAACTTGCACTAAAGTGCTTTGCTGGATGATTGCCAGAATGCTTAGCTCCACATCTGCTTGCAGACCTTTATCCTGTCTTTTTCCTTAGAAAAAATGACTAGTATAATCAAGAGTTAATTGTGGGGATATTTGTATTGTTATGTGAAGGAGGAAAGGGATGCTAGGACATAGAGTACAAAAGGAATTGCATTTTAAAGCTAAGTAAGTTTTGCATTGTTAAACTTAGTAATATTACTATTTATCCCTTTAATGAGTCCAGAATGTCTTGAACACAAGTTTTTGTCTGATAGCATCCTTATACATTTAAGAGTCTTTCACATGAAAACTAAAAGTGTTTTTTTGTTGTATTGTGTTTCTGTTCTCATTTCTCTTTTCTCTTTTGAGATCACAAAGCTAGATGTATTTATTGTTTCATAGTCTGCATCTCATTTTTCACTAGGTTATTTTTCTGTTGCTTATGAGCCATAGTCACTGGCAGTTGTCCCTCAGACTATAGATTTTATTCATAAAGGTACTACTAATTAAATGGCACAATTTCTAAAATAATTGAGTTGATCCCATTCAATATTTGACTGAGAATCAGCAACATAAAGTAAGAAAATGAAATTTTCAGATACTTATAAAAAAAAATCACATAGGTTAAGTGAACAAACCTCAAAACATAGCTATGGATGGGAAAAAATTATCAAGTCATTGTATTATAATGGATTCCCATATGGCCTATGTGCCTAGCTATTTAACAACCTGCAAACAAACACTATGGAGTTCTAAATTATGGAGAGAACAGTTCAGTGATAAAAAGCAGATGAGACTTGTTGCTGAACAGTATAACTTCCATTGTCATTAAATAGACTCCAGTTTGTGATAAGCAAGATAGTATTCTTAAATATAGAATGCGTTCATCTAAGAAGTTATTCTGAAAATAACTAATTTTCACCATGGATAATCAATTACTGACTTCACAAACCAAGTCTAAGCATCAGGTTAATCAAAATCCAGAAAGTATAAGCAGAATATGGAGTAGGAAGTATAATATTTCTTTAATTAAAAGTAGTGTCACTGTTTCTGGAATTCTGTGCCCATACTTCAAACTCAGTGTTGAAAAATGCTACACAAGACTCAAAGAGAATTTAGAATAACATTTTTACTGTCATTACTGATATGCTAATTTTTTTTGCTTGGTATATCAGAAATATAACTGAGAATAACAGCAATATTGGTTAATGGTAGAGCTATTATTTCTCTTCATCAGTTGGCCTGTTCATTCTTACATTCCATCATTGGCATAATAGTATGAGGAACAGCTGCAAACTTTCACAGTAATAGGTACAATTGAATCTGATGTGTATAATTAATTTTTGGTCCAACAAATTAGTTTTGTTCTTCATTACTCTCCAATGGGAGGAAGACATTATATTTCATTATGTTTTTGTCTTCGGGAACAATGGAGCGTTACAGGTCACACACTTCCCTTGTCTATGTTCTAATTAGTTGAACTGACAGCATTGTTACAGAAACACCTGCAGTATACGAAGTATTACACTGGTACCTTGGATAGTATATATATTACTTATATAGTATACATATTACTGATTAAATACTGATTAAATATTACACAATGAAATACAAAATGAATGCAGTTTGTTCTCCAAAACCACAACAATTATATTAGTTTTATCAAGCAACAGTGGGTAATGTTCATCCATATCCATTTATTTTTCAGTCATTGAAGTCTCAAAATATATGTTATTTTGACATTTAAACAAGCTATTACTTTTTCACTCATAATCGCTAGGCAGTGAATGCTAGGCACAAACAGGCAGACTGCAAACTTCAGAAGGTAATTTGGAGACAAGTTGTGCTTTCTGTTAGAAGAGATCAAGAGGAGAAGGACCACTGAGCACTCTCTCCAGGCTCTCTGGGATTTGTTGTTGTATCCTGCATCCTCAGAAGACTGCTTTCTGGCCTTAAGATAAAACTGGATTTTCTGCACTGGGACAACTTGGAAACTTTTTCAGTATACAGTTCTTTTCTTCAGCTCAAGAGCATCTGCTCTCAAAGCTGGTGACTCTGAAGCCATCCCTGCCCTCTCTTCCCCGTGGTAGCATGGCTGCCTGTTTTCTTCACCAGCAGTGTTTCCTCACCGGCCTGCTGCTATTACCTTGCCTCCAAAGGGCAAAGGAATTAACTGAAAGTTAATGGCAATTAGAGTGACATCAACTCCCATGCTGATTTCTACTAGAAAACCAATTGTGTGCTTAGAGAAGCACACTGCAGAATTCCTTTTCTATTAGTTTTTTGCTTCAGCACTTCCTCTTTTAACCCTAGGTTGCACCTATGGGTTGTTTCCACGGGCAATAAAAAAGGAGGAAAACTGGCAAAGTTGCTTCTACTACCTCCCAGCTTTTCTTTGTCACTGGTGCTTGTTATGTGAGTTATAGTTGACTTTTTCACAGTGGTAAGACAGCATAGGAAAGTTTGGGAAAGAGCTTAGAGAGCTTGACACCTGTAAAGCTTACCAGCATGACCCAGTATAGACTGGTACTCAAAAGGCTGTTTCTCCATTAACAAGCAACAGCATCTTTCTCCGGCGCCTGTTTGTTTGTGGGAAGCCTGTTTTGTTTCTTGAGCAGATTACTGAAAGCAAGCCAAGCTCTAGCACATCTTCAGCAGTTTGTTTGCAAAAGCAGACAGTCATCATTACTAAATATTGACATGGTGATGAAAGAGAGAAAGCTTAATAAAATCACAGAGATCATTAACGGTGTTATAGCAAAGTAATGCAGTGTATCACATTTTTTCCTGAGTAACTGAATCCAGCTCTGAGCTCAGCAGAGGACCTAAGCCCATGCATTTGCTTGAACAGCACTGTGCTCAGGCCAGTGCCCATATGTGGGTACAGATTGCAGGCAGGGAAGGTACAGGCAGCTCAACACTCCGTGGGACAGGATTTCAGTTACAATCTCTCACATTTAAACTGTTGACTCCTGTGAAGAATTATCCATGGAAATAAAGCTGGAAGTGTCAAGACACTCTCGTATCTATTCTGGAAAGGACCTTGTCTATTTGCTCTCAGGTGAAGCTACAGTGCTGACATAGAAGCTGTTTTGCTTAAGAAGAAAGTGGTAAATGTAACTATTACTGGATTTTGGAAGAGGACTGCATACATTTTCACAGCAAGACATAATGGTGCAATATTTCTACTAATTGCTCTGAGTGACCGTTTCAATATTTGATTATTATATTCAACTACCTCTGTGCATGCGATACTCATAATTGGCAGTCACAATATTTTTTTTTCTCAGTAGTGTAGTTACTCTTGCTGCCTGAAATCTTTCTTCTGCATGCATGCAGGTATTTGATAGTATCACACATACATTTCAAGGATTGAGCCATATGAATGCATTTATAAGAAATGAAGGACAATTCCTTCATCACTGTCAAAAATGTAGATGTAGGCAGTTTGTATCCAATACATATAGAATCAAGATCCTGCAAAAAAATGTATGTTCCCCATTTCCTTATTTTAAAAGTAACCATTTTTGACAGGGTGGTATTGGAAGCAGAAAGGTTCCAGCCCTGGAACGATATGTTTTAACATTTCCTCAATTGCTGTCTGCATTTTTAATGGACATTCATTTTTAAGTCAGACACCAGGCTTTTCCTTTTAGAAAAGTTACATTTTAGAGGACGTGAGTTTGTGGAGTCTCCTTCTATGGAGATATTCAGGACTTGTCTGTACGCCTACCTGTGTGATCTACTGTAGGGCACCTGCTTTCGGAAGAGGGTTGGACTCGATGATCTCTTGAGGTCCCTTCCAACTCCTGTAATACTGCAAGAGGGAAAGGTAAAGAAAAAAACCACACCAATGGGAAAATCTACTGAAATTTATGATTTTCTAAGGTAGTAGGCAAAATTAAGATGGAATATAGTTATTCCTGATGATCGCTTTAATTGATATTCCACATCATGTATATGTCTTAGAAGTTGATGTTTAGAATTATTCATGCCTATTATAGGTGAAAAAAAAAGCTATCAGTTTGGAGCTAACAGTTATCTAAGCTATTTTCTGCTTTGTGTCAAAATTGGTATGCTTAGGATTGTTTTCTCCATGAAATAATTATTGGAAAAGGCACCTTTCTTTTTCAACTAAAAGTTCATACATTTTATTATTTATTTATTGAGAGGTATAGAATGCAGCAAAAAAACAACAAAAAACAAACAAACAAACAAAAAAGAAAATGAACCCAAAAATTAAGAATTTTGGCTTGGTGATAACAATCAAAGAAACTGCCTTTTGATATTGTAGCAAGTCTTGCATTTGAATTTCTCATTTGATTTGTTTTTTTAGAATTGATTTCCATTCACTCATTATGCCTATAATTATATAAAAAATAGAAAACTGTGTATACTGTTAAAAAAAAGTACCTGGACTGGCATCTGTGAAATTTGGGGAGTGCTATAAAGCTATATTTTCAAATAAATATGGGCAAAATAAGAGTGTGGATTTACTTACTAGAAACACTGGTTTTCAGATGTGCGTTAGTACTTGTTAAAGTCCTCCTACTGTGGATGATTATTTGTAGGCGCATTACTGTTTTTTTCTATTTTTTCCTTTTTTTTTTTTTCTATTTTATTTTAATTTCCAATATTTGGTTCCTGTTTGCTTTTTGGAGTCCATAATAGCAATGTTCTGTCAATTTTCTTTTGTGCAGGAAGCCGTAACGAAGTTGTCATCACTGAAAATAACAACAGCATAACGGAGCAAATCACTGATGTTGTCAAACAGCCTGCCTTTATAGCTGGCATCGGTGGTGCATGTTGGGTAATTCTGATGGGTTTCAGCATCTGGCTGTATTGGCGCAGAAAGAAGAGGAAGGGGCTCAGTAATTATGCTGGTAAGAACAGTAACTCTTTATTACCATCTCATCAGGTTCTGACATGAAGAGAACATGTGCTGATAAACCTACTTAAAAAACGTGTTGACCTTACAGCAAAGGTGGCCTGGATTAATTTTGAATGCTTGTTTTAAATTTGTGTTGTGAAAATGCTGGTGTATGAGAAGCTTTAAATGCATTGCTCAGTACCATATTTCATCATTATCATAAAACAGTCTTTATTTTTACATCTTCAGCACATTTAGCATTAAAAAAAGTGGATGAAAAAATGAAGTGGATTATTCCTTGATCAGAAAGCACTCTGTAGTAGTACAGCTCCATTTATCTGCTCAGATGTGAAATAGACTAGACCTTTACAGGAAAGACCAGGAAGAATATTCTGTATCCTTTTTCATTCCCATGCATTTCCATGTTTTTGAAGCCGTATGCATGGGAAATAAACTGAATTACTTAATCTACAGCTCCATACCTACAACTGGAAGAAAAGAGAGAGATGTATTAGACTTAAAAGTGTGATTTAAAATTGCCTTTCACAGAAGTCATATAAAGTTTTGACTTGGAGGTAGAACACCTCAGGATGCCCTTGCAGTGTGCTCAGTTTTACATCAAATGTGCTGCTCCAGTTACAAATTAATTTTTGAAAATTCATTTGGAAAAATAAATTCACTGAATGATTTTCTTTTTCTCATCCAAATTCTCTATATTCTGTATTGTTCTGTGCTTTAGGGTTCTTATGGATTTTTAGTAAGTCAGATGAATATAGAATTGCCATAAAATATGTTGCTCTGAAGCCTAATTTAACGTGAAAAAGCTGTTCTTCAAATATTGGGGTAATTTCTCCTGTAGTACTCATATAATACATGTAAAAACATTTTCTGTTCGAGTAAGATTCACATAGATAAGGACACAGCATATTTAATGTTGACATTATATGAGACTAAAGTTATGCTAATACTCCACTAATTTACAAGTTGTTACATGCCAGTCAGGAGACACAAGTGCCCTAGGTATCTAAACATCTCTGTCAAAAACCAACATTCATTTCCTGCTCCTGGCTAGACATTCCTATGCCTTCAAACCTTGGTGTTAGCCATCACCAACCTCCTCCATGTCCTGATTCAACTCACTAAACCAGAAGGAAACTGTTAATAGTTTTTTTTGAGTTTTTTTTTTGAGTTTTCAATCCTTCCTAATCTCACCCCTGCTGAATTAGTTTTCAGCTGGCTTATTGAAATGAAGCAGTCCAAGAGGAGATCAAATAAGCACCAATGCCAGCATAGCAAGAGAAGAGAGACACTTTTGTTGACCACAGCTCTTAGATACACTCAATTTCTGTGGATCCTCTCTTTGTGTGACTGCGTGGACTCTATCATTCACAGTTTATGCTTTTGGATGAACTGTTTTTTCTTTCCTTTAACAGCCAGAACTTTTATTTTCTGAGAGGTGGTATAAATTAATAGACTAATATATACCACAGATACTTTCACACGTGCTGATATTAGTTTATTGATTTAGTTATTAGATTAGATCCTGAGATTTTTCATATTAAGAGAGAGTGGTACTGTTATTTCTCTTAGGAAGCAATCATATAGGTAACCTTTGTGCACTGACTTAGATTACTCTTTTTTTTTGGTGTACAGCATTATTAGCCCTGTGTCTGCACTGGCATTTTATTGGGGGGGTGTTGAGGAAGAAGCCTTTTGTACTTTAAAATATGTACCTGTAGTTGATTACAACAGTCATTTTAAACAGTTTGTCTACTGCAACTCCTTCCTTCTCATAGTGTTTGCTGCATCTAAGTGTGATGTGAACATTGCATCATGACATGTTGTTCCCATTATTGGAATTATGACGTTGTGTATGCTTTTGGCAAGGAAAGTTCATAACAGATCATGTTCAAAATTCATCCTAATGTTTACAATTTGGAGAACAGCATGCGCACACTAAAATTGTCTTCAGACTTGACTGTCTAAATCCACTGCTCAACTTTCCAACTGTCATTTCTCATTGGCTGCTGGCTGGCTAATGCTTTAAGCTCAAATGTTATGTCCTGCATATGATAATGTACCACAACTGAGTAAATTCCAGAGGAAACTTGTGCCCTGCTATTAGCGCTTGTTATGGGACTGTGTAACTCATAATGTGTTTGCTTTCTTGTTTTGCAGTTCAGTCCTTCACCTTCACCCCTGCAGGTACTGTCCATTAGTCTGTCTCTTACCTCACCAACACATCACTGCAAACATTACCTATCCAAGTGTTTATAAACGTGTGAGGTATGCAGAATTAAAACCGAACAGAAGGAGAAACACTTCTGCTACCTATCTGTGTTAAAAATGTAGCATTCTTTCTCTCATGATTCCAAAGTGGTGTAAAATCTGCCACCATTAATGTCTTTGCCTTGATTCACATGCTTTTTACCCATCTAATTCTTCAAAATAATGAGGTTTTTAACGTAATTTGCAGGACAAAGTTCCTGAACTAACATAAATAGACAAGAATTAGTCACCTATGATCAGTTTTTGATTTTGAAATTCAAAAAAACTATTTCAGTTATTTTCTAATGTTTAACTGGAGAAACAGAGCTGTTTTGCACTTTATCTGTTAGCTGTTTTCCTTGCCTTGAGGTGTTCAGATCTTCAGGATATCTAATGATTAACCTATGCACATTTAATTTTTGAAGTTGAAGCATTTGCTTTTTTCTGTCTACTCAATTCAAAGCTGGTATCCTTGTTTTCATATCTTTAGTAAACATAGCATATGGTAGACCATTATCATAAGTGTGATTAAAGATATGTGAAAAGTGAATGAAGTGAGTCTGAAACAGCATGTTGAAGACAGCTTAGTCAACATATGGACAGCCTAGAAAAATTCAGTATTCAAATAATAGTAATAATTAATACAAATAATTAGCTTTTACCCTCATACTTAAGTTTCAGTGTCATAAACATACAAATAATTGTATTAAAGTTTAAAAGCCTGAATAAATTTCAGCATTTTCCAGCAGGAATTTCTAAGAGGTTTTGTGCTTAGCATGGGTCCTAAGTTGCATTTGCCAAAGCAGTCTTTTCTGATACCTCTGCCATCCATATGATAGAGGACAGTCTTAATTACATTGTTGAACTGGTTGTCATGTTCTGCTATCTGCTTTCTACTTCTTGCTGATACAAACCACAGTTCAAGTGCTTGGCTTAAGCAGAAAAGAGCAAATGACTGCTGAGGCATATGAGCAAAGATGATAATGTGTGCACCAGGGACCCGTGACATTGATAGGGCGAGCTGTCCTAAGGAGCTCTATGGACTCAGGAATTACTCCTTCTGGCTTCTTGATATGTTTGTCCAAGTCAGAACAAGTTCTGGTACAACACATCCTACCGTAAAATCTTTACTTGTATTTTTATTGAGAGCATAGGATATTTTTTCAAAAAATGAAAAATACATTTTAAAATGTGGTTCTATGACCATGCAATTGTTGACTGACTGTAACTGGTAATTTTTTTTCCATTTTCTTTGTAGCTGACACTGGCACAAACTACAATCACATTAGTGCCACTTCTGGTATACATGATTCAGTGCAATTGGTAGGATATGCTATCCTGAATAGCTAGGATATGTCAGAGTCCCTGCTAAAAAAATTGTGGTTTTAAAAATAGTTTTGACATCTCATGGACTTTACAGAACTATTAATAATACAGAGTTCTGTTGCCTGATATGTAATCATTTAGAGAAACGGAGAACCTAGATCATCAAGTAAGCAAGTACAAACAGTGGACATAGTCCATGGTTTTTATGTTTAGAGCTAGAGTTCTCTAAGAAGCATCTTTAGTTCTCATATGTTTGGTAATCTCATTTAGACAAACATATCTATGCTTGTGGAGGTTTGCTGACATTCAGTGGCATGTTTTTTCCTTCAAAATTATGATTCGTAAGCACTGAATTGGCTTCAGATCTAAATAGTTAGTGGTATGTAGTATTTAGAATCTTATTAGAAATGGCTGTTGATAAAGTTTTACTGAAGATGAGTTAAACTGAATATACACAGATTCTGGAAAGTGCACACTTTTCTTCCAAATATCTGCATTAAATTCTTGTAGAAAGATACAGTATACAGAGTTGACTGTATAATAAGATAGTTGAAAGTATTAGCAGAACATAATTTAGACATCTACTCTATTTCATGTTATTTTCTGAGCAATAAATATTTTATCCATTATACGTGATGTAGTATTTTTCTTTGTGTTTTTTGTTTGTTTGTTTGTTTTTTGTTTGTTTTTTCAGTTTTACTTGCATACATAGAGCTGGTTAAATTTTCAAAACTAGTTGCTAAAAAGTCTGTTTTGAGCAGATATAATTACTTGCCAAAACCATTCTATCTGATCACTTTCAGAGTAAAGGTCATTCACAAGAACACTGTTGCTTGCGTTCTATTGTTAGATTACTAGGTGGTACAATTTCTTCTATCAGACTAAATTACTATAGCATTCTGCATAGAAACAGAGCGAACAGAAAATATCACATTATTGGTAAAGATTTGTGCCAGAGAAAAATAATTGATTGAGTTAAATTCATTATGCTGTCTGTCTTTGTAAAGATTTTCATAAACACTGATTGATTGCTCAGATGGTCACAAGCAAAATTTGAAACTGAAAACCATAGCTACATTTTTTACTTATTTTCAATTGAGCTGATTCCAGTAGTTATTCAGTCACAGTTCTTTAAATCACTAGTCCTCCACTTCCTTTTCATCCATCATAGTTCCCCAGGCATTGGTAGTATCAGTGCTGCAATACATACTATTTTCTATCGTTCGTCAGATGAGTGTTTTGCTTACCTGGTTAGTAGCAGTGTCATGATCTGCAGCTGTGCAACAAGTATACCTTTTTGGGACCATGACAGGCTGCCAACAAAAATAAATCTTGCGCAGAGACAATAAACACAAATATTACCCCTTCTAAGTGATCTCTTTTGTGATACATTTTCAGACCTATGGTCTGATTTTGGAGTCATTCTGCGTGGAGCCAGGAGTGGGAACTCTGTAATCCTTTTGGGTGCCTTCCAACTTGGAATATTCTGTGATTCTGGAACGTAAAGAATGGATTGATATTACTTTTATAAGTATCTGTAAAAGCTGAAATGACTACTGAACTGATTTTTATGTTTATTTTTATGGTTACATTTTGCTCAGATTGTTGGATATAAACATGCACTGTATTTACCATATGCAAGAAAAGTTAGGTATAACAAAAAAGTCTTCTGACCACTTCTAGTACAATAGAAAATTTTTTTAGTCCCATATTACAGTGACAGAACAGAACTTGTTTATGTAGCAGTGGAAACTGCAATTCTCCTTTCACATTTTGGTATACAGACTTATACAACAAAGGCACAGAATCACTTTGTAGAAATAAGAGAGATTTCATTTATCTGCTTATCTTTCCTATGGCTTCAAACTCATTGTTGTGCCAGTAACTGCTCACTTGAATACTCAGGTGTTTTCAAGATTGTCTAGGCCATCAGTCATGCAAGAAAAGTCAATATGTGTTTTCATTTATGAGTAGCTAAGCTTATTTAGTGACTAGTGCTCCTTGGGATTAAAGATTTCATGAAACCGAGTAAACAAAAACAAATTAAAAATAGATAATTAAAGAATTATAGAATGCTACACATTTTATGCTTAACTCCTGAAGCTGTTAAATGAGGATAAGTTGTTTGACAGAATTGTCCAAAGGTAGGCAGAAGATTTGATGGAATTTTTATATGCTGATTATCTGTTCTGAGTTAATGCTTATTAAAAAAGGATTAATCTACATTCATATTTGAGGAACAGCTTATCAGGAAAAGGAATAAGACTAGGCTGGCAACATTAAAGTTTTCATTTGTGGTAGGAAAATGTGGCCTTCTAGAGATAGGCGTACATAAAGCTTTCTAAAGCTTTCTTGCCTCAAAATGTCAACTTACTGTATATTCATATTTTTCCAGTCCTAGCAGGCACGAAGATTAAGTTTAACCTTGTCAGATAATATTAGTAAATAGTATGAGCATCTCCTTATATATTTAATAAAAGGCATATAAAAAACTCTTTAACATATGCCATTCTTCATAGAAATATATACAATATAATTTCTTTAAATATTTATGCATTTAAAATGTGCTTTGGATTATCTTCCTGCTTTCTTGCAGTCCTTCAAGTATAAGCTAGTGGGGATTCCTTCAAAATCTCTCTATGCAGAGGTTGTTTTTTTATCTTCTTTTGAAAACCAATCTCATCCCTTCAGGTCTGTGTCCTTTTTCAGAACATATATCAGATGCAAAGAATGCTGAAAGAATTTTGTGCTTCCTCAGTGATAAAAAAAGCAAGAGAGATGGGTGGGTCAGTGATAGGGACATCCTTCCTTTTCTCCTCTTACATTGCCCCTTGAAATTACTCTGCATCTTTTTAAAGTGGAGACAGGATGAATAAAGCCAGCTGCCTGTGTGTTTTATTTTTACAGTGACATCTACATGTCTGCATTGCATTAAATATGCTCCTATTCAGGCATTTAGACTTGCTTTGTAATTGCAGAAATCAAACTGCAGGCAAAAATGCTGACAAAATGTATGGCAGGAATGATAAACATAGTGCTTATGTTGGCAGCCTGACCATGTCTTCTGTTTTTTAGCTGTCTTTTCTTTCACAATATTGATGCTAAAAGAAAGACATCTTCTCTATCTTCCCTCAGCCCATTTATGGAAGTCATCTGGAATATCATTTTTTTTTTTTCTATGACATCCTGATGATATCTCCTCACTTATTCCAATTTTGGCTAGCTTAATTGATATTCCAGAGCCTTTACGACCAAGAGTAGAAACCACAATGCTCTCTTGTTTCTTTTCTGATTAAGTTTACAACCAAAACTGTGCTGCTCTGCGAGGAGTAGGTTAAATGAAAGCACCTGTATTCCTTCCCAGTTCCATACATATTGCATAAGCCAGGCACGATCTTCCCTACCAAACTGGGTCACTGCAATACAAGCTCTTCTGAAAACAGTGTTTATGCTGGGAGGGCATAAGATTGTTTAATGTAGGAAGAAACCCGAAATGGTTGCTACCATTAGGATGCATAGGTAGCAGAAAAGAGAGTAAATGCTTGGATACCTGTCTCTTCTCAGCAAGCTTGTATGCAGCAGCCATTCCACAGCAATTATAGCTCTACAGCAAAGGTTGCGATCATCTTGATATTTTTTTCCTAGCATGCCTTCAAGTTCCCTTGCCTCACTGAGTAGAAAATAGAATGTGTCTGGCAAACACTGCTGTGATTTCCTACTAGCTCCTCAATTTTATCTTTCTTTTATAGAGGTAGACTACCAATACAAATATTTTTGAGACCATAAGTATGGATTTTTTTCCCATGTGACTTACATAGATAAAATATCACACGTATACGCTATACAGTTGGTGACAATAATACTTTAATGCAATTTCTGGTGGTCTGTCATTGAAACAAGACCGCTAATCCCAGGAGATTTTTCAGAAAATATGTTGCAGTGTAATTCCCTTAAAATTGTAAACCTTATTTACAAAGGTTGTTAGTGAATACACCTTTGTTTCTTGTCCCTATTTTTTGTTGCTTTGACAGTTGAAGAAAGTTGTAGTATTAAATGAGAAGGGGAGAAGGAGTAAGGACACAGAACCTCTACTGAAGTGCTAATGTATTTTGACCAACATAGCTTGCAACATAGCTGGTCGGTACCACCTCTTCATATATTCACACATGATATCCAAAACACTTCAGATTATTCACACTGAAGCAACGAGTGATGCAGTCACTTGACAGCCTGTTAAAAGCAACATGAATGAAAGTGGCATCAGCTCTAAAGTTAATTAGCTGCAGTGTTTTTAACGTCTCATTTTTCAAAGCAGACTTTAATACTTCCCATACTTGCATTTTGATTTTCTTTTCATTAATTGATTTGATTACATCCTTTCAAAATTCGGCTATTAACCATTTTGATGTGACATATGACTGCAGTGATTTTCTGATATTGGTAATACTCTGTTCTGCAGTGAAGTGTAATTAATCACCCTACCCAAGCGCTCTTCAGCAAGGCTTCCAAAGGGGTTACTTTTGTCTCCTTTGCTCAATGTATGCTGTGAAATTACCCTAGGAATTAATGAAGAGACAAGTATTCTCTAAGGTATCAGAAGTATTTCATCAGTGGATTTGTGTCATTGCTAATTTTTTATTAATCACAGTATTTCTATTGGATTTAGTAGTTTGATCAGGTTAGAAACATTTATAATGGAAGGCATAATCTTGAACTGGTGGTTTGATCTAATATTTGGAAAACGCTACAAATATTCAGGAATTTGTAATTTAATGATGAAGATGTTTGTCTTAGAAAGTTAGATTGTATTTCCAGTATTGGACCTTAATTTTAAATTAAGTTGTTCATAGACTAATCCATTCCTCTCTGAAATTCTAACCGTCATCTTGTTACAGCTGTGAGGATGCAAATGTCCAGGACATTGATATACTTTAATTGTCAGCCCTACCTATACCCAACAATACATAATGCAATATTGCCACGGACAACCACAGTCATTTCTGAACTTCGATTCAAAATATTTGCCAGTGCTTCAAAAAGGACCGTGTAATCCTGTCAATTAGCATCTCAGTAATGTGTTTACCTATATCACTCTTGAATGTAATCCTGTTAATAAGGTAGATAAGGAATGAACTGTTTCTTGATACCTATGAATGGGGCTACAGTGTATCCTTTGCATCCACAGTGGCAAGACTGAAAACATCTCTTCTCTGTAATACTGGCGTGTATGCACTTACGTGTGTGTGCTAGTTCTTACATGTGCTGCTGATGGAAATCCTGCAGCTTTATGCTTCCCCCCTCTACACACATCCCTTCAGCTGTAATAGAGCTGCCACTTCTTTGTATTTATCTTGGGAAATGGCGTATTTGTGTGGCGACGTGATATTACTGCATTACAACATGATGTTATTAACTCACTGGTGCAGTGTCATTATGTACCGAAGCAAAAGCATGCCAAGAAAACAATTTCATCACATGGCACAGTCTTGCACTGCAAAGTCATATGAAACGGCCTGTGGTAAATGCAGGATTTTTTCCTCAAGTGGCTGGCTTGCCTTGCAAGCTACAGAACAAATTGATGTGAATCAATACTGTAAGTCAAATCCTAAATAAACTGTAATCCTAATATGCTCTTTATCCTCTTCTTATAATTTCTGTACTTTCTTATGTGATGATGTCAAGAGGCCTCCAATCTTGGACACTGAGCAATTTGAATTGATGCTTATAACTAATTGATTTCTCCCTGTCTTATATGTGTGTGTGTGTGTGTATTTGTTTGTTTTGTTTTTCCAACCAAAATACAGTCACGTTCCAAAGAGGAGATGGAGGACTAATGAGCAATGGAAGGTATGTTTTTCTGCATAAAGGTCTTTCCATCACATATATTTCTAAAATTCGGAATCTGAAAATTCTGCAGGTAATGCACTTGAGTAAACAATCATTTGCAAGACTGACAATTACAGAAAGAGTTAAGTAGCTTACTACAAGATTTAATGATCTATCTGTTGTGCACTTTGGAGGAATCAAGCCCAGATGTTTCATATCTCCCAGATGCCCTGAAAGAAATGCGTAGTAAATATCACAAGGAATGTGTTCATTTGTTACCAAGATGTTTATTGCATTAATTAGACATTAGCAAATGAAGTTGCTGTTGTTTAAGACTCCTTATTGGCTACCCCTAAATTGCTATGAGTGAACAATTACACTTAATCGATCACAAAATAAATGATTCATGGATGATGAATAGGCTGTAGATTGACAAGACTAGATTCCACAACTTTGGCTACTCAATTGAAATTGATAAAAGCTGATAACAGACCCATATATCCTCATCTATTTTCCCTTTGCCGATATGGAGATTGTAATTAGGCTGTGGTAATAACTTCCAATCTCCTATTTAATCAATATTTTAGCGAAAAGAGATAAGGCCTAATGAGAGCTAGTGGATATGGCAAGAAAGCTGCTGGGTCTTCTTACTGCTGTTTCCATAGAAACTTATGTTTCTCTTAGGGATTGTACCAGACAGGGGCCTATCAGAAATAAAGTACAATGATTATAGGTGTTGCTCCAACTTCATGAGTGCATTAATAATCTAGAATAGCATCAGGACTATGGGTGATTTTGCTTGAGGGCTGGGGGCATTTACATGACATGATTTATTTTCCTTGTTAAATACAAATACAAACAATCCACATGCCTTGCTAAATTCCAGGCTGTTTATCCTGGGGTGAGAGAGACACAGTGCCTTATGGCCTGAGTTTATGTTCTCTTTCAACATGCTTACTGTTTAATACTGCTTGCAAAGCTTGAAATTATAGTGATATAAAAACCATGCAATAGTGGCAGATAAAGATAGCTGTGGACTTTCCATTAATCCTACTCAAACCTCTTCGCCTCTAAACCATACAAGAGTGCTTAAAGAAAGAGTTACCAGCCTGTAGATGACAGGCGTGCATTTGGGATGCAAGGGAAAGAAGAAATAGTAGCCCAAAGTCCTGGAAATGGCTGATATGGAGCAATCAGTTTGAGTGATTGTTCCCTTGAGGTGGTAATTTATCATTCGGCCTTGGTTTCGGATCCCATGATGGTACTGCCTAACCCCCATTTCACACAGACAACGGAGTTCATTTGGATTCTGGCAGAATCACGACTGATGCCTAGTCCCACTTCTGCTGACAAAGTTGATTTGTATATATCCTTAATTAACTGCTCAAGGTCTTTATATCATCAAAGACTACACAATTTTAATTTGAAATAAATTAAAGTCTCCTAAACTGTTTCCTACACACAATGATAGGAAGAAAGTTGTGTAGCATCGTCAATTGCTATTATATCCAGAGTTGTCTCACAGATATTTTAATTTTGTTTGTATGTGTATATGTATGTATATCTTTTTTTTTTTATTCTTCTTCAGTCGACCAGGTTTGTTGAATGCAAGTGACCCCAGTTATCCTTGGCTTGCAGACTCTTGGCCTGCCACAAGTCTGCCAGTTAACAACAGCTCTAGTGGACCCAATGATCTTGCCAATTTCAGTCGTGGAGGTAGGTTTCATTTTATTGTCACCATATAGTATAAAATTGGATTTTTCTTTGTTATCACCTAGATAAAGACTGTGTAATATTTTTGTACTGTTACAGTTCTTCCTATATTTGACTAAAGATTTTATTTACACTTGGCTTTAAATTGTCTATTTTACTGTGTCTCTTTCTGTTTCTTTAAAACATAAAGTTTACCCCACACTGGTAAGACAGGGTCTGAGAATCATTTCAAGAGAAACAGATGGGTTCCCTTTTGCATGGACACGAGCAATCTGTAGAACACTGTAGTCAGGGACAGAGAACATCTGTAAGATCTGAGAGAAACTTGGGGAACCCAGGAAGAATGTTCCTCCCATGTTCCTCCAGCACTGTTGCTGTAACCTTGCCCATCCCCTTCCTGTTGTGGGACTGCTCTCAGTCTCAACCATAGTCAATGAAGAAAGCCTCACAGGTGTTTAGAAATTTCCCTTCTTATTGGAGGAAAGAACACGTGAAACAAACTATTTAGATTTGGGGGCAGTTATTTCCATTTTTAATTGTAGGAGGCTCTTCATGAAAGAAGGCAATAATTTGTAATTATGATGGTAAATCTTTAGAGAGATTATTTTCTTTCAAGCATTTTACTCAAATGGGAATTTCAGGATGAACTATTGTGATTTTAAAATGTCAAAATAATTTTCATATCTCCTTCTTGGTTTCTGTGATGTTATAACAACTTATTCTCTATAGTGGTGTTCAGGGGAAGACTGAAATTAAAAAAAAAAAAAAAAAAAAATTAAAAACCAAACGAGTATATAAGTATTTTTAAGACATGTAAAAATCAATTCAACTTTGTATGTCAAAATACATTAAAATGCAAAGAAAGTATATCAAACTATCAAACTGATAAACTGATAAATGTGAAAAGAACATAATTTTGAGTTGTATCAAAATCTGCCTCTGAAAATAATCTCTCACTTTGGTTATGAATTCCTATGCAAAACTCTATGGTTTGACTGCTTTGATTTCGAATTATATTAAAACATTCAGGGTTTATTTTCCATTTAAGAATGCTTTAAAACTCGTGTCTTACAAAAATATTATAAAGTAAACAAGTGTCTGACAATATTTATAAAATAACTGAATATCTGCCAGCTTCTTTGTTGTGAATTTCTTGAAAATAAAGCTCTTTGGTACTTTTCCATCTTTTAATGAGATCACATAATGCAGAAGAATTATCAGTTTGTATTTGGCTCTGTAAGACTTAATTTGGAAGTATGTTTTAAGACTTTGGGCTTGAGGGTGGGTGAGGTATAGCTTCCAAATTTGTCCAGGAAATACAACAGTTGGAATTTCAGGAGCTTACTTATACCCATGATCTTTTCAGTCCAAATCATACTTTTATTCTGGGGGTTTGGGGCTCACTTAGTCCTATCTATTTCAGCACTTGAGTTTGGATGCTTTCTGCATTAAAGATGGATCAGAAGTCAGATATCTTTTAGTGCAAATTAATGTAGTTGTGTCTAGCATAGATAGAACTTGAGTGTCTTTGGGTTAAAGGTCTGGATTAGTATTAGAGGTCTGTAAGAATTTTGAAAATGGTAAGGTGGCAATGACCTTGGAGCAGAAACTGAGGAAGGCTGTCACAGTATTGTCTTTAAAAATGAAATCTGCATTATATGCTAGATATGCAGTGGAGAGCAAATCTGTGAGTGGTAAGCAGAGGTTAGGTTTGGAATCACAGAAGACCACAAAATAGTATTGAGACAACAGGAAAGATATTCCCTCAGAAAGTATGTTAGAACATTTGAAATTATTGTGAGAGTTAAAAAGAAAAATGGATATTAGAGAGCTTTTGGAATGGTCTAGTGGGAAATGTCCAGTGGGAAACGAATGTCCATCTTCAGTCTGAACTATAGAGTGCTTTTTCTTCTGGGGGGGGGGGGGTAGAGAGGGGATTTTAACAATTTGTATAAATGCTTGAAGGGAGGGAGCCTTGCTATTTTCTGTGGTGTCCAATGCTAGTAGGAGACAGTGACCACAAATACTAACACACAAGTGATTCCACGTAAGCATCAGGAAGCATAATTTTGCAGTACAGGTGACTGAGTGCTGACACAGGTTGCCCAGAGACATTGTGGAGACTCCATTCTTGGAGATCTTCAAAAATCACCTGGACACGGTCCTGGTAATCTGCAGTCTGCTCTGGGTGTTCTTGCTTGCGCAGGGGTTGGATCAGATGAATTCCAGAAGTCCCTTCCAACCTCGACTATCCTATGAATCTGTGATTCACTATGCTTTGATTAAATCAGTTGTGGAAAGATCACGTCTTCATATTGTGGATGAGTTACATGAAAGATAGGAGTGCACTTGACTCTCACATCTCATGCAGTGTTTGCATATAGATGATTTTGTGATTGTATATTGCCCTAAATACATGGGCATACGTGAATTCAACACAATGTATACTTGTAGATAGATAATAATAAACTGGTTTTGAAATATGACTTGTACTATGCATTAATTATAACTTCTTTTGGCGCTTCAAATTTTTCTGCAGATATGTAATATAATTCCTGATTGTTCCCATGTTGTTGTTTCTTGTTTGAAAAAAAATGTACCTCTACAACCAACTTTCTTTATTTTTCTTTCTTTTCAATCTTCCTGTAATCAATTTGCTGAGCACTTGTTGCCATATTGATTGGTAATTGGTACTACATTGTTACTCTGAGACTGCAGATGCTAGACTTCATATTAAAACATTCACATACACGCAGTAGAAAATAATTCTCTGATGTAGGTTTTCAACCTAGGGAAAAAAATAAACAGCAATGGGAGGAAGGAAGCTGTGCTATCATATCTTATTGGCAGAAAAATCCTGAGACATTAAGAGACCAATTGTATTCTATCAGGTTGCACAGCACCTGTGTCTGAAACTGGAATGACTCTAAACCCTTCACTTTTTCTTTTTGAGGTCTAAAATATATAGAAACATCTTTGATACCTGAAATGAGATCTGAACGTCCTCACTATAGGAGTATGCATTATATCAATTACTCTCCGGTTGGAATCCAGTTCTGCCATCAGGCTATATAAAGCAAATGGCATATAAATGATACACTATTCTAACAAGTAGATTCTCCTCTCTTTCATTTTAAACGATCAGTTTCACTATCAGATCATGTAAAAATATGGTCCCTTCTACCTGTAACCTCTCGTCAAAGACTGGAAGGCCCCAATGAGGTCCCTGGAGCCTTCTCTTCTCCAAGCTAAACAAGCCCAACTTCCTCAACCTTTCTTCACAGGAGAGGTGCTCCAGCACTTTGGTCATCTTCATGGCTCTTCTATGCATCCACTCCAACAATTCCATGTCCTTTCTGTACTGGGCCTGGACACAGTGCTCCAGCTGCAGCCTCACAAAGGGGAGGGAGACAATCCTTTCCCTCTTCCTGTTGGCCACCCCTCTTCTAATGCAGCCTAGGATAGAGTTGGCCTTTCAGGCTGCAAGCATACAATGCTGCCCTGTGTCCAGTTTTTCATCCAACATCCCAAGTCCTTCTCAGCAGGGCTGCTCTCAAAGACTATTTCTTCTCCCAGTCTGTATTCATATTTGGGATTGCCTCTACTCAAGTGCAACACTTCGCACTTGGCCTTGTTAAACGTCTTTAGATTCTCACATACCCTCTTTTTGAGTGTATCTGGGTGGCATATCTCCCTACCATTATGTCAACTGCACCACTCAGCTTCAGAATCTAAAAGTATTGTAATCAGTGTTTGAAATACTGACCTCTGTAATAGCGAGAGGGGGTTTATCTGCCAAGCTATGGTTCTCTTTGAGACATCATGCCAGTCGTCATTAGATTCTTCACAATTCAGTAGTCTCAACTTCCAAGTCCAGTATTTCACCAGAAATGTCACTACAGTCTTCAGTAAGGAGAGAGACTGCCAATGTAACTGATTAAACATACAAATTGCAGTATGTGATAGGATTCAAAAGATGTAGAAAAATCAACAGATATTAGGTAAACATTTTGTACTGTATTTCAGGTAAATGTGGTGGAGTATTTGAACAAGTTGTACTCCATTATTAAGAATACTTCCCTGTTTTAAGAGGCTGATCACTGAAATCCCTTCAGAATAACAGGGTTTTTTTGTTTTTTTTTTCACATTTCAGGAACAACTTGTTTTTGTCAGGTTTTTCTTTTGCTGAAAAAGAGAAATATGCTAACTAATGTCGAAAAGAAAATTTGATAAACTGATGCATAAAACTTCTAGAAAGTAAGGTGATGGCCTCAAAAATTACTTTGAGAGCTTTGGCATCCACTTAAGATTTTTGCTACATATTTGCTAGGAATGTTTCCTCTGTGATTTGTAAATTTGTTCCTTTTATCATTTCCCTGAAGCCCAGACGTTGGTTCTGACATAGAATGAACAATTGAAAACATTCTTCAGTAGAGAAATATTCCAAACTTCACTTTTGCAGTTGAAAGTATGGGAAAAAAAGATGGTTTCAGGCAGTGAGACGTGAAGGACAAGTGGTAGGCCTGTCACAGATGCTGATAGGTTGGCAATGGTTGTATATCATCTTCCCTTCGTTGGTTCATGGACTTGTGTCAGCTGAAATGCAAACGTGCAAAATGACACATTTATTTTTCATCTTAAACCTTGATACTTTCAGGCTTCCTGTGCATCAATGATTTGTTTCATTCTCCTTTGCTCACCACAGATGTGTTGCCACCAGTGCCAGGGCAAGGAGATAAAACTGCTACTATGCTTTCTGATGGAGCCATTTACAGCAGCATTGACTTCACGACAAAAACTAGTTACAACAGTTCCAGCCAAATAACGCAAGCTACGCCATATGCCACCACCCAGATACTGCATTCCAACAGCATCCATGAGTTGGCAGTCGATTTACCTGATCCTCAGTGGAAAAGCTCAATTCAGCAAAAAAATGACCTGATGGGATTTGGCTACTCTCTACCAGAACAAGGCAAAGGCAACAATGGTAATTACAGCTCATATTTTCCAGAACTATATACTGTATCATCTATTCATGAATTAGGAAAAAAAAAAAAAAAAAGTAGTATGTGAGATGTTGTTCATATTTACCGGAACTAATACTTATGTATCTTGCATGCATGCTGAACCTCACAGTCACAAAATATACTGTTCTGTGCTTTTAGTGCTGTGATAGTCATCAACCCATCTGCCTTCCATTAGGCTAGGAAAGGTATAAGTTAAATTAAAACTTGCGGCCCCACCACATCTGCTCTTGACTTGCTAACTGCATGTGTTGCATGTGCCTGTGCTGTCAACTAATCACACAATGCCACTGTGACCTTTGCCCTTTAACCCTTAGCCTTGCTTTACATCCCTGACTACCGCGTGGCTGAGGGATTGGCTAATAGATTGCCACACAACCAGTCACAGGATTTCAGCACCACCAGCTCCCACAACAGCTCCGAAAGGAGTGGCAGCCTCTCAGGTTGGTTCCACAGCTATGGGTGGGTGAGGGACGGAGGGGTGTTTGTCAGCAGCTCGCCAGGGAGGCAAACAAACTTCCCAGAGGCACTTTGCAGATAAGTATGAGAGTGCCTGCCCACTGCCAACAAAAGATAACCCATTGGCCTCCACTAAAAAAAATAAATAAAAAAGCATAGAAATGTCTCTTGCAAAACTTACTTGAACATAACTGGAGAATCCTCCCAACCATTGTGCCCAAAACTTGCCAGGACAGTTTGAAACCTTGCCTTGTCATGTTCTTTCCCTGAAAGCACAGTTTATACTGCCGTTACACTGTTCTTCAGTTTATGAGCATAGCCACAACGAACTTCTTGAGGAGGTTAATATTTTTGTTGATTTATTAGTAGGTTCCCCACTCCCATGAGCTGTTTCTGAACATTGTATTTCAATCAGGCAGCTCAGAAATAAAAGTAGGCTCTGCAAGATGACTGAGGCTGCAAAAAGTGCAACAAGTCTACATATAAAGAGAATGCAAATTTTGTATGTGTGCTGCATGTTATATTGGAAACATAACACATTTTTACAGATGAAAATGATTATAGTACATGTGATTGTATTTAAATACACTTTTTACTTGATTTCTTTAATTTTGCTTACTTGTTGCTTTTGTTTCATACAAGGGCTGCTCCAAAAGTTTTGTCTCCTATTTCATTGTGTTGGCCGACAATGTCAGAGGTGGATGTTGGTGGTATGGTAGTAGAGGCTGAACCTTCCCACCAATACTCCATTACATTTTGTTGCCATATGACAGATGGTGGCAGAGAGGCAGTCTGGCAAAATGGCATCTGACATGAGAGTGTCAGCAAAGGTGTGTCACTGAAATCGTCATTGTGGAAAAAATGGCACCCTTTGACATCCTCCAATGTTTTCTGAATGTTTACAGAGAGTAAACAATGGACATGAGCACAGTAAGGTGGAGGATGCTACATTTCAGGAGTTGCTGACAGAAACATGAAAGACAAGCCAATTCCAGACAGCCATGCACAGCTGTCACACTATGAAATGAAGAGTATTTCAATCAGCCCATCCATGTAAATCTGTTAATGGTGGTGACTACATTCAAAAACTGTTTTGTAGCTAAGAATTTTTTCTTGCAAGTAGTGTTATTGTGTATCTGGTATAGTTTCCATGGAAATAAATTGGAGGCATTACTTTCAGAGCAACCAATGTATAATTATGTCTTTTTTTTTTTAAGATGAAAATTGATAAGCCAGAAATTAAAACCTGCTATTATACTTAACCAAAATAGGAGTAAGCTGGCAAGAATTCAATTTCAAGTTCTTACTCTACCTATAGCCTTTTGAATTTCTGCTGCAACATAGAGCAATCATCACAGTAAAAGATCAACTCTAGAAATAGCTTTTTTGTGTCAACTTAAATGACACCTATTTCAAACTGTATGCTTAGATTAGAAGCTATAAACACTAGCCCATAATTCAAATAAACAAATTTATTTGCAAATCTTGTGTCCTCATGGGAAATATTAGCTTACTTGAAAGAGATAGAAAAATAGACTTACAACATTGATGGAAAGGTATGTGAGAGCTGAGTTCATTCAATCCTACGAGAAAGGTTCTTGATCTTTGTATGTAACATGTACTGGCAAGAGGCTTATTGGCACCCGGGACTGCTTGAAAATACAGGATTTGATATGCAGAGGTACGTACGTATGTGTAGAGGTCAATATCACACTTTAGATGTGTTGACAGGTACAACTGCCTTAGAACTTTCTGAGAAAATACAATCAGTGGTTTTCATTACAAAAATGTCAGTTGATCAAAATCTGGACTTCGAAGAAATATTTCAAGTGAAATGTGTCTTGTGTAGTATTTCTTAATTTACAGTAGAATTTTTGATGAAACATGGAGACTTCAGGTAGCCTGTCCTTCTATGGACTCATATGTCCTTCTACGGATCACACATGCTTTGATCACAATTGGATGTCCCGTGGCTCAGATGATTGTTAGAGTATTAGACTTGTCAGTATTTTGCTCTCCCTTGCCCATTTGTTATGCATGTAATACAGACTATGTTTATAATGCATGAGATTTTGAGGAAGACCTTCAAATAATCTGACAATTAGAGCATTACTGTAGTCAGAACACAGCTTTGATTACCTTTTTCTCATTAAGGTGAGCAGGGAACTTACTCTTTCAATTCCTCAGATGGTAGTTCTGTAAGTACATGTAAGTTCTAAAGATTATTCTAAGTCTCTCTCTATCTCCAGTGAATGTCATGAGAAATTTTATCCCACTGTGGAATGGAAAATAGTTCAACACTCAACTGCTTTGTTAGGTAGGGAAATTTTGTGGCTGTACTTTGTGCAGCACATCTACAACCTTAACTTGTTGCTGTGATCATTTCATCAAGTGGTAAATTCTTTTTCCAGAAGCTGAGTCATCTAGAGATGTAAACAATATAATTTAATTTCAGTGTGAGAAGACACTAAAATAACAAGCATCATTGCTATGGGGAAACAAGGCTTCTATATTTCAAACACACATCAAGTACTACATGTATTAGGTACTGGTCCACTAGTCTGGCAGTGGAATAATTCTCTCCGTGGGGATAGGAGAAGAGAATTTTCTGCCTAGCTGTAGAGAGTAGGCTTCTTTCCCTACCAGTAATGACCTTGAACTTTCTTTCGTTTATTTCATATGAGCAGTTCCTCAGCTCTTCTTCACTCTCTCTTATAGCTCTGTTGTATTTGCCCTTTATCTACAAAACCCCTCAAATCCAATTGGATTCATAGTAACATCTCGCACATCCAGCTTTTGTTTTATCAGTCCCCTAAGATTACCAAGATCCTACACTTTAAAATCTCCCTCTCCATATCAGCTAATCTCTAAACGCCCCTCTCCATTTCTCTTCCTTAAATACTCTTAGATACTCTTAGATTAAATGCCCCAGCAACACACATATGCCTGTGCTTTCCTCCCAGAAAAGCACTCCTGCCTTAGCTCTTGTTTGTTCCTAATCCTGCTGACTTTTCCAAAGTTTATCCTTCAAACACTTAAATTCATGTTCTTCTTTTGTATATGCTTCAGCCTCAGCTTTTCCTCACTCCCAGTGTCTCTCAGACGAAAAGACAAGTGACAAGGGCTGAGATCTGTGACAAGTGTTTATCTCATGCTAAAATTGCACCTCTTTCTGAATGTCTCTATATCTAAAGCTAAGACCATGGCAAAGAAGATGGTGCCACAGAGTGCCACCCTGCCTGATAAATCAGTTGTAGCTTTTCTGATTAATTTCTGTCTGGAATTTTTTACATGATTTGCTTTTTGATTGATCCTTATAAAGCAGCATGAGATGGTAGTGGGTAGCTGGATTAGACAGCTCTCTGCAGCTCTCTGCAGCAGGCAAGGCCCAAATGGCTGCTAGCTAGGTACCCCACTAGAAAAGCGTACAACAGACCATTCTTCTGCCCAACAATCCAGAGTTTTAATAAAACAGAAATGGATGGATCTTGAAGCAGTCAAGGTATTTGAAATATTTTTTGTCTCGTTCTTCCTACTAATTAATTCTTGACTAGAAAAAAAGGATCAGGGCAAAATACAAGAAGCAAAACAAATGGGAAGGGAGCTTTTTCTGTAGAATTATTTTCCCACAAATTGAAATGTCTCGTTTGGAAAAGTGGGTATAAAAACAATGGGAAAAGAGAAAAGGGCTTAAGTAAAATGTGTTGCTCCATTCATTTCCTCTAGCTGTTCCATTAGAGCTCTACATCAGTAATAGAACCTGTTGTCCAGAATGGCATAAAGGTAATTGAATCCTGTGAAACAAGTTGTTCTAAAATACTGCAGAAGACTTCCTGATATTTAAAACAATGAAACTTGATAAATTTCTATCAGCAAAATGCAGTTTCTTTTTGTTTTGACTACATATATGTCATTCAAGCTGAAAAAATTAAGCTTAATAACAATATTTTTATTGTGTCCTTAACCTCTGTGTTTTCCATGGAAAGAAACCATGAAAAACAATGTTATAAGCACACATTTCTGTTTCTGACATTTCAAAGAATTTGTAATGGTCTATTATATTTTTATCCATCAGTGAATGCAAGAAATCATAAAGAACGCATGAATAAATCAGAAATGTATTCCTGAGGCAGCAAGATATGTCTTTCCTTGACTGTGCACTACTGTGGTGCAAATATATGCAGTTCACATTTTAAAAAGAAGTGATTTAACTAACTATTCTGAATATTTTTCCATTATTATTTTTAACCTTGTAATAACATTAGGATGCTGGTGCTGATTCTGCTAAGACATAAATGTATCTTCTGTTTTGGGGCATGCCATCTGGAATCAGAATTCTATTTAAAAAAATTTAAAAACCTACCTTTTTCACATTATATCTCAAAAATTTTGTTTTTCTTTTTGGATTTGCAGGTGGCAAAGGAGGGAAAAAGAAGAAAAGCAAAAATACTGCCAAGCCTCAGAAAAACAATGGTTCAAACTGGGCCAGTGTTCCACTCCCACCCCCTCCTGTGCAACCGCTCCCAGGCACAGAGCTGGAACACTACGGGGTAGATCAACAAGAAGCAGGGTAATTTTCTTCTTTTTCTTTTGAAGAAAAGTCTGTGATTTGTGGAGATGAGGCTTCTGATTTGGTTTTTTGTTTTTTGTTTTTTCCAAATGACAACATTATTCTATTTTGTTTTAAAAAAGAAAACACCTTTTCCTATAGACTTATTGAAGGCTATGGAGGAGGACTGTGTGACTAGCTTCTCATGAGAGCGAATGAAGATGGAAATAAAATCAACCTTGTTTCATCATCATGTAGGGTTTCTCTGCTTACTCATGCTGAGACTTTTTCTCACTTCACAGTTAGCCTGATGAATTTTGTTGGGAGCTGCTTGTAGATTATGGGACTTAGTGAGTAAGGATGACATAATATGGACTGTATTTTTTCACTGGTTTGATGTTGCCTGTTTTCTGTTGTCTGATGCAACAGAACAAAAAATACATATAAAATTGTATTGATTTTAAAAGGTCAACCAGTTGGTAGTAATCTTCTCATTGCCATTTAGAAGAAACTTCACAGTTGAGGAAATTTGTAGGTATTTTTTTAATTTAAACTACTCTTGAGACTCTGGAACCTTTCACTTATCTTTGAATATCATAAACTTATTCTCAAGGACAAAAAAAAATCACATAAAAAGCAATAAGAGGAAAGAGACATTTTCTACACGAAGTGCAGCTATGGAATGCTTTCTATGAAGTGAAATTATATGAAATTGCAGATTATCAAACTCTGGAGGAAAATCAGAAAAATAGTTTACTGTGATCAACTCTATTGGTGCCTATGAGAATCACTGCAGTTCCTTCTGGGACAAATCTACCTGCTTAAATATATGGAATAATCAATATTTCCTAATGATGAGGTATATGTTTTAAAAATTGTTTTAATAGTTATACTAAATAAAAATATTTCAAGTGCTATCTCTTTTATAAGTACTTCTATGATGAAAATCAGAAGATTTAAAGGTTAATTTTTGACTTTTAAAACGAGTGGTAGCTAACTGTATGTCAGTGGAGTTCCTTTTAAAATGAAGGCTATATTAGAGATAGAATTCCAAAATAAATATCAAGGAAAATGAGCAAACTTACTGGTTGTAAATATTTTTTGAAATATCAAGAAAAAGAAGTTCATATAAACATTTTTTCTGTATCTGATATAAAAATAAAATAAATTCAAGATGGTTTAGCTGTCTAGTATTTGTAATTATCAGTTTATGTCCTTAAAACATACGTTGAGCCACTTCATTAAAATAATTAAGCTGTAGAAGGTGATCAACTCAGATTTTCTTCAACGACAATGAAATAGCATAAAAATTAAATGGAAACACCATCCAGAGAAATCCCTTGTGACACAGAGCTTCACTTCTCAGTTGCATAAAATATCTGTTATCTTGCCAGAAGAAATTACATTGGTCACCAAGACAACACTTTGTATTTAAGAATAAGGTAATCACCAGTGTTGCAGGTTCCTATCAATTCAGTTTTTTTCTTATCTTTTAAATTACTCTTTTATGTGTTGGTTTGTTTGGGTGGGTTTTTTTTGGTGTATTTTTTTTTTTTTTTAATGGTATCTCATTAAGAGTGATTATAACAAGATCTTCTAATGTGTATTTTACAAGTCAAGGACAAATATAGAACTAAAGATTAGACTTGCAGTGTCAGTATTGAGCTACAGTAATTTGCAAAAAGCTTCACTGAACCCTACCTATTAGTAATGGCCATTCTGTATTCAGGGGGTTGATGTTGTTTCTGTGGATTTCAAAATGCTAAAATGGAATTCATCACAGACTGCATTCCTTATGTTTCCATTATGTTTCCATTAATGTTGTAAAAAATGCCTTTCCTTTTTAATTGTTTAAACTGTTTTGTTTTCCTTTTCTCTGATATATACTATGTATGACAAGTTCACTGTGTTTTAACTTCAGAATTAATTATATGCAAACATACATATATTGAGAATTACATTTGAAAAATGAATTTCTAGTCAGAAAAACTAAAAACTTTAATAAAGTTCTCACAGTGTCATATGAAAAGTGATTATTAAGAACAATAAAACAAGGAATCTGGAATGTAAATACTCATTTTTCTGTGCATCTCTTCCTATGATTCTTGAATTCAAGTGTGAGTTTTGTGGGCATGAGTATCCCAAATAAACTAAACAATTTTGACACCTTATTTTATGTATTAGAAATCAACATTAGTGTCTTTCTGGTTAATAAATTATAGGAAACAATCTACAGTAGCAATGACAGAAAAGCAGTCTTTCAGAAAGAACAGCAGTCGTGTCACTTAAACATAAAAGGAAGGAAAAAACAACTCTTGAATCTCTTTACTGTCTTCTCCCCAGAAGAATCAAGGTTGTTATATTCACGCCTATTTTTCCATAAACTTCAACAAGTATAACAAAAGATGTACATGCAAATCCAAGCAGTCATTGTAAGCAACATGGTAGATTTGGGGATATACTTAATTCCAGTTCAACCTGTGAAGAAAATCTGTTTATTAGTGCTGTTTCCCTAGCAAACTCATTCCTGTGAAATTTTCCCCTTTTTCTTGGCCTTCTAAGACTCTCTGCTTGTTCCTTGCCCTTTCACTTGCACATACTTCACAGTCTTTGAAATTACTGTTTTGTCAGTCAAACATTCCTTTTGTTTTTTAGTTTTTTTTAGAGAAGATGCTTTTGCTTGGTTTTATCTTATACACTTGACAATAAGGAAATGTTTATTTATTATTCTTCATCATCTCTTTGTATTTTTCACCAGTAATATGCATGATCTTAAGCCAACCACAATTATGATTGGTTATTTTTATTTCCTACTACTGATTACAACTTGAAATGGAGCATTAGCTGCTGGTTGTTAGTGTGCATGATAGTAAAATTACTATCCTTAGAAACGTATCTATTGAGAGCATGTATAGATGATAATACATTTTATATAAACAAATTACTTTCTTTTAAGGCCTAGAGAAGGATTTTTTTTTTCCTGCAACAATTTGTGTACTGAAACAGAATTCCTATAGAATGTTCCCTTTATCTATCATTTGTACTTTTTAATTTTGAAGAAGAATCCCTGATATGAAATAAAAGTGAAATAAACTAGCAAAGAGAAAAAGATGAATATAAAATAAATCTGCTAATATTAAAATAAAAATTGTTAGAAACATATTCATTTTTGTCAACTGGACTTAAAATTAATCATCATGAAATTACAACCAGATGTTCCTAGTGAAATTAAGGGGGTTAGATTTAATAAGAAGTACTTGAAGAAGTTGAGTGCATTTTTTTCTGAGTTGTATTTACCCAAGGATCTGAAAAAAAAACACGAATGTGACCAATATTCACTATGCTAGTTCCAGAAGTTTAAATAACTGTATAATTTGTATGAGATGCAGTCACAATGTCTTCCTTTAGGTTTGCTTGCTTTTTCTTTCAGATTTATTTTTGGTAAATTGAATGCTAGAGCTGGTGACTTTTCAGACATTACGTTGTAAAGATACCTGAGATTTTGAATCTCATTGTCCTGAGCTTCAGGCTTAGGATCCTCTCTATTTCAAAAAAAAACCAAAAAAAAACTAGTTGAAAATACTGTACTTGTGCAGAATCTTTTTGCTAAGAAATAGACTGTCAAGCTGAACATTTGGGGATTTGAAACAAGCAGGGTCAAAAGGCTAGTGCCTCCAAAGCTCATTTATGCACTACTGTAAAGTCACTAAGGAGTCTCTTTCAGCCCTGTCCCTTTTAAGGAAGATGCTATTGCACTTAAGCATGAGGTTGAAAGAGAGTAACAGAGTTATTGCACTGCAGATTTTTAACAGCATGAGTTAGGATGGTCTCCTCACCTTCAGGTGTCAATGTCATGAGTGAATATGGCAAGGAAAGACAAGTTAAAGCTATTAATAGACTGTCTCCTAAGGAATTTAATGTACATTAACATTTTCTTTAAACATTCTGTTGTGAGAACAGATAATCATCCAATATCTCCTAATACCTAATGTTAAGACACATCATTCATTTGTCCCTCTGTACACATACATATTTCTGCATATCTGCACATGGTTACATCTAAATATAAATTTAAAATGATACCAGCTTTAATTACAAGCTACATCTTCCACAGGCTTTCAGCTCTTTCAGTCAGATATTTAGCTGTCCTGAATCTGTAATTTTAAGTATGGCCTACTTTTGAAAAATGGAAAAGGCATTTAGTTAATTTTAGAAATCTTCGTTTTTGCTTAAAGCAAATCTTCTGTTCGTAATATGAGTTATGAAACTTCTCTGTCTCAGTGTTCTCAGCCGTTTTGAAACCCAGCTCCTCACATGAGAAAACTGTCAGTGATTCATTTTTCTCAGGTAAATTGATAATTCCTACAAAACAAGGAACCTTAAAGGAGTATTTTTAAATTACTTCAAGAAATTAATCTCAATGTGTTGTTTGCAGTATTGAGACCAAAAGTGTACACTGTCTGAAGACCTTGAAGTTGAAAAGTGACTTAGATGATGCTTGGGAATGGCCTTCAGGGTATGAGATGATTTGACAGTGAAGGAGCTGTGAGAGCTTTTGGTTGTCTACTTGTTTTTTCAAAAGAGCTGTCTATCCTGAGATATTTGGGAATACACTGGGAGTTAAGAAGACACTCAAGGGATTGCAGACTGGCTGGACGTGCAGAAGATGGGAAGAACAGATAGCGTTGAGATTTGAGTTCTGTTAGCAGAAGTGTGCTCAGCAGAAGATGTGTTTGGATTAGAGCATTGCTCTGGAGAAGCAGTGCTTAAGCTATAGGAACAGGCAGTAGGACCTATGTGTTTTGGTTAGTGATGATGTCTCTAAGGGACAGGGTCCTAGAATGGTACTATAATACAACCTCTAACTGAAAGGTCCATGATGAAGCCAAGGACAGGAAAGGATTGAATATCTGGCAAAGCTTACATAAGAATATAAAACATCTGTTTCTAATCCTGATCAGATATAGCTTCATCTCTTAACCCCCAGATGAAAGATCAAAAATAGAACCAGATAAATGTAATGCCTGTTAGAACATATATATATATATATGAGGAGAGATTAATTTGGTGTGGAAGAGTATTGGTGGTTGTTAACCTTTTAATGTACTTTGAAGAGCTGTATTGGAAGTATTCAGAAATTTAGCACTGTCTAGGTAAGTCCCTGAAAAGTCTGGTTAGGATGTGGGGTGCTGTCAGAGCTGTCAACTTGTGCATTAAGTGTATCTTATTGTTGGCACAGCTGCATAGTATATGCCTAAGGCAAGTGCTGCATAAATGTATTACACATCATGGTAGATACATATATACTATGTAGAAAGACAGAGTGAGGAAACTGTGTGGAAAGTGTTTCTTTTAATAGAGGCTACAAACTAAAAACAAATAGTAAATTTGCAGACAAATAAAGGGGGAGGTGGATGCGAGGAAGCGCATAAGTACAGATCATTGTGATCTTCCAGTACTTGAAAGGAGCTTACATGTAAGAGGGAGACTTACTTTTTATGCAGGTAGATAGTGATAGGATAAGGAGGAGGTGGATTTAAACTAAAAGGAGAGGTTTAGGTTAGATATTGAGTGAAGAACTTCACTCAAGAGAGTGGTAAGGCACTGGCACAGACTGCCCAGAGAAGATGTGGATGTCCCATCCCTGGAAGTGTTCAAGGCCAAGCTTGGTGGATTATTGAGCAGCTTGATCTGCTGGGTGGCTACCCTGCCCACAGTATGGTGTTGGAACTGGATGGTCTTTGAGGTCCCTTCCAACGCAAGCCATTCTGTGATTGTGTGATCCAGACTTTCTTCTGGATACCAGTCACTACCTATAAAGCTCACCCTGTCTTTTAAGAATGCTCCTATTTTCATGTCTAGGTCAATCTTCAATACATTCTCCTAGGTTAATGATTGAGAAGGTGAGTTAATTTTTGTAGCTGATTGTGGAAGAATGTTATCACCATCATAAATGTGATTATGGATCTGTGATTATTTTTGTTGCACATCTTACTCAAGTTGCTTAGCAGTTGTGGGAAAAATTAAACAGAATCACTAAGGAGAACTGAAGCAAGTATGACCTTATTTTCAATAAAAGTTATTAATTAATTAATTCATTCATTCAATAAAATTCACTGTGTGTGAGGAATCAAACTGCAGTAAAAACCTTGTATACCTGCTGCTGCACTTCAGAGCTCAGATTTGACATATGCTAAGTTTACTTGGTTTTTATTTTAGATATGACAGTGATGGTTGGTGTCCACCCTTGCCTGTTCAGACCTACCTCCATCAGGGCATGGAGGATGAGCTTGAAGAAGACGATGATCGTGTTCCCACACCTCCTGTGCGAGGAGTAGCTTCATCACCTGCGATCTCCTTTGGGCAACAATCAACTGCAACACTCACGCCTTCTCCACGAGAGGAGATGCAGCCAATGCTTCAAGCCCACCTTGATGAATTAACCAGGGCCTACCAGTTTGATATAGCAAAGCAGACATGGTAAATGTTTGAAGGGGAAACTTGCAGTCTGGGAAATGAAAGCACAGTATTAATCTATTCCTGAGTGATACAAATATCAATTCTGTTTAACATTTTGCTAATGTTTACAAAACTATAAAATGAACAGGAAATAGCAAAACTGTATCTGTAGTGCAAAGGCCATAAACATTGAAATATGCTTTTTAAATCATAATACTTGACTAAAAAGACAAAAAAAATGATATTCTTCTGGAGTTTTGCTTATACTGAATAGTTATCACCCACCTACTCACAAATTGTATGCCATTTACAATGTTCTCAGGCTAGCAGAAGACATGATTTTTACAGAATTTTCAAAAATAATGAATGACTAAAGCTCTGATTAAAAATAATGTTAATTACTTGAAATAGCAGTGTAGCAGCTTTTACTCTTTATCACATGAGAATGATGCATTTGTATATCTGGCTGTATTTTGAAACACCGGGAAAATTTCTGATACGTAGGGAAAACCCAGAAAAGACTTGAAGGAGGTTAGAATTTACAGAGTGTATCTTGCGTTTCAGAGTGCTTTATGCCTATTTAAGAGAAGAGCAAGCAAATACCACAGTAACATTTCCCCTGTAAAACAAACAGAAGCAATCTCTTTGGGGACTGTAAGGGGAACTTGTCATCTGCACCAGAAGGGGATGCAGTGAAGGTCAGTTGCCTTCTGGATGTTCCCTAAGAGGCAGCTGTCCTTTAGAAACGTTTTTATCCAGACAAAGCTTGAGACTCTCAGAGGACAGAAGTGAAGCTAGTTATCGAGTGGCACGCTGCCAGAAGGGAAGCAGCTTTCCATACTGTTAAATAAAGTCGCAAAGTTATTCAGCTTGAGCTACCATAAATAGACCAGGTAGGTAGGAAGGCCATGCCAAATCAAGGCCAGCTGTTTTCCCTGGACTCTGTCGAAGCCTGAAGGCTTCTCTGCAATCTACACTCCATCAGCAGGGCACTTTGGGACAGCCTACTGTGGGACAGACCCAAATCCCAGGCAGCAGCTAAACTAGGCCAGCTAAAGGTGGCTGGCTTCCCAGATACATGTCCTATATGCACAGGCAATGCTGCTGCATTTTGCAGCTGTTACACTTTCTACACCCTGCAAAGTGCAGGCACCAGACTGGTAGCGGGTAACGAGACAGGGTGCAGTGGCAGAGCCTCTAGCAGCTGACAGGAAATGTCATCTGCAAAAATGAAAACTGATCAGGGACTTTCGTAACAGGGATAGTAATATACAGATTTTTTACTTTGGAATATACTTAGGAATATGGAGATTTTAACATCACTCTTCTGTTAAGGACATAGTAATTGCACATGGAACTCTGAAAAATAATACTGTTAAAAACCTGTATTTTCATTCTAGGTTATTACTGCAGGTTTAGGGGTATATATTGAGAGGTGCAAATACAGGTGGTTTGTGATTGGTTGGCTGGGGATGCACCATGCTGCCAAAGGGTGTAGCAAAGGCTGTTCAAAGTCAGGGGAAAATCCTCCACTGCCTGAAGTGGGAAGGAAGATTTCTTTGTTTTTCTTTCTCAAGTTTAGTCTATCCAGTATAGAAAGAAAAAACAAGATGAGACCTATCAGATTACTGTAGGAGTAACTGAAGAGATATTTAGAGACCAGCCAATTAGGAATTTAAAAGCACATTACTAGATTACTAGAAAAGTATGTAATCATTATGGCCTCGATCCAGCAAATCACTTAAGTATATGCTTAACTACAAGTACATGAGATATTGACTTCAATTGTTCTATCACATGCTTAACATTAAGCATATACTTAAGTATTTTGCTTGATGGGGAGCTAATCACGCTGTTTATTGAGGATGTTAGATCACAGTGCCCTTTAGCACAGTGTTTTGAATACTGCATAGCCAAGACTCTGGTGTCCAGATAGAAAAATACTCAAGAGCTGTTAATCAGAAAGAGGTTGTATATTAGAAACACAGTCTCTGCTCTGCAAATAAGCTTCAGATTAAGCAACAATTTAAAGCCTACACACAAAGGTGGAAAGAGATTCCAGTTTAACACTTACTATGACATTCTCTGATGCAATAGAGTAACATTATGAGAAAAAAAAAAAGAACGACTGTTTGAATAAGGAGAATTACCGTACTTATGAAATGTAGGCAATAAAACAGCAGCAGAAGCTCAGTGAAAATGTATGAGAGCTAGGTAGCCAAACAGGTGACATTTGCAATTTTCTCTGTTATGCTGGTGTCCTAGCATAAGACCAGCGGAGTCCTGGATCCCGTCCAGAATTCTGTCAATTGATATCAGGTCATAGCACCTCATGAACAGATATCCAACGGCTCTCACGTGGCTGAAATAGCAAATTCAAGCCCCATTCTCACACTTATGCCAAGGCCAGTCATGTCTGGGTCCCCCAGCACAGCTTGCTGTGTACCTCTAGCGCTGTAGAAAGTGCTGCAATGAAAGCTGATGGTTGTTTTCCTCTGAGAGAACCATATAAGTGAAACTCCAAACCCAGTGCTTGGCTTTGGTTGTGTAATTATTCTGTGGATGTTTTTTTTAACTTTATTTTTCCTTTTTTTTTTTTTAATTGCATGCAGTAATCATGCATTCCCTAATACTGCTGCAATTAAGTCAGTTAAACTACTATAAGTAAAGTGAAACCTCCTTTTTGATAATGGACTCATTGGACTTGAAAATTTCTTCTGTCCTATAGGCCATTTCCTTCTCTTCAGTGTGAGTTTTACGACAGAACATTGAGTCTATTCAGGCAGAGGTGTGAAATTTAATTTTGGCTCAAATGCCTGATTTGCAAAGTGAAATGTAAGGTTAGACATTCATATAATGGGTTGGGATTTGGAATTGTGCTTTTCCATGGACTTCCTACCCAGTTCCATGTACATCAGTTCCTCACCTATTAAAGGACAATCTCAGCCTTTCCTGTTTTATAGGAGGGGTAGTAGTAATATTGAAAAGTGTGCAGATACTCTGCTATGGTGAATAACTGAACTGATTTTTCTTGAATTTGAGCTAACAAGCATGTTTTGTAAATCTGTTTCAGGCTTATCGAGAGGCTTATCTTCTACTGACCACAAAGTACAAACTCTCATCCATTCTGTTGCCCTTTTCCTGTCTGTTTGCATAGGCACATCCAAAGCAATACACAACCTCCTCAGGCACCAGTTCCACCCCTCGGATATGTATCTGGAAACCTTATTTCAGACTTGGAAACAGATGTTCCAGACGATGATGAGGATGATATCGAAGAAGAAACTCTAGAAATCAATAGGCCACTGAGAGGTCTAGAGCATACTCCAGGCTCCAGTATGGACAATTTAGACAGCTCTGTGACAGGTAACCAAACACAGTAAACACTAACACCAGCTTGTTCCTCACAGGAAAATACATCACCAAACAAACACTTTTAAAGTGAAAATTTATTCCACTCTATTTCTGTAACATTTAAAATGCGTTAATATTGAATGCTAAGTTAAAGAAGGATTTGAAAATACTTTGTGTTGCTGCAAAATGATAAGAAAATTCATGAATTTTAAAAAGCTTTAAAGAGTCAAAAGAAAACTCAATTATATCCTAGCTTTCATGAAAAGTTCACTCTACTGGAGAAGCAAACCAGTTACATAAAAAGGAGAGGGAAGACCTCAGCTTTGGAATATATGTTTCATACATCAGGAGCAGCATAAAAATGTTATCTTAAATAATTTTCAGATATTTTGCTGGGTAAATGCTTTCACAGATGAACATGAAGAAATTAGAAGACTTCAAAATAAGCATAGTTAGTTAGATCAGCACAACATCTAGTTGTAGTGTAATATAACATTTATGTTGGAAAAAAAAGTGTATTTTGAGCCTACTTTGTGTTGAAGAATTTAGTAATTGTTCCCTTTCAGTTGAGGTATTTAATTATTCTGATACATCTTTGCTTTTCGCCCTTTGCATACATTGGAAAGTTACAACAGGAATCATCAAAGGGGACCTAGAGAAGTATGATAAACTAATGTACAGAATCTGAATAAATAAAATTGCTGTTGATGAAGTACAGGCAGTGAAATATATGCTTTTTTTTTTTTTTTTAAATGGAGACTTTATATGGACACATTGAACTTTTTAAGGTAACTCCAAATTCCCCTTAGGAATGGGCTTGGACTTAGGAGTCTCCCAAGGCTGGACTTGGGCTTCTATATGATGTACTGTATACATAATGTTCAGGTTTATTGCAGATCCAGATGTGCCCATAGTTCCTGACAGCTGGTGGGTGCCTCTTCAGTCTTGGAGCTCTATGGAAGAACACTAGCTTGTTAATTGCACCTGCAAAGAGACTGGCTTACTAAGGCATTACTAAAACAGCACAGCTTATTTTCTTCTCCTTGTTGTGAACTTTGGAAATTTCAAGGGTTCTGTATCCTTATTTAAACATTATTATTCTGAAAACACTGCAGGAATATGACAGTAATGGAGCACCAATACTTATAATTTCCTTTCTTTTCCCTTGTTGAATTAAATAGTGTGTTGCTTTATCCCACTTTTCAGACTTTTAGCTCACCCTAGGGCCAGACTGCTTGCCAATCTAATTAAGACTTAAGAATTGTAGCTCTACTGCTGTGATTTGAAACTCAGGTCCAACTGAAGACTGTAGAGTTAAAGTTTAAATCCCTGAATCCAGAAGGTTAACTTATTAGCACATGAGTATGTTAAGTCACTTTGCTTGAATTTCTAGTGTAATCTCCTTCAGGCTATAATTCTGCATATTTTTGCATATCTTGCTAATGGCTCAGAACTGTTTCCATTAGGAATGCAGTAAGGGCTTTACATCAGTAAAACGGAAATAACTAAAGAAATAAACAAATAGGTTGCCATATATTTTCCATTTGATATGTATTAAGATGTCAATGCTGATATAACTGTTAATCAGGAAATTAGTGTTTTGCACATCTACATTTTCCCCTAATATTTTGGACTAACCTACCTCATGCAAAGTAAGGATTAGCTGTATTTCTGTTCTGATTCAAAGACTTCTGTGCCCATTGTAGTTTATGCTTTTACAAATAAGAATCAAGCTTTTTCTTCCTAGTTGTAAGAGTAGTTCGGTTATTGGGGTATAAAAAAACTGATGGGTTTTTTTTTTTTTTTTTTGGAAGAAATTGAACAGAACCTGGTAATGTAGGCTGGGAATGCATGCAAAGAGATCAAATTCACACCCACTTGTTCCCACCATCACCATGATCTTGGTTCATCTAACTGAAAATTAAGGTTTTCCTTTTGTTTTCTTTTCTTTGCTTGTTTAATTCCTATCTGGATCTGTTCCTCGATCTGGTTCACTGCATGGCAGTGTGTTTGCTAGTACTGCAGGAGGAGACCGTGCAGCCGGAAAGGAAGCAAAATGACAGGCTACCCCAATAGCTTACAGCCAACACTTAGATTGACATAAAACATTTATGAAACTATAACCTTGCAAAAATACATCCAGTGTATTCTAAATGATCTATAAAATTGCAAACTCTTGGAATAAAAAAAAAACTACTTCTGTTTTTCTTAGTTACTATGTGGGCAAAACCTCAATTGTCTGAGTTGGGCTTGCTTTTTTATTAGGAGATGGAAGGAAATTGCTTATTTTATTTAGGGGAGTTGTTTCAAAGGAAAATTTTAATTTTGTGCATCTGTTTCTGCTAACCTATCCAGGTTGCATTTGCTAGTGTTAAGAGGGCATAAAAGAAATTGCATCCATTGTTTCTAAGCTGTTTCTCTTTCTTTAACTTGATTGCTTTTAGAATACTGTTGAAGAACTAAATTGTTTTTTCTTCAACTGAGAAAATAAAAGCTGCTTCTTACAGGGCTTTTGATGATTTAAACCAGCATCTTCCTAGGAATTGACATAGTTTGTTTTTACTTTAAACATTAAAAATCTGAGAGAAATGAGAACAGCTAACCTTAAAGAAGCCGTTTTTGTATACATTTTTAAGCATATCCTGTGAGTTCAGTGTCTGTATGAAAACTAAGTTGGCATTCCTTGATCCAGACTTGCCCAGAATAGAGTTGACAGAGTTACTGTAGGGTGAGCAGGATATTAGCATGCCTCAGTGATGGCTTGAAGGTACCCACTCCTGGAGTGCAATGGTACTTTGTTTTTCACAGCTGAGCTGAGTTTTTCATCCAATACCAAAAGGATTCTCAGTGGGGAAATGCTGGCACTGGGTGAACTAAGCTCAAACTGCTAAATTTCACTACAAACATAGCGTAGCTCCTATAAAGTGTTTAAAAATCAAGTTGTCTTCCAAGCTCTTGAGTTTTAGTTACAGCTAACTGAAGATTCAGACAGGGATTTAATCTACACTATTAAGGTTTTCTCTTTGCAGGTGGCAGAGACATAATGTTGACAGGTATAACAGAATGAAAAGCAAGGAGGAATGCACAGTATCTTAACATTTTCCAGATATTGCAAAGCAAACTCAAGGAGGTTTGACTGTTTGTGGGTCAAAATAAGAAAGTAAAGCCCACATTTTGATTTGTTCCCAGCATGGTTTGCTAGGGTGCTAAGTTCCTGATTCTGATTTAAAGAAACAAGCAAACACAAAACCAGACAAAACCAAACAACAAGCAAACTAACAAAACCCTGAAGAGCAGCTGCAAAATTTCTACTGACTTTTAATACACAGTAACTTACTGAGGGGAGAGAGAAACCCATTGACTAACATGGACATTAGAACAGGCTTTTTTCCTACTTCACTGATAGAAGCAGGGTGATATTCTTGTGAAGAGTACCAGTGCATATGTATAACAAAACTGTTTTGTTTTCTTTTTAATAAAATTATGTAGATTTGAAATTATTAAGATTGCCATAGGATGTATAACTTAGCAAGGAAGAAAATCTCTTACTTGATGTGTTTCAGTCTTGATTAAAAGAATTAGTGATCACTGGATGGTAAAAGTTGTTCATTCATTGCATCTGAGCACAAATGGAATAATTCTTGAAAATTGCACAAAATCATTTTGGTGAGCCACATTTTATCAAGGCAGAGTTCAATATTTGTATTGATTTTGATAGGAATGCCTATTGCAGAAGATTCTATTTTATAAGCAGGCAGTTAGACAGATTGCATTTAATAGGAAGAATGTGTTTCATGGATTAAATATGTACACAGAAAATAGGAAACTGGTAGTTTTTGTATCTCATAAAAATGGTAATGCAACAATTAGCAGGGTCATATTATAAAGCACAGACTCTGCTCTAGCTTAATGGATCTAGGGATATGCATTCATCAGCAAGGATGGATTTAGCATAAAACGACATGTAAATGAATTGATGACTGATCATAAATTAATTTTAGTGTTGAAGAAGTAATAGAGACACAGCAAGATGCCACTTTATCATAGTATTTTATTGCATTGAGCAACTACTTAATGTTCTGGGTGCATTTCTTTTCTAACAGCTTGAATAAATTTGAGATTTTTGTTGTGTTTTTCAGCAATATGGAAACCAAAAAATCTTGAAAGATTGAAAATGTAAACATAGATAAATTTGGTTAAGTGGCATAAATTCATTTTTCATTACATGGTTATGAAAAGCATTAATTATGCTTGGACTTCTGAAGTGTCAGATACGTATATATGTTTTGACTCCACTTACTCAGAGTTTAACACCACTTCCCCCTTTCTCTCTCAAAGAAGTGTTTATTTCAGGTGTATATGGTTAATATTTGGGGCATCTCTGAGGAAGTATGCTGTAAAGTATAAGCTCAAGTCAATTTTTTGAAGTATGATCTTATTTATATTCTGCATTCAGCACCTTCCATTATTCTTTTTTGTCTAATGACACAATAACTGTTGCTCCCTTTTATTTAATCACTTCCATTAAAATTAGTGGTCATTCTTTCTTTATAATTATGACCTAAAGGAGATGAATGCCTTCTTCTTGTACATGGGCTGGAAGATTTCAGCATCAGCTCCTGAGGACTTCATCCACATCTGACAAACCTGAGCAGCCTGGTCATGTTCCACCAGAATGCCTGCCGAGGAGGAGGCATGCAATGTTAGCATGTGCTCTGTGCTTTTAAGAAAGAAAGCGTAGAAGCACACACATACAAGTCCCAGTGACATCAGTTATCATCTTTAAGCATGTAGATTTTTGTGCATGCAGAGAAGTACTATGTGGAATTTTCAAAAATGTTAGGTTTGCTATGAGCAGATCTTGTTTCACAAGCATTAGACTTTTTGTTACCTTAAGTAGAGCAAGGTTACACCGTCCAAAGAAAAAGTAGTGTTTTAATTGTAGGCAAAATGCCACTAAAAGCTGTAGCATGCAGCCTACAAGGAGCTGGCACCTCTATTCCCTTCACCTTTCCCTGAGAGCAAGAAGCTTTCTGTTTGCATTAGCACCAAGAGATATTTTATGGAGCAAGAAAACAGAGTTCAACATTTCACAGAGTTGATTTTGTTCCACATAAAGCATTTACTGCTGCTGTCAGCAAGAGTAAAATTTACAGTTGCCAAAAAGCGTAAAAACTCAAATGCATTCTTGGAGAACACACAGTGAGCTGCATGTGAAGGAGACACTAAAAGCCTATTTCATTCCATCTGAAAATGCACAGTTGATCTGAAAGAGACGTCAGCTTCTCTTATGCTGCCTTTACTCAGAGAAAAACAAAACTGTGCCTGATTGGGGAAATCAAGAGGCTGGTAGATGCCATTAGGGAAGGCTTCCCCTTGCACATAATATGAAGGCAGTTGCATAGAGGTATGAGGGGTCTGGCCTGGGCTGAAGCAGGCTTGTGTCCATTGAGCCACGTCTGTGCTTCTGGAGGACAAAGACAGAGTGCTGCTGAGGAAAAAAAGAACAAATAGGGAAACTTAATAGCTCAGGAACCAGTGGAAAAAATGTGAAGATTTCATGGTTAGCTTGCTGACTTGAGCAGTTTTGAAGAGCTTTTCTTCAGCTTACAGTCCACTAACCAGAAGTAACATCATTGTTTGCTTTAATTGTTGGCTCTGTTGAAGTCCTCCTCCAGTACAGCTCATGTCTGTGCAAGGACTGAGCTGCTGTGTTCAACAGCACGGGCAGGGCACCTGTTCCTAGCTTAGCTGGTGTTTGCTGTCCTTGAGAGGTCAGGAGGTCAGGAACAGATCCCTGAAGGGTTGCTTGAAAAACTGGGAGTCTGATGGCAGTGCTTCACTGATCATTAAGATCATTAATAGGTAGGTGTTGTTAAGAAAATCTGGCATGGCTATGTGTGTGTAGAGAGGTAAGTGTATAAACACTCACTGGAGAGAGCGTTAGAAACTTGTGCAGATTTTTAGTCTATTGCACTTTTCAAAAGTGGATTTTTTTAAAAACTAGATTAAATCCTTCTAAGAGCAGATGGAATATAGCAACTGCTCCTAGATACACCCCAAAAGTATTCCATCCAAACAATCATGTTTATAACATGCTGTGTAACTTGTAAGTGGTTAGCATAGCAACGTAAGCAAATGAAAATTCAAACTTAATGTCATTGAAAATACCCATTGTTTTTTCTACAGATACAGAAAACATATGTATGCTCATACATATCCTATTCAGTATATATTTTCACGTATCTACAGAGTAGAATGTATAAAATACTTGGGCCATGGAACTAACAAAATACATCATACATTTTCAGCACCTGAATATCTTCCTTTGATATCTGTGAATCTAGTTATATTTTTATGTTTCAGCTTCTGCTTACATATTTTGCAGAATGTGTTGATAAGCAATTGTTTGAAAATGTTCTCAGCTATAGCATTTCATTTTCTTACATCTTCATGAAGTGTTTTATCTCTAGTATCTCTTTTCATACATCAGCAAATAACTGTTGCTAAGACTTTGCTCCTCATTCTCTCTGATGTTCCATCACACTTTGATTGTTAGTTCAGTTTGTTCCTCTTCTCAAGGAAATTCAGCTTCAGCCTTCCCTTGCTGCTGTCTAGACTTTCCTACATCTGTCTGCATCAGGTCAAGTCTGTTTGGAAAATAACAATTCTGTGTGTGCTCTTGGCAAGCAGAATCTAACTCTGTCACTCTCTGTTGCACTTAACACACTTTCTGCCTGTCAGACCTCCATAGACCTCTTCAGTTTCTTTTTTTTTTTGTATCTTAGGAGTGCATAGAGTTATTATAGCCTGCCACTTTGCTGACATCAAAGGATTCAGTCATTGCAGCATCACAAAATAATCCATTGTTCTTAGGCTTTGTAATGCAACATAAGCAAGTCAGTATTGATTTAATAATTAATGATTTTTAACAAAATAATACTTTCCTGGATAACTCTTAAAAAAAGCTTTGAAGAACATACTGATACCATTGTTCATCTTAGGTATATTGACATAAATTCACCTGTGCTAAAGAAATTGTTAAGTCAGGTCCATGATTTATCTCTCCACAAGTGTTGTCATATCTTGGAAAACAGATCTTCATTGGTTCACTGGGATTTTTCTCAATATGTCACTTTTTAAAAAGCAACCTTCTGATATTTTAAGATGAAGAGGCAACTTTGCTGTCTCAGAACAATATTCTGTGTCTACATGGTGCCACACAATGCCATGCAGTAATTCAGGTCCCAGAAGCATTCTGGTAGCTCTGCACTTTAGCTAGAGTTGGTAACTCGTTAGTATGTCTGCTCTGTACCTGGAGAAAAGCTAGGTAGTTGGTGGTGGCTGAATATTCTTCACCTCATGCTCTACTGGACATTGTAAAACTATACAGTGTCGTTTATGATGATTTTCAGAAGTATAGAGGACTATCAACTCCATCTGTAATCACTGAATTTTGGTACTTTGAAATAATTCAAACCCATTGATAGTTTTGGAAAATATACGTTGCATTGTCATATTGGGTAGTTAATCGGTTCTTTCTGCTGTGCAAAAAAGTAAAAGAAAATATAATTGAAGAGTGGAAAATATGAATCCTTCTCATAGTATTTTGTTCTTCATATTTTAATTATGTCAAGATTTCTACATTCTTGTCGTGTTTTTTTTCTTATATCTTTTTTTTTTTTTTTTTTTTTTTTTTTATGGCTCCATTTTTTGATGTTATTATTGCTTTCCTCTCCTGCAGTGGTGGTGATCTATAGCTAGGATATGGTGAGGTCTGCATTGGCTCCCTGCATGACTCAGTATTCAAGAACGTGTTTGGTCTGCTCTTGAGCATCTGTTTCTAATCTTTTAAAAAAGAGAAATCAATCCTGTAAAATGGATTGCTTTCCATCAGTTTTGTTTGGGCCACTAAGATTGCTCATCTATTTTAAAGTTTTGGTTGAGAAAATGGCGTAATGCTTCAGAATGTTCTTGAAGCCCAAGTCTGACGTCAGCCATACCTGATGAGATTTAGACTTGTGGTGTCCTAAAGTAAGATTTTTTTTGCAAAAAAGAAGGTAGATATTGCTTTATAATAAATGAAGTTTAAAAAAAAAAAAAAAATCACATTACTTTCAATCCCAGGAAAAATCTTTTAACATTCAAAAGAGTTTATTATGGCATCTATATGTGTGTAGGGGATATGTATTATTTGGTTTACAAATGGACAGTTACACAATGCAAACGATGAATGAGATCCCAGTTAGCTTTTATAGTGCGCTTTTATATCAAGCTCTGTTAGCCAACCTTTGGGTTTCCTGTGGAGTAAGAATATATTAAGTGGGTCTTTAAGATTTAGATGATCAAAAAAATATCAAACATGTACAACTCACTAGACCCCCTACATTTGTTTTTAGGTTCAATGGTAAATGGATGGGGTTCTGCGTCTGATGAGGACCGTAACTTTTCTAGTCATAGATCTAGTGTAGGTAGCTCCTCAGATGACTCGATCTTTACCAGCGGCAGTTTTGCACAAGCACTGGTTGCAGCAGCAGATAAAGCTGGTTTTAGGCTGGATGGAACCAGCCTGACAAGAACAGGTTTGTAGACTCAAAGTTAATGCTTTCTGCATGAAGGGTGTCTCTGCCTGTTCTTCTCTTCAGTGAACCTGCGTCTCACTTCACATTTTTCTAACATGCATGGAGTAAAGTGGATGGAGATATTTTTATCAGTATATTTAAAATAAAAATTTATGTTTCATTTTTAGTGATTTGAAGTAGTGAATACTGCAAGCTTGTAATCAGCACTTCCAATCTTCTGCAGTTTCTCTTTACGCTGACTCTGCTATGGATTTACTGACATGTGCTCTGTTTAATATTTTGGTTAAGAGATCACTAATTCTGCCATGCAGTCTTTGATGATTTTATTCCTGCAACATCTCCTCACTATCATTTACATTTCCAATGATGAAAGTCATGTTTAAACTGTTATCTCCATCCCTGCTTCTCTCTTGCATCTCTTGCAAAAATGTATTTTTCTGTGAAGTTTTTCTAAGCATGGGGGTGGAATGCTATGATTTGATTATAAATGATATGAAATGTTTAAAAGTCTTTTTAATCAGCTGATGTTAACAATATTTAATTCAATGAATCATTAAATTTTGATTAAATTTAATTTTAATTATGCCACCAGAATTAGCCAAGTGAAATTTAATACAGGTAAAGTGACTATTGCTTTTGAAAACAACCAGTCTTATCAACTAGAATAAATTAATGAAAAGTAAATATAATTCAGTTTGTAACGTTTAATTTTTAGCAAAACAAAAAGATAAGCAGAACTTCCTTTTATATATTCTGAACAAAGAATGTATTTGCATTTGCATTTTTTTTTAAAAAAAGCACCTAATTATTTAAATCCACACGACATAATAACAAAGTATTCATTTGGGTTCCTATTTTTTATTATGCTTTCTTCTCCTGTTCCTGCACACATTTCCCATAATATTCCTATCATTTAAAAATTTTTATTATCATTTTTGTACAAAATTTATCCTTTGCTAAAATGCTTGCATTCTTGATAAATGTCTCCAAATGTTAGAAATGATAACTGCCAGCTTTCTATACGCAGTGATTTCATGAGAAATACTACCTTTTAGGAATAAAGAAAAGAATCTGTAGTAAAGTCCTACGCCAACAACAAATCACAGAATGAAATTTCAGCCTTTTTCAAGTCATGAGGACCTTTGACTTTGGTTAGATGTAATCATCCTTAAAAGACAGTTATTTCACTGTTAAAAATATTTAAAACTCTCATTTGCTTCTTCTTATTTAGCAAATTTGGCCAACCCATTCCTTTCTTAAAATACACTGTTTTGCTTGAACTGACACAAATCCTTCCTAACCCTTTTATTTTTGTGTTCTTCATGGCCTCAGTAAACTAAAGCAACTTGTACTAGGCCCACTGAGAAGTAGTTTCCACCACATACATGCACAAAGGAGTTCAAACGTGCAGACACTTTTAAATACGATTCCTTACCGTAGCAATATAAAAGAACAGGATGAGAACTCCCTTGTCAGTTATATTTTCCTAGCTTAATTAGGTCACATATGCACTTAAACTGAGTACTTACACGTAATTCCTTGGATAGACTATTAGAGTTAAGGTTACAGAAGAGTAACACTGTGGTTATCTTTTTATTGCCTTTTTATTCTCTTAATGATCCAGAGAAAAAGCTGAATCAAAAAGCCCATGTAAACAGCCTCCCTTTTTTCACCCACCACAATATCAGCAAATGGAAACAGTTCTGCAATGCTTACTGTAGTTTTCTTATGATATGATACTTCCCAATTCCCTGATTGATCAGACTACCTATTATGGATCTGCTGTACCACAGTAAATCCATCATAGTGCAAAATGGCATTTTCCAGTGGAGAAGCAGCAGTATTATTTCTATTCATTGCTCTGGAGGAAATCTGAAGGTCCCGACTCTTTACTCCTTTGGACAGTTATTTTCTCCCGCTCAGAACAGTTATGAAATATTCTTATTGATATGAAATGAGAAGACCAACTTCATAGGCTCACATGGATGTCTTTGATTGTCAGTCATAAGAGGCACTGGAAAATCCAGACACAAGATGTCTCTCCTACAAGACACTTTGATTCCATTTTCCAGAAACCATTGTGTGATTTGTCATGTAGTTCAGCCAGTTTTCCTTTTTAACACCCATGGGAAATTAAATCATGAATTACTGGATTCATCCTTGTCTCCATTTGCACACACTAAATCTACTATAGAGTCTGACACTGCTCAGCAGTTCTTCCTGGAAAGGCTGCATAAAAAATAACATGCTGTAATCAGATATTAGGTGCATTGAAAGATGTGTTTTGGGAGCCCACATATCATTTGTATTTGCCCCATGTCTGATTTAGGTGAGTGCTATCTATTTTCCTTCATTTTCACAAAGGGATAAAAGAAAAAAATTTCAGTGTATATATATATATATTTTTTTTTTCAAGTCAGCTTTCCAAATTCATGATCACATTTCTTTACTCAAGAGAGTAAGCATGAAGGTTCTTCATCTTGCACTCACTAGTTGTGCTTGCATGTTGCAAGTTTATTTTTACAGAAAATCTGTGCTGTGTGAGCTAGGATGGAATTTCAGGCTCACATCTGAATTTCTTTGCACCAGTGGCCTTTTTCTTTTTCTTTTTAAACAAGATATGTAATATTTTGTCTGTGTTCATTTGCTGTTTTATCCTTATCTATGAAACAAGGGCTTGATCACTTGTCTTTGTCTGGCTGCAGCTGTGCCAGCTATAAGAGGTTAATGTTTCCAGGCTTCACCCAAACGCTTATTACTGCTTCCTCCCATCTTCAGAGTTAGCTGCTTGGGTGGGCATTCAGCTCCCCATTTCAGTTTAAATGCATCAGGCTAGCAAAGGCATCCTGTTCATACTCTTTAAATTCAATTTGGCTTTCTTTGGCAGAGGAGAGTTAGGGAATGCCCACACAGATGGTTCAAATGTGGTAACCTCTGATAGCTGACAGGGACACAAGGCTGGGAGACAACATAGCCTAAGAGAGTGATCCTCCTCATTGTGCACATCAGTCTGAAAATAAAAGATCAAGCCTTAGGTAGTCAGGAAAAATCAGAAGGCCAATAGTTAGATGTTATTGTAACACAAGCATTTTAATGCTAAGCAGTATGTTAGAGAGATTATAGCTACTTTTTTTCACTTTGCCCTCTTTTTGCACCAGATATATTTTAAATAGTGCAGTAAATAGCAGTTTACTTCTGATTAGGTTAATCTAGATCCTATTGTATGTGGTGTCATGCTAGAAGTAAGGATATCTATTATAATGCGTGAAGCGTGGCACTTATACACCAGAATTTTGGCTCTTCCAGGGGTTTTACTAAAAAGCATAAATCACAAGAGACCATGATCTAATTAACCAGAAGATAATTCAGCCTCGTATTAGCTTAGGGCTGATAGATCAGAAAAATATCAAGCAGCTATTTTGTCACTTTCCACCAACTATTAGACCATACAGGTCTACAGTTGGACTGAAAGAGAAGTTCTGACTGGCTTACAAATCTTCCACTTCAGAGAAGGTTAAACAAAGTAATAATTTTAAGCAAGTTCTAAACAAATTAAAGCATTAACATCCCTGAGATGCTTGATAAAGATCATGTGCAGAGAAAAAAAAAAAAAAAAGACAGTGATATCAGTGATATTTAGTTTTCTTCAAACATTATTAAATAAGAAACAGCCTAATAATCTGAATAAAAACATGAAAAAAAGAACTGAATGGAGTAAATTAACTATGCTCATGCGTTTCCTGCCGTGATACTTTTCATGATCTGCTTCAAAGAACAGCATCAAAGATATCAAAAAAGAGAAAGTATGTAGCTCCATTAGTCTATATATTAAATAATAAATAAATAAATAAATAAACAACAACAACAAAAAAAACCAGAAAAAAAAACAGAAAAAAAAACAATAGGGAATGAATTCATTCAGAATAAATAATTTTTGAACACATAAAATAATGAAAATAAATAGGAAAACATTGCGACTTAAATTCCTTTTTTAATTTCTTAAGAGAAGAGAGCCCTGAAGTATAGAAACCTGCAGTGCTACATAGCTTGCAAAAGCAGTTATCTTTATCTCACTGGAGTTACTCCAGATATGCAGTGCTTATGGGAGTCACTAAGATGAGAATCTGGCTCAGCAAATGCGAAGGTGGAAGGCAGGAGGAGATAAATTTGATATGATTGAAGAAGTGTTTTCCTTCACTGCTGAGGGCTGAGGAGTCGTTATGACACATCTGCTCTGAACACCAAGCAGGTAGGAGTTACATGGTGTGCAGCGGTTTTAGCACAACAGATGGAGCAACTTTAATTATAAAAGTAAAGACAAAGGATTGCCAAGTTTCTCACTTTGCTTACTGTGGTGTAACTTAAGCAACTGACATCAGCAGGTGTCTCATGGGGACACTCGCTTGCCTCTGAGAGTTAGACCAGATTTAATATTTCAGAATTTACATTAACAGAACGGCCCATTTCAAGTCAGTAATATTTTTGTCATGTGGTTTCTCTTTTTCTAGGCAAAGCATATCCTTCCTCTCAGAGACCTCGGCCAAGCAGTCCTTTTTCTACTGACAGCAACACCAGTGCAGCTGTCACTCAGAGTCAGAGGCCGAGGCCCACTAAAAAACACAAGGGAGGCCGGTTGGACCAACCCCCCTTGCCTCATCGTAGGGAGGGAATAACAGACGGTAAGTGTGGCGGTGGGAGGCCCTGGTGATGAGCTACAACACGCAGCTGTGCACAATGGGAGGCCATAAAGCAGTCTTTTAAGGAATGTCTGTTACAGTGAGCTACTTGTTTGGTGAAGTAGGGTCCCCAGGTACGTCAGCGGTATTGCAACGCTAGCAGCGTGGAGCTTGGTTAAGTGACTCTTCAAGGAGCCTTTCTTCCTTTCAGCTCTAAACAAGTCAGCTCTAAACAAATCAGCTCTCAGTTCTCAGTGTAAATCTTAAGAAGAAATGACTGCATTGAACATGGGTTGGCATTAAAATGTGACCCCTGGGTAATTTCATTTCCAAGTAGCCACCACCAGCATATAGTGCATTTCTAAGAAGAATCATGCAGCCAGTCCCACAGTGCTCTCTTTGTTTTCTGCTGGTTTTGACAGCCATGCAACAGCTATAGAAGTACGTGCCATGCTTTTCTCAAGGCTTTTCTCAATGCCTCACATCTTGTCTGTGCTGCTTCATCCCTGAAATTCAGTGACCTCACTGACTTTGTTTGTCACTTCAACATCTCCAGTTCCCTCTTACCACCAATTCCCATCTAGAAATTTCAAGTGTATCCCTTCTGCTCTTCTAATCACTAAAATCAGTTCAGATTTCCATTGTCTTTGTCTATCCCATCTTGAGTTTGGCAAAAAAAGCCTTTGTTACTCCTTGAGAAGGTCTGACTATAAAGGTGGGCAGCTTGCTATCTCCCCTCTCTTCTCTTTTAATCTTACTAGTCACTTTAAATGTTGAAATTTTCAGTGAGGAGAAGCAGGCAAATGGAAAAACAGTGTTAAAGGAGCCACCAAGGATTACTGTAATGCAGTGCGAATGGGGATCTGGTCACTTTCCTCATGCTGACCTGTCTTGCAGTGTTCAGGGCAGGGCAGTTCTGAGTCCTTGACTATCCCTATTTTAGTAGCCCTCAGAATGGCACTGTCTGAACACTGGGAGCAGGAGTCATGCCAGTGCCAGTCATGTCAGTCTCCTAATTTTTAGTTCACCTTGGCAAATCTTTGAGTATATGAGAAAGGAGTAAAAAAATCACTTTGGTATAAATTTCCTCTCTATTCTAGCAAAAATCAGTTGAGAATCCTTTCATCATCCTCTTTTATCGAGCAGCATGTTGTAAATAGATTTGATAGAGCATGTATTTAGTTTGTTTATTTATAATGTGCTATTTATTATTCTAGGTATGCTTAAAAATATATTAACAGCATGCAAGCTGGAATGAAGCCACTAAAAACACTACAACTCTCCTCTCAGTCATGTTCATCAAATGTACAGATACAATTTTGTAGCATGTTCTGACAGATTCCCTGTTTGTCAGATCGTAAAAGTGGAGAACAGATTCCAGAAGTGAAAGTCTTCACCAGAAGTGTTACCGTTATAGCTCATACTCTGTGACTCACCCTCACTACCATATTGTTTGAGAAAAGAACTCAAAATAGCTTAGAACCCACTCATGTGGCTCTGATTTGGTTTAAGCATTAATGCTATCCACTTCTTGATATATTCCAGAGGCCTCACTGCTACACAGATCTGTTAAATAGATGTGTTACGAGAATAGGAATTGGAAATTGTGAGTGTCAATTGCACAATTGTGCTGGCAATCCCCTTTCTGTGCATGCATTAATTTAAACCTTCAGCATAGCATATATTTTGTCACCATGAGTTATGTGTACATGTGTGTTTGTAATGCATTAAGTGTTGTGGGACCTTAATCTCACTTTTTTAGAATACTGTTACTATAGAAGTAAGTAATAATAACATGGTTACCGGAAGATTGATGGGAATCTAGTTTAGGTCATGAGGTAAATGGAAGTGTGACTCCTCAGGGAGTGACTCCATCATAAAATCTGACATTGCTTTAAATTGGTGAAAGGGATCAGATTTTAAGATTTATTTCAAAAGAGGAATCTCCTATGATCTTTGATTATTCATTATAAAACACTAATCTTAGTGGAGTTTTTTTAGTATATTTGAGTCAGAACTCCAATTTTATACCATGTTCTTAAAAAATCAACCTCTCAAGCATAGACAGTAACAACTTCTGGACACTGTTAACATTTGCCTGTTACAAACCTAGCTTAAACGCTTACTATGTGTTCCAAAAATTTATAGTGTTCAGAAGTCATACAGGATCCTTTTCCATTCTCTCTCACAACAGAAACAAGTAAACACAAATTGTACACTTTTTCCACTTCGAGTGTTGCTGAATATGAGTCATTAAAGTGTAAGGACAAGTCTGAGTCATAGCTAAATCTGCAAAAGACATTTGTCAATTAGGGAACTAAGATTGCTGCTACCACCTGTATGTATGGAAACAGACTACATTTAAGAATTTCCAGTGTCCAAAAATTAAAAATGATCACTGAATATGTAGATACAATCTACAGTTTCAGGTCCGAATCCTCTGGACTGACTCTACTTTGAATTATCCTATTTGTCCTCCTGTACAATTTGTTTTTCAACTTTCCCATCCTAAAAGACTGTGGAGACAAAGGAAAAATACCTTATGAATCTGTCAATAATGGAAAACCTTAAAAACAAACAAACAAAACTAACATAATGTTTCTACTTCTAGTGCTCAAGGAATAATTTATTTTCTTGAAATCAATATATTCACAAAGTACAAAATAATGGAATTTGCCATACGTGCAATTACACAGTAACTGCATAACTGCAGGTGAAAGTTCCTCTTTGTTTGAGCATGAGGTTTAAAAGAACAAAGAAAAACTAGAGAGGAACCATGGCTGGTGGTTAAAATAGAGAAATAAGATTATTAGCTTTCGAAGTCTCTTGTTAGCGTGCAATTTTAACTAAGGCAGGCTGTAGTGAAGATGCTTACTATCTGGTACAAGAAAGTGGTTCAGAGTCTTATTAAATGTAAATATCGCCCCTAGGAAAACAAATGACTAGCGCAAGTAGGAAGAGATGGCCTTGTACTTCTTGGTTCTTTAACTTTTCTAGCTAATAACGAGAGGTTGTGCCCAAGCTTACATAATGTCTCAGTCATTTGGCCAGTGCTCTGCTTGCTAAAGTAAGGCTGGAGTAATCCCAAGAGAATCATGCATCTGCAGCTGATAAGGCTTTCTGATGTTCTACAGCTTCTCAATCACAATTCCTCTGTTATTAAATCAGACCGTCACCTACCCCTCAATACACTTACAAATAGCTTTGCAAGTTTGATAAGCTTGCCATTAGAGGCTGCAAGTGGTAGTTTGGATAGCATCCCACAGCCTATAAAGTTACTAGCTCAGTATGGATTTTCGGGTGTTTTACTTGGCACTTGGAAGGTAAATGTAATGTAGATGGAAGTGCAGTAACACTTCAGTAACACACTCAGTAACATCATTCTGTGTTCTTTCACTGAAAATCCTCCTGAAGTCCCTAATTATCTACATTCAAATCTTCCCTTGAGTAACGGACATTAAGGTATGAGTTGGCTTCCCTCTGTGTAGTAACAAGTCTGCTTGTTAGGGACTGAAAATACTAAGTCATCTGACCTGTTACCCTTTACTAGCATTTGAATTTCCAACCATTAGCCATCATGTAGGTACATATGTACAAGTGTATGCAAGGATGCGTGCACAGTTGCTTAGATACATCTTAGGCTGAGAAGGGAAAGAAGAGATGGGGAAAGACAAGACTGTGACACTGGAGGAGGAAACTCATGACTCCAAATATATGGAGTCTATCTATATGCCCCAATAAAATAACAGCGTATTTAGTAACTTAAGGCAGAAAATTTGCAGTAGACAGCTTGAGCTGTGGAGGGAATAGAAAGCCACGTTGCCAAATGATGCTCTCTTCCACCTTTTTATATTAAAAATGAAGGGTAGGTGTTACTCTGACAATCAACCTGAGTAAAAAAGTGAAAAAGCAAATGATATAGTCAGATCTTCTCAAACATATCTAGCACAGTCCAGTAAGTATGTACTTAAGCTAGAGCCAGCTTACATTAGTTCTGTAGTATTCTGTAATTCTTCTATAATTGTGTGAAGCTTCGTCAGGAAATAATTTTTATTTTTCATTTCAGCTAGCTCAACCAGAGCTCTAAAACACTAAAACAGCTTTACAAACATGTTTTTTGATTTCACTTCTATTCATCAGGCAATTTCCTGCCCATTTTACTAGTGTATAAAAGCAAAATCCAAGTTAACAGCAGACTAATAAAATAAGTCTACTATAATTCCAGGAGTTTCAGTTAGCTCTGGAGCATGCAGGACGGTTTAAGTACAAGACCTTTTCACCTTGATATCTGATTAATAGAAACTCTTAGACAGCAATTTGTGAAGAAGTGTTCTGTATCGTAGAAGTATAATGTTGCAATCATTTTAATTTTTTTTTTCCTGTGGTAGTACTTCTTAAAAATTTTGTTTATATTAAACTAAATATTTTATCTTGGAAAATAACATTTATTGGATTCAGTGCATCTTCATAAAGTGCTTATAAATCACAACTTCAGTAATATCTATTTCATATTGCATAAGCAGATGCCAGTGTTGTGGTTCTTGTACATTAACTGGTTATGACTGTAATAAAATCAATTATAAGAAATGTCATTTTGGAAGCCAACACTATAAAGCAATTTTAACATTGGCAAGCTCCCATACCCTGCTTCCACCTACAGTCACTCAAGTATTGCCACTGTCATGAAAGGTCACATCTATATTCATAACTAAAAATTTCTCAAATAAATTAGTGCTGAACATAAAGCACACATCAGGCTCATTGACAGATTATTATTAAACTGTTCTATCCAGAAGATAGATATCTTAATTTCTGATATAGCACTTTAGCTATGAGCAAAAGTACAGAAGCAACATCAGACACAACTTCTTTCCCTTTTAGACACAAGTATCCCACACATCTGCATTTAACATTGGGAAACAGTTCTGGTTTGGAACAACGTCTTATCAACTTGGGAAGTATTTGTGCCCCATATATAAGAGACAGAAGTATCAACTCTAGCAGAAAGGACCTGAAGCTTCATGTGAAGCTGAATTACAGGCTTCAAATAAATTAAAACCGAAGGCCTCCTCAACAATGTATAAAATGAATTGAAGTCTCACTAGGATTAAGAAAATCAGACCTTCCTGTGGGCAAAGGAGAGATTTACTCTTCCATGCTTTACAAATTCCTTGATGAACCTTCACCTAAAGTACAGAATACCAGGAAGTGGGGTATAGCCATATCTAGTGTAGACTAATATAGATTTAGTGAAGTTGGGTAGCATGAATTTATTTGGGTTGTGCTTTGCCCAAAGCCAGAATTAATCAAGTTTTCTAAGTATAAAATGAGTAGTCTATATGGAAGAATATTTAAAGTACTTTTTTCTCTATTTTGATTGTTTTTAAAAATGTAAGAATTTTCTTGATTCTTACTAGACAATCATGTGGTTTACATGAAATCTTACAGTTAGAATTGTCACTATTCAGGTTCTATAATTATCTTTGGTAACAAATTAAATAACAAAAAGCACCCCCACAAATGTGATTAGAAGTTTCACCATCAATCCTAAAAACATCTCAGTAGGCCAATCCATAAACTTGAAAAGAATCAGAGTGCATAGAGAGATCAAGCAAATGTCTTTCAGCATTTATGTGAAATTTCATGTTGATTGGTTATATTTGCAAGACTGCTAAACTTAAGAGTGGCCATCCTGGTGTCTGTGAAGACTACTGGTTTCGAGAGAACACTGAAAATGTATTTGAAGAAAATGTTCACCCGTTGCTTTGTGATTCCATTTCCATAGATGTATTGGTGCTTTTTCAGTGACAGTACATTTGTGAATATATATTTTTTTTCCAAAGATACTGTGGAATTTTATACATTTTGATAAAATCATGTATTTAGATGGTGGGTGTAAGCCTCAAACTGAAAATGAAGCCCAAAAAATAGGAATGATAAAGCAAGCCCCAATATGATGGGCAAGAATTACTCTGTCATCTGGTTTCCATAGTCTTTCTTAATTGTTCACTGTTACTGAAAGAGGCAGATAAAATGGAAAATAAATCCCATGCTTAGAAATGTAAATCAGGACTTGCAGTGAGTCTACTGATTGTTAGGAAAGTTAGAAAGAGCTAGCAGTACAGTAAGTTGAGTTAGAAATCTATTGGAAAGTAATTTCTGATTAACAAGAAGTTTCCTTTTTTTAAAATCAGCAGATAAAGTGATTCAAGCCATTTGTGAGAGACGTTTTTATTGTTCATTTCTTTTCAGCATCAAATGGAAGTTCTGTTTCAATTAAAAATTAGTTCATCTAAATCTTATTCACATTTTTTAGATCTTCCACCACCACCTGACCCACCACCTGGTCAGGGTTTAAGGCAGCAAATAGGCCCGGGCCAGCGTGGAGGCTCGGCAGAGAGGAAAGGAAGCTCTCTTGAGAGGCAGCATGCACCCAGCGTAGATGACACAAAGAGCTCCCTGGACCGGCAAGCTAGGACATCACTAGAGTGGCAGCGGCAAACCCAGGAGTGGATAAGCTCTGCAGAACGCCAAGAGGATTTCAGGAAAGCCCAACACAAGCAAGCATTTGGATCAGGTGCGTGTGTGCTGCACCAGCCTAGGCCATGTTTCTTGAAGCTTTTCAGCTGAGGATTTCTGTAGCTGGCAGGAGGCTAAGTTCGCCCTCCATCTCTGCATTCCCGCAGTGCTGGGGCTTGCGACAGAAATTTTTTAGGAAGGCAAGGTGAAGTGGGAGCTTGCAGTCCAAGTTCTTTCCCTCCTGCGACCATTATATCTCATTATAACCTAACTCTGTGCATTTTTTGCATTGTTTTGACAATTAATAGTGTTGTCAAGCATGGTCATGGGAGAAACAGGAACAGTTTCAGGAAGGCAGGGAAGAAGGAAGAGTTTTTTTAGTAGTTTCTATTAGATGTATTTAATTAGACTACAGGGCTGTATTTTCTAGTTCTTTCAACCTAGATCTAAATTGGCACTAGTTGTTTTTGCATATATCTGCAGTAAGGCTGATCCTTCTGAGCTACCGACACTCCTTCCAGCTATATTTGTAATACTGTCTTCTCCTTATTCAAGGCCATGACAAAAGCAACATTCATCTCCTAGACCTAGCAAGATGATGGCACAATCATTCAGCACAGGACCTGCTTTTATTATTGAGTGCTGACTTTATCTTTTAAGGGGATTTCAAGTCTGTAAAAATGTGTAAAGGAGGCAATGCTGAACTGTAGTTTTAGTTCCATGCTATTTGCAGATCACTTCTCTTAGCCTGACTGCAAGTAAAAGCTGCTGTTCCAAGTCCCCTTACTAGGGATTTTCTTTAGTCCACTAATCATATGTTATCCCAGTGCTGATTAAAGTGATACAAGAAGACAATTGCTCAAAGACAATTAAAAAAAAAGTACATGATCTTCCTCTAGGGCTACACCTCTAGTCTGTATGTAGCTCCCCCAGTGACACTAGATGTACTTGTACTATTCTTCTTCCTTCTGACTTTATTCCAATGCTAATTTTCCTAGTTAATTTAGCACACTAATATAAATGACATTCTAAAAAAAATTGCAAACTGCTGGCAAAGCTGTCATGGGGACATGATTTAATGAGTAAAGTCCTCAAAGAAAATAGCACATAGCATATTAAAGCATCCCAGTCTGTTGATTGCCCTGAGCCAAGTATAACATCTTGTACTTGACCTCACTGGACATCATTAGGTTCTCGTGGGCCCACTTTTCAAGCCTGTCCACGTCCCTCTTGATGGCATCCCTCCCTTCTATTGTATCAGCTGCACTGTTCAGCTTGGTGTTGTTAGCAAACTTGCTGAGGGTATACTCACAGATCTCACAGTCTCTGTCATTGAGAAGAATGTTAAAGAACACTGGTCTGAAGTATACCCCCTTGGGGACATCACTTGTGACCAGCCTCCATCTGCACATAGAGCCACTGTCTGCAACACTCTGGCTGTGACCATCCAACCAATTTATCGGAATAGTCTACCTTTCAAATCCATATCTCTCCAATTTAGAGATAAGGATGTAGTGTATGACCATGTCAGAAGTCCAGGAAGACAACACCAGCTGCTCTTCCTTTGTCTACCAATGCTGTCACTCCATCACAGAAAGCTACAAGATTGATTAGGCAAGATCTGCCCTTGGTGAAGCCATTCTGGCTGCCTTGGATCACTTCTTCATCTCACATATGTCTTAACATAGCTTCCAGGAGTATCTGCTCCGTGATCTTCCCAGGCACAGATGTGAGGCTCGCTGATCTACAGTGATCAGGTCTTCCTTTGTCCTCTTCTTAAATATGGGAGTAATGTTTTCCTTTTTCCAGTCACAGCCATAATTTTTAAAATATTGTGGAATAACATAGCAAACACATCAGCCAGTTCCTTCAGGACCCTGGGATTCATGTCATTCTGCTGCACAGACTTGTACACATTCAGCCTGATGAGATGGCTTCAGACTTGCCCTGCTCGTACAGTGGGAGGGACATTGCATCCCCAACCCCCACCTAGAGGTTCAGGGATGTGAGAGGCATGTGGCAGACCTGACTGCCAGTGAAGACTGAGGCAAAGAACTTACTGAGTACCTCAATCTTCTTTGTGTCTGTAGTTGTCATTTCTCCCTTCTCATTTATCAGATGGGATAACTGTCCTTTGCTTATTTCTACTGGCTGAGCAGATCCTTTCTCAGCCATGCCAGTGTCATGCCTCCTCTGCTGATTTCTTGTGCTGGCAGATGGAGAGCTCATGTGATTTCAGAAAGGTCCTTAAAGAGCTGCCAGCTCTGTTCTTTTCCTATGATCCTAAAGGACAGTTTCCCAGAGGATCCCAACCAGTAATTCCTTAAACAGCCAGAATCTTGCTCTCCTGAAGTTCTGGATTCTGTCTGCACTTTGCCAGGTCCATATTTTTTGAGATCAGGAACTCATCCAGGATATGGTCACTACAGCCCAGACTGCCTCCAACTTCAGTGCTTAAAAATTAAAATGATCTTCTCAGCACTGGTGAGCACCAGATCCAGTAACGCTTCACCTCAGGCTACTCTGTCCAATACCTGGACCAGGAAGTTGTCCTCAACAGACTCCAGCAGTCTCCTGGATTGCTTGCAGCCCACCATGTTGCTTCCCCAGCAGACATCCAGGTAGCTAAAATGCTACTTAGCATAATGACAATTTTAACTAGAGTGTGTAAGTTCTAGAAACATACACAAAATATCACAATATATTTAATGCATCTCATTTCTTTGTGAACAAAGATTAAGTATGCTTGTCTGACCTTCTTTACCAGAACTCTTCTCCTTTTCCTCCAGTTTAAGAGTACAAAGAGGAGTTACCTGTTATTCTGTGACACAGAGATTATTAAATTAATAGTAAAATAGTAAATTTCCTATACTGCATGACTTGCATTTATCTGTCTTTACACACACAAAAAAATTGTTTTTGACAATTCCAGTGCCCCACCTGAGTAATGAATTTAGGGCTGGACAGATGACCAGGGTGAATACTTGTCCTTTATGCATTACAGAGGATTGCTGCAGTAGGTGTTATGGTTTTTTCCTGGTGGGGGAGATTCAGTCCTTCACATCTGGTATGTCTTTCTTCCCATCCTAGCTTCATGCATTATAGATTTCTTGCTCTGTGCCCCTTTCTCTGGTAGATTGAAAAAGGATGCTCTTGAATGTGATGTTTATTTATGTTATCAATATTTTTAAAAATTATTTTACTTGTGCTTCATTCCTTTTCCTTTATTAATGAGAGAGAGATTTCTTTCTCACTTTTCAGTAATTTCCAAACAGAGTTTCATTAGTTATCCACTTCCAGAAAATATCTATTTTGCACTTTGGAGGGCTTTATTTGGACCTTGCCAAGCTATGGGTGAAATTCTGAAAGCAAGATTGTTGTTTTGAAGGCAAATTGAAAAATAATGTTGGGAACCAAGATTTCCCGAGATTGCTTTCTGAATAGACAAGATCTCTGAGTTCTTGGTAATGGTTTAACTGTGGAATGCTGCATGTCAAATAAAACATTCTCAGCTACCCTTCTTCAGTAAGTAGTGCTAGATCAGGTTGCAATTGCTTTGATAATATTAGAAGCCTCTTAGTTATCTCGTGGGATATCAAAACATCTTACTACACATGCATACCAAGATTTTGCAGAGGTTGAAATTATAACTTCAGTTTGGCTCAGTTTTTCATAGAGAAAGGCATTGACAGTGTCTCCTCATATTCTTTGCAAGACTGAGGCATGGTACTGCTTTGAGTACTGCTCAATGAAAGTAAGTCTAACCTAAGGACTTCAGACACCTTCATTTCGTGTGCTAGAGTGTTATGAAAATCTTAGCCTTTATTTTATGTCACAAATGTTTATTTTATGGATTGCATTTATTTCTGAGGGCACAACAGATAATTTAACACACCATATGCTCCATAATGATAATGCACTTCATATTTATTCATGGTTATTTTTTTCCTCAACATTTCATTGAACCCAAAGGAGGCCTTATCCTGAATCAACAAAACAGGAAAACAAATCAGTTGACCATATATGTCATCTTCAAACTCTTTTGTAATGCTAGTGACTTTTCCTTCCATCCTCTAAAAATGTATCCAGCTTTCTGCTAAGCTGATTTATGCAGCTTGTTTTATTGCTGCCTTAATGCAAGCTGTTCTGTATTTCAGCCAGCCTTTGGAAATCAGGTTTGCATCTGATTCTGTTGTTAGAGTTTGTATATGAAGATCAGGTAACATAATTTAAGAGGCTTTGGCTGTTAAATGACATTTTACTATGTCTTTTAAGCAATTATTTACATTTAAGCAAGGACAGCACAGTCATAGAACAAAACATTGATAATACCCTCATGTCCTGCAGTGCAAATATTCTGGTTCCTTCGGCAGGACCATAGGGAGATAGTTTGGCAGAGAAGGAAGTTGGGTGTTTGCCCTCTTCTGCAACAGATTTACCTTATGAAAAGATTCTGTTCAATAGGAGAAACATATGGGGAATTCCTGTATCCTACATGCCTGTGTTAGTTGACACAAAGAATTAAACTTGTGTTTCCTCCACAAAGGTAATTTGCATTTCCACCACAAATATGTTCTTATTTAGCATTTCTCTAAGTTAATTGTGTGCCATTATTGCCGCCCTTGCAAAGGCTTTGTTAATGAAAATAAGAGCATATCTATCTTTCTTTCCAACCATCCCCACCTGGTTTTCTTTCTGCAATTCTGTCCTCTTTCAAAGAAGGTGTAATTTTTCCTGTCAGATTCCTTAATAGTAAAAACAATAGAAAATGAGAAATTAAAAGAAAAAAACTTTTATCCCAGTTTCACTTCAAAAACAACATAATAAAAACAACAACAAAAAAAAAACCATTCAAGCAGGAGATACCCACCGATTTCAGAAGAAACAATTTTTCTATTTTTGCTAAGGACATATATTTCAGCTCTTTCTTGCATTGAATGATATTTAGCAATGTCTCCTTCTTAACTCTGAGGCAGCAAAAGTGGATCATATCCAGCAAAGAAAATAGTGCTTCTATTTCAGTGTTAAATCAGTGCTGCTGCTTTGCCTCTTAGGTCAAGATTATTAAAATATCTCCCAAAAACTCTAATCAGATGAGATGTCTCATTTTACTTGATGCTATGTGAATATATTTAGTCTTGTGCTTTATTGAGAATTAATCCTGTTCTTGCAGGCAGTTCATTATAACAGATCTTCACTAAGGAACAGGCAAAATGAATAAAGTAAGCCTTTTGCTTATAATGGAACATGAAACAAGCTGCAGGAAGATTTACTCACCCAAAATACTACAACTACCAATGTTATGTATTATATAGTATGTCTCAGTGTTATTTACAGTCAGTTAAAAAAAATCTTCAGTGTACTTTGCATCGTTAGAAATTACTGAGCTGCTGGAAGCTAATTAAATTAGCTGATATTGCCATTCTTTATCTAAATTGATTGAGGTAACGTTACCATAATTTAAAATAAAGAAAAGGAAAAAGCATATTCTTGTAGGCTTGAAGCAAAAATCTAATCATAGCTGCATTGTTTTGGAAATTGTATGTGCATCTATTTTTATTAAACAATCAGCAATTTGTGATCTATTACTTCATAATGAATCTAGGCTTTTTATAATTAATACAGACTAACACATGAGTTTACACGAAAGCAAGATTAAGCTTATGCTAGTTTCTATGTCTATGAGTACAACACTGAGTTGCATATTTTGTTTGGCAAAATTGTCATGCTATAAAGAAAGACAAAAGACAGGTACCTGAAGACAGGGAATGAATATGATGTCCAGATCAGAATAGTTTGTTTATTCCTAGTGTATTGATTTTGGTTTGTTTTGCTTTTTTTAGAAGAGGCGTTGGTACCATATAGTAAACCCAACTTTCCATCCCCTGGTGGCCACAGCTCTTCAGGAACAGCTTCTTCTAAAGGATCCACCGGACCTAGAAAAGGTGAAGTCTTGCGAGGAGGTCACCAACGCAATGCCAGTGACCTTCTCGATGTAGGCTATGTGGGATCAAACAGTCAAGGACAGTTTACTGGTGAATTATGTAAGTTTATCTCTAGCTACAGTTGAAATTCCCAAACAGAAAAAAAAAAAGACAAATTATAAATCATTGTGAAGAGAGAATTAATTGCAGTGTCATGACCAGGTTAAATTTTAACCTTATTCTTATTGCCTTCTGCAGTATTTTTCCAGCGACAAGTGAAGTTCATATACTCTTTCACTTGTACCAGTTCAGATCTAAGTCACACCAAGAATATCTACTTATTACATCTTTAAACGTGTAATGCTAGTGAGAATAAAAACATTGGCAAAATTGAACAGAGATTCTAACAATTTAGAATTTTCTTTGCAAAGTATAATATATTTGTCATAGAAATGCTACTGGAGACTTTTCTCAGAGGAGTGAATGTGTGAGTGCTAAACTTGCTGGGCAAATTGATGTCAAGGATGTGATGCCTTTTCCTAAGCCTTCTGTTGCTTGTTGCAAAATGTTACGCTCTTCTTGACCATAGATGGAGGTCCTGTTAATGCTGCATGCATGACAGTGGTGCTTGATGCCAAAAGGTTTGAGTCTCTTGCTTAAAGTAACGATCTAAGCTAGCTCAGGCAATGCAGCTGTTGGAACTTCTGCCTCCTATTTGCTGCAATCAAACCTTCTGTAACTACCCACCTACTGTTACTGCCAAGCAGCTTGTAAGAGATTTTGGTGCACAAACCCCAAAATGAGGTATTTCAGATATGATGTTGGTTAAGTGCTGAATTTTAGCATCCATTGATTTTCATCTTAGAAGCAATTAACTCCTTTATCCAAACCTACTGAATATTTATCCTGCACTGCTTTGATATTGACATGGGCTTTGTTTTGTGTGTTTGTTTCTTTGTTTGTTTTTCACATATTACAATCTCTTTCTCTTTCTTTCTCTCTATAGAGTAGTTGAGAAGACACATTGCAAGCTGCTCTGATGGGCCATCAGGGCTGAACTCATGGAAGTGATGACACTAAACAGTGCAATGAACATTTTCTTTATTTATGTACTATTAAAAGAACTGTAAATGCAATGTAAAGACACACAGCCACATATCCCACAGATACTTGTGTTCTTCTCTTTATACACCATCCACCTTAAAATATTCCTTGTCAGGAGTATACAAAAAGAAAAAAAAAAAAAATCACCTTCCAGGATGAAAAGAATTTCCTTCTGTATATAATTTCTTTTGTTGCATTGCTATGCAAATTCACCTTCTTTTTAGCTATGTTCATATTCATGTCTGTTTTTATTGGTCTGTTGTACTATATGTGAATTAATAGGCTGTGGTGCCATATATTAACTTTTAATTGTGTAACTTTTATGTTTAAAGTTTGCACTGCAATTTTATTTGGTGATAAGCACAAAACTCTACTCCTCATGACATGAAGAAAAAAAGAGACTGAATGTGTGAAGAGGGTTTACGTACTGTAAGCTACTTTGGATAATGCTGGATGTAAAGGATTATGTTAGGTGGTTTTCCATTGGGGTGTAGAAATGAGAAAGTGACAGGCAAAAATGATGTCAGTAAAGACATTAGAGACAGATTTAAATCTTTTAAAAGCAGACAACATAGTTGCTCTTCCTATTTAAGAAGGGGTCAGAAGTTGGAAGTTTGAGTTTAAAGAGTGAGTATGAAAATTAACAGTAGCATGAGATGGCCTAGACCCTTTCACTAGAATGATTCCCTTAGTATCTGTTTTTAGCCATCCAATGCCATTAAGTAAAGGTAAAGAAAAGCAAACCTTGCTACAAACAAAAGAAATTAAGGTGTTTCACTAAAGCTGTTTTATATTGCAGTTTTGAAAGAATTATTAATTTCTGCAACCCAAAATGTAAGTCAGAAATTTCCCAGAAGAAACAAACAGTATAAACTCAAGGAATACCTAGTGAGTAGTTAAGGATGCAATCTATTATTAAAACTTATTCAGGCTGCTTCTGAAAAAAACTAAATGTCAGAGTATTTTATTTCATCTTTCCAATACATGTACAGTACAATAGTAAATAGAGCTGCACCACTGAAATTCATGACATTAATTGTTTTGATGCAGTCTAGACAAACCTTTGTGTTTTGTTACCTGAAGTCTGTGAGAGCTGAAGCTGATTTCACTAAATTTTTAGTGTTTAGAAGGACGTAACAGTCAAATTATTGTTTTAGGAATATTTTCTGCGATGCAATACATTCAAAAAGTTGGATACAAGCAAAGAAAATCCTTGAACTGTTTTTTTAGTGAGTGGCTTCATACCCTACTATAATGAGGAAATAATGCATGTTTATACTCTTTTTGAATAAACCAAAGTCTGTAAGTGGACATTAATGACAACATTCTGTCTCTTCATTAGTTTTCATTACTATGTTCAAATCTTCTGTACCTCTCAAATCTCAATGACTGAATTGTCAAACTTTTCTTAGAATGTTGTAAATAGGTATCACCCTCATTTGCTTAATTTCAATTTTGCATCCTATAGCTTATTTCTGTTAGTCTATTTCTGACCATGAGCATTTTTCCATTTGAATACCCTTTTCATATAATCAGTCTATGTTGTTTTATATATTGCCTTGGAGCTCACCAGTATTAAGGACACTTTTAGTAATGGCAGAATTTTAGAAGAGTGAATTTCAATGCTAAATATGTGTTGCTTTTCATGTCATTAACTCATTCCATGATAAGATAAAACACGACAGCCATCAGCTATAACTCAGCACTATCAAATATTAAAAAAATCATAGTTAACTTCCTTAAGGTCAAGACTGTTATTTAGCAGGTTACGAAAAGAGTTGAGAGAAATGAATGCATTTATCTATATAACAATGAGTATATGTAATTTACCTGCTTGTTTAATCACTATAGTTAAAACCATTATTTAAAAATGTGCAAAAATGTTCAAGCAAGACAAAGAAGGCATCATACATACACATGTATGTTTTCTTTACTTTGTTATTATCATATGAAGAGAAGATTATTCAGGGTGCAATTCAAACTGAATTCTCTGAAAAAAAGTGTTTAACTAGTCACCAAGGGAATAGTTCTCTTAATTTGAAAGCTTGTGCTGAGCTTTGGTGGAACACCTTACTCACTATATCCTATTTAAAATTCAGTATCATTAGAAGTCGATGAAGCCATTCCAATTACTTTCAAATATGTGTTTTATCTCTTCTACTGGAAAGTAAATGTGTGTCAGTAATAAAGCTGTGCAGTACCATGATATTCACTAACTTGTCCATCTGCTTCTGTACATTTTTGTTCATTAATAATTTGCTTACAATATTACATAAAGTGTTGTTGTGTATCGCAAAGTGTCTCCATTATCTTACAGGTGATGTCTCTTCTTTCTTTTCTCTCTTTTCTATACAGTGTACTTCCAATGAACCACAGTACATATTTTTTAAAATGCCATTTAATTTACTATTTTAAAAGAAGAATTCTTCTTTTTTTAAAAAAATGGAAAACATTTATTGTGAATAATGTGTTTAAAGAAAAGGGATGTTGTGGCAGCACTTAGAATTGTTTTTTAATTTGTTTTTTTAAAAAATATTTATTGGCTACAGTTTGTTCACGAAAAAGTATGACCTCTTAATGTGTTTCATTGGTATTGTTAGTGCAGCAAAGTTTAATTGGCATAAAAAGTTGGTTAATAGTCCTGTTGAAGTGTGTATTGTATATTTACTGGGGAAAAAAAATAAAACATACTCACATTTCAAATCTATGTTAAAATATCTTGAGTAAGGAGTCAATATGTGAAAATCCAAACTGGTAACAATCAGGCAATAATAACATAGACTGAACTATAATCATCACTGTCCACTTACAGGTAACAAGGATCATTTTATACCCTTCTTTTTGAACTGTGTTAATAGCTGTCTTATAAATAGCTCAATGGGTAACATCATCTGCCATAGGGATTTCTCATGAAGCTCCTCTCCACGTTGGGAATAGTTGTACCAATGTAATTACACTGATACAGCTATTCTAGTGATACATACTATGTCAGTGTACAGTAAGGGCTGCAAACATATGGTGTACCTTGCTTAAAGCCCATAATCTAGTATATATATGCATGTGTTCAGTAGTTGAGCACCCCCTGACCTGGGGGGTTTTGTACTGGTGGAGCTACTGCCAACCCAGAATAGGGTATCCCCAGGATGTGCATAGATGCTACATCAAATTTTCTCAATCTTTGCTTGACCATATGCTCAATTTTAAATGTGGGAGGGCTGAAGAATTGGTTAATAAATTATTCCATGTACTTCAGTGGTGTATTGCTGCCATACCAGTGATGCAAACAGACATTTATTTTTTGTTATTTAATGTTTCTCAAGTCCTTATCCAGGTCAGTTAACCTTTTGATTAAATTTTTGCTCTCACCTGAAATACCACTGAAACAGTGTTCCCTGGGGAAGGAAAAAAAAAAAAAGCATGGAATATTTTAAGTATATTGATTTAACAATAAGCCAATGTAAAAGGAAGACATGACTGTTTAAATAATACTATGCTGGCTTATGCATTGCCAGTCAGGAAAAAAGATGTGTTCTAAGGTTGGGAAAGAGTCCTCACAGTTGACAGAGGAAAGATGCTCAGGTTGGGGGAGATTCTGGTAGGAACTTTTTAAAATACAGGCAACTCTTTTTCTACAATTTGTGCACTTTTTTTTAATTATTATTAGCTTGTTTTTATGACTGATGATCTTTAGGAAATTTAGCGGGGGGAGATAGAAAGAAAAAAATGTTGGCTAGCAAGCAGTTTTTGCCATCAAGACTCTGCACGCATTGCACAGAAGAGTGGCATCCAACCACTTTGCTCTTTCTACTTTATGTCCCAGCTTTTGTTAGATGAGCCTCTCACTCTGCCAACTGCTTCCAAACCGAAAATAATAGCTATGGCTTAAAGATACCTGGTGGGTATCTGTGCCTGTGTGCTATGAATGTGGACAGTTACTGGGTGTGTGGGGAGAGCTATCTCTGAGCTCTGGCACTGGTGTGAGAACTATCTTACTCTCTGCCTCTATTTGACTGTGCAGCTACATCCAGGAAAACCTCAGCTCTAGTTGTCTATAGCATGCCACAGTATAGCAGTGTCTTTTCTAGTTTGTGACTCCTCATTCAGTCTATTACAGACCATCCTCAATTCAATGCCTGCCTCTCACCACGTGATCCAAGAACTGAAATTGCATATGCTGACATTTAGGCCACTGAGGTTGTTGTTGCAATCTATGCAGCAGAATGAAAAACAACAACAAACCTTGTCACTTCAACATGAACCTTTTAAAACAATCCTCAAAAAAATCGTAGAAAACAAAGCATTTGAGATGTACGTGTTTGGTTTTGCTTTGATTCTATTTCATTTTCTTGGGTATCTTTTCTTAGCTACCATCAGACTTTCTTTCACACAAGCTGCTAAACTCTCCCTCCCCCATTCTCTAGCATTGAATAAGTTATGACATTAGAGAATACTTACATTTGTGTAATTTCTGTGTTACAACTATCAACAGCAAGGTCCACAGTTGCATTCACTTCAATTGGTCAAAGTCAGATGGGGAATTAAATGTTTGGGATTTTTTTTCTAAAAAGGCCTGCAGCTATTTGTGCCGATATTTGCTCCCCATTTGTGCTGATCACTGCACCTTTTGCCTTCAAGGATGCCATTAGTAATTCTTGTTTGCGTTCAAAAGCAGGAATCCATTGTGCAGCACTTGGAGAGCCACTCGGATGCAGGTAAAAAATATAACAGCTTGAGCAAGTGCTAATTAGAGCCAATTAAACTTAATTGACCTCCTTTGGCAGAAAAATGTAGAATAGAACTTGCTCTGTCCTTGCAAAATAGAGATCTTGCTCTAAGCATGAGTGTGAGGCTCAGTTTCATGTATCAGGCTGTAGCAATTACATGTGTATAACAACCAGGAGGAGGCTCGCTCCTTTTTTTTTCTAATAACTTAGATCTGCTCTATCAAGGTACTGCAATAAAAGTAAGATTTCTGGTTCACTCTATTTAAAAGCCTAATTTTTACAGAGCAAATGAGCATCCCAAGATACTAATGCTAATCTCTAGGAATGAATTGGCAGAAAAGTACAGGATTTCTTTAGTAGGTAAGTAATGGCGTGAGCACAAAGAAGAGATTCAGGTTGGAAACAGCTCTGCTGAGAGGCTGTATCTGTGCTAAGCAGTAGGTGCATGCCACAGTGTGCCTGGATCAGTGCCTTGTGCATCTGCCTACAGTTCAGCACAGCTCCTGCTATGCCTTCCCTTGAAGTGTCCTTCTAAGGACTTCTACTGGGAGAATTCTCACCAGACCCACCCGAGGTTGTGGTGCTGTTGGGCTGGGCTAACGGGGAGCACGTGTGCACCACTGCCATGGGTGTCAGAGTGTAGCCAGAGGTATCAAAAGAAACGTGAGAAGAGAGGGACAATGAAGGGTGGGAAATGTAAAATTGTATGAATTCAAAGGCATGGTAAGTGCTAAACAACCGAACTCTATGAAAGGCCCGTATCCAGCTTCAGTGGATGCATTTTGCTGGTGTCATTACTTATTTATTTTTCTTAATCAGGAACTGAATGCAACTGATTTTGCTGCTGACTTGGCCTTACTATTAACAGCAATAAAGGTGTTAGTCAGGTGGGGACTTCGATGTGACCAATAGCATCACTCTTGCTTCAGGGAATGTTCTTGTGCTGGCTTGTTAATGAATTTCTTTCCTAATGAGTATCATTAAAAACCCTTTGATTAGCTATTTGTGTGAATGCCCTTCCTTTTTCCTCTGAGCTGCTACTAGCACAAGTGGTAGCAGGATTTTGCCCTAGGCAGAAAGCATGCAGCTGTATTCCTTTCCTCATGAATACAACTCTAAGGTGAACTGCAGTAGGAGAAGGGGGAGGGGGGAGGGAATAAAAATAAACGTTCACAGATGAGTTGAAGTTGCTATCTACATATGTACGACCTGAGCAGGCACTAACATTCAGATGAGGCTGCCATTAGGGAAATGAAGAGCAATAGGTAGCAATGGCGAAACATGTAATAATAATTTGCATACACCCCGAGAGCCAACAGGCAAAGAAACAAATAAAGCTGTAACCTGCGGAAAGGCAGTGCCAGAGAACAAATGGACCGCAACAAGCAAACAAAAAATGCTATTTCATAAAATGCAGCAAAAAGCCTGGAAAATAAAATTAAAACCAAAACAAGGCATTTCACATCCCAGACCCCTTAATGAGATATTGATGGCATAGAAATTGCCTACATCTATGCAAGACAAAAGAAAGTCTGAGAAGCACAAAAACAATTAGGAAAGAGATTTGGTTTAATAGAAAGAGATGTGTCATAGCAGAGT